TTTTGATTTTCAATATTTATTGATATATTGACTTTTAGGATGGTAGATAAGAACTTCAATCAATTGATAATATTAAAAAACTTTACAATTAAAACGATTTTTTTCTGCGTTACACTCGTTAATTCTTCAAAAACTATACGTCTAACTATATGTATGTTACATTGTATAATAGTTACTTTATAAACATAAGCATACCTAAGGCGAATAGCTGGGAAGTAAAAAAGGATACCTACGTTTCGGTTACTTTAAAACTTTGACGCTCCATATTCTTCCTGTTCCTATCGTCAGATAATAACGAAGCTCCTTATTGCACGTTATACTTGACACATTTGGCGAATGAGAGCTAGATGGAAACCTAATATTTCGAGATTCGACCGTCACGACAGTCGACACTTATTACTTACTAAAAGCACCCCATGTGAGTTCGTATACATGGATATTACATGGACATGGACATTCCTTGAGGTTAGTGGTCCCCTAATACTCGTGTCATCATATAATGTGAGCTAAGGCTAAGGCAGCTCATAATTTTGTCGTCATCATAAGTACCCGGCAATCATAAGTGTTAAGGAGTGTATGTTTGTAAGAAATTCGTAGGTACTCTTTACAGACCTTTCTTCGATAAGCTACGTTACTTGATGTTTATGATACCCTAGTACTCGTGATATTTTTATGACCTAGTTTGTGAACCAAGGGCTGATAGCGAAAGTAACTTCGTTCCTACCGGTGTCCCATGACAACTCTCGACTTTTTTCATGGTATCAGATTATTTAGGGAAAATTTATAGCCAAGATGATATTAGAGTAGGGCAACACATACCTTTTCAGGTTTTTTTTATTTTCATAGTGACAAAGCAACGTATTTTAGGCTTATTATTTATCTATATTTTAATATTCATGTAGAATGAATAATCATTAATATAACATTTATTCATACATTTTCATTGAAAAATATGTTTTAATTTAGGCTCATTTTTATTTTTATAAAAACCTCTTAAAAAAAATTATTTATATTTTGCTTTTAAATAAGCATAATATACAGGCAGAGATTTTCTTTTGAATGCGCTAATATCTAAAATAGTAGCAAGTGAAGCCGCAGGCGAAAACTAGTGGTAATGATTTCTTTATTTATTTAGTTACAAAATAAAATCGGAAATAAAGAAAACCCTAAGAATAAAATACCCTGAGTTTTCTGAAACATTTTTCTCTTTGAATTATATTATCGGAAGTTCTCTAATTTTGAATTAATTAAAAATATAGGTTATCATATTTAGGTTATCTCATAATGTGAATTTTTCACATGAATGTTTATTACTTTAATACTGTTATCTACACATAAAATTGTAACTAAGCCGAATCTGTACATTAAATATTTTATGGAAAATCTTGAAACAAAGTTTATTATTGATACAGAGGCCGAATCTATATAGATTTTAGAATTTTTGTCTGTCTGTCTGTTACCACACCACAGAAAAACCACTGGAGGGATTTTGATGAAATTTGGTATGGTGATAGCTGGTTATCCAGGTCAACATAATATAAAAAAATATCTCATTTCTGAGAAAAAATACAAAAACTGCATTGTAAGAGTATACTAATCTGTAAAAACTAAGAATTTAGTTTTCAGTCATCTGAACGCAGGCGGAGCCGCGGGCAATGCTAGTAGCTTATAAATTAATGAGAAGACTATATTAAAAGACCTTTATTATTATTGGCAGCAATATCCTTTGCGTCCCGACTCCTGTTACTAAAAATGAATCTAAATTTTAGGACTATAACAAATCTTGGTAACTTACTATTATTTATTTAAAAAAAACAACTGGATAATAAAAAAAAAACAAAAAATAATTCACATACAATTATTTATTACATTTAATTTACACAAACCTAACTACTATACATCCCATGCAAATAATTTAGGGATATAATGTATGTATACAACATAGGCATTAAAATAAACAGAATATTCGTGACTTCTGTTTTCATTTATCAACCATTAAAATTATATAGGTAACGTTTTCAAAATACAACTTTAAATTGTGACTTATTGTAAAATATAAATGCCTTGTTAAGGAATAATTTAAAGCAGGAGTTCCCAACCAGGGGCGCATAGTTTATTTTGTATAACTTAAAATAAAAATAAAAAACACTAAAATAATGTTTTATTAGAATAAAATAAAGGGGGGAATGAAAATATTTTTTATAATCCGTAGAGACTGAAAGAAGAGAACTGAGAAGAAAGAATGGGAAACCCTGTTTTAAAGCAATATTGTTGACATTAGATTTTTGGTCACTAAATCTAAATTCCAAAAATATATTATGACAAAAAAATTATATATTAAATATTAACTAAAAATTCTAAACTAATGTATAACAACATATCATAATTAACACTAAGTAATACTTATTGAAACTGGTATAAGCAAATTATATTATGTAAAATATAATTAGACACACAAAATCATCAAGTCATTATTCATTAATCAATAAGGGTCAAAAGTAAACAATGCTCAAAACATTATAAGGGAATGAGTCCAAAATAGTAAATGGCGAATATTCGAGGTTTATAGATGAACCAATACACTTAAAATCCCTTTATGCCTGCAAAATGGACCCAAAGCTATATGTCAGGTATAGATCAGGCTCAGACTAAAGAATAATATGTAGACAGTGTCAAAGAACTAAAATTGAAGCCAAATAATCTATACATATGATAAAACTGTAGAGGTCGAATGTCTGTACATAGAAAAAAAATGCTAAAACCGAGGACAGGGGGATGTAAGAAGAGACACAGAACATATCCAGATTTTTTTCAATTTTTTTGTTTGTTTGTACGGACTTATCTCCGAAAATGTTGGACTGATTTAAATGAAATTTTGCATGGTGACCTTATATCCCCGGTCTACATTTTAGATACTTTTCATCCCGGAATATTAGAGTTCCCGTGGGATAGATTTGTTTATGATTGTCCGCCGCTAGTATTTTATAATACGATAATATACAATAGTTTAAATCAGGAAACAACTGTTAATAGAATATTCGGTTCAGTAAATAAAAATGGCTGACGGATATTATTATAGCAAAGTAATAAAAATATTAATCTCTTTTTCAAGAAGAAAAGAGAGAGGTGAACTAATTAGCTTAAAAATACAAAAAAATATTGTTTTATAAATTGAAATTCATATTAGTCTCCCTTTTTCTTTATTCTAAGAAGAAAGTAAACAAACTGTGCTGCAAAATCTAGAACAGTAGCATAAACAGTATATCACACATATTTTTGACGGGCTCCCTCTATACATATAATTCTTTAATCTGAGAGTTCAGGTTTTTTTTATGTTCTTCCTAGAAGATTTAAAATATTATTATGTTGCACTTTAATAATTAATCACAAGCTCCAATTATAGTTGGGGAAAAAATTTCTAACCACCAATAATTGTTGCTAGTGGAATGGATTTAAAGGTCAATTTTCATAACTATGGAGTTATACTTTCTTAGGTCTACGCGAAAACTTGACATTTTAAATAAAACTATCTTTTCGGATTTTTTCGCGAATTTATTTTGATTTTTTGTTCTGGAACTATGGAGTTGATCAAATACTACTTGAAAAATAACGATGTTATTCATTATAATTATTAATTTCAATAAGGTCATAAGGGGCTGTTCATAAAATACGCTCATCAAACAGTTTTGCAAATTTTTCCCTCTGCCTAAGTCTAAAAAAATTCAAATTTTGCATGTCGTATTTTATAAACAGCCCCAAACAACGAAACTAGTCTTGTTTTATCTATTAGCCTCTAAAACTGTTTAAGCATTATAAGATTTGTTATTTTAAAGACCAATAATAATGAAAAACCATCTAAAACCAACATCTTATTAATAATATATAATAATAAATTATATCATTCTTTGATTTTGCTAATTGTTAACAATTTCGTACGAAAATGAAGCGAAACTAAAATTTGAGTACTATTAGAGAATAAGAAGAAAAATGAGAACTTCCGTTTATAAACGATCACATTAAAATAGGCATAAAATGGAATTTTTGAGGTATTTGCTCCTCAATAACTTAGTCATATTAAGTAGTTTCTTTTATCAAAATATATTTGGATCATGTAGCACCATCTCTTAATTTTAGTTTATATATTTTATCAGTAATAAGTTTTAAAAATTAATATTCAGTCAATACCAAAGAAAAATTGTCACATTACTTACCAAATAAGAGAGTCCGATTACGAAATATTTCATACTTGCAACTCTTGAGATTTAAAAAAAAATTTTTCTTGTAATTTAAAAAAAAATAGTACTTGAGATGTTTACACACCAAAGCTGCTAGCAAAGCTCGAGAAACTCAAATATTCAGCAATATTAACTATGAAGTTGGCATTATTTTATTTATCATCATCGATTAAGAAAGTACTTGATACACAATCCCATGCAAAAGTTCTCTTAAAACTGTCACCAATTGTGTTTAGGTAATTATTCTAGTTGAAATAAATATACAGCAATGTAAATTAACCCTTAAATGAAAGGCTTAAGTTGTTTACACTAAAAAAATAACGCGCTCAAATGTTCAAATGAGCGCTCATTCGTTGAGCACATTTTTTGTATCTAGTACTTTTATCCTCATAGAATGAAAGCTCATTTAAATATTTGAGACATTATCTTTTTGTGAAAACAGCTCTAAGCATTGCCATTAAGGTTCAATTTACATTATTGTATATTTATTTCAACTAGAATAAGTACCTAAACACAATTGGTGACAGTTTTAAAAGAACTTTAGCGTGGGATTGTGTATCTAGTACTTTTTTATCGATGCTTATCATTAACATCTAAAATAATATTTATTATATTAAACATTCTTAAATTTTCACTTTGTAACTAAACGAAGCCACTGGGTTTGGTGCGTAGACACTTATGTTATCAAAAATATGCTGAATCTCAAATCACAATAACTTCATAGGCAAAATAAAATTAATAGATTAGAAACAAAATATACATCTAAAGTTTTATATGTGGCACTAGTTTAATTGGAGTACCAGTGACCGGTTTCTTTGGGCTCATTTTGTTTGGTGATTGCATAATAACATCCACAGCTCTCCGCAGGATCTGATGTTCACTCTTTTTGTATTCTTCAGTTATTTTTGATAGATCTAGATCAGCATCTATCATAAGAACCTGGAAATATAAAGAATAAAGTATGAAATAAATATGTTGGGGCATTAACACACAGCACCATCTAGTTCCATGGTAAGCTACGAGGCTTGTGTTATGGATACCAAATAGTTGATACAGTACACATATATAACTTTAAATACATAAATATTATAAATATAAACACCTATGACTAGAGTACAAACATTCATGCTCATCACACAAATGAATGCCCCCAGATCCAGACTCGAACTCGCGACCGTTGGTACAACAAGTAGGATCACTACAAACTGAGCCAAATGTGTAATAAAGTTGATGGAGGGCATTATCTTGTCTTAGATACAGATAAATAAAATTAAAGTGTCTGTTTGTAATGTCAACTTTAACAGCTTTTTACTAAATGCATATGAAAGTATATATGGTACTTATAAAAACAAAAAGAAACATTTATATTTATTTTTTCTGTCTGTCTGTACATTTGCTTGTTCCAAGGAATCTCCAAAACAGCTGGACTGATTTTCACAGAACTTTCACTGGCAGATAGCTGATCTTATAAGGAGTAGCTTATTGCTGTTTTTAATTAAAAGGATTAGGATTCCGCGCAAAAAAATTAAAAACCCAATGGAATTATGAACAAAATCCGCGTACCAAAGCAAGCAACCAAACAAAGCGTTGTTTCATCATCACAATTTACCAACATAAGTTACTTGAATATGGTTGCCTGAACTTTAGATTAGCTAATGATCATGATTTTTACTGCAAAAATAAAAAAAATCAGAGATTGCCTGCAATGGAAAGGTCGTTTATAATCTTATCTCTCCATCTAATAATTACTATTACCTATGTATGTCACATGTACTCTAAAGGTGTTATCTCAAGTAGGTATTGCTTGTATTGGTATATTGTAATATTGTTTATTTATGAAAACACTTCAAACTTTGATAATCAGTATTAATATTATAAATGTGAAAGTTTGTGAGTATGTATGGATGTTCGTTAGTCTTTCACGCCAGAGCGGCTGAACGGATCTGGATGAAATTTGGCACAGAGATAGATTATAGCCTGAAACAACACATAGGCTACTTTTTTATCCCGGAAAAGTGTAAAATTCCCGTGGGATAGGTTTGTTCTTGTTTTGCTTGAGTAGGTAGTCCTAGGTAAAAGTACTCCCTACTGTCCACCAATGTAAAAAGAAAACTTAAAAAATGCTCAGCATAGACTAAAGAATTAGTCAATGAGTTGTTCCTCATAGTCAGTAAATTCACCGAGGATACGGGAATACCAATAATAGCGTTTAATAGCGTTTATATAATATTTATTCTATTTATATAACAAAACACAATGTTCACGCGCATCGTCGTGTCGCCATTATGACATATTATCCTACTTTCCTTTTATTCATGTTTCATACCTTAGATTATTTGTATGTAAATAATCTAAGTTTCATACCATTCTATTTTTAAAACATCATACGTCTCCCTTTTATTCTTAAAATATCGTTTCATGCAATCTTATCTCTAATCTCGCAAATCCCGCATTCACATAATATATTATCTATACATATAATAAAATTGTAACTAAGCCGAATCTGTACATTACATATTTTTTGAAAAATGTTATTGAAATAAACATTATTATCGATACAGAGGCCGAATCTATAGTTTTTAAAATTTTTGTCTCTGTTACCGCATCACAGAAAAACCACTGGAGAGATTTTGAAGAAATGTGGTATGGTGATAGCTGTTTGTCCGGGTCAACATATAGGATACTTTTTACCACAGGAAAATGTTTCATTTCTGAGAAAAAATACAAAAACTGCAATGTAAGAGTATATTCTTAGATTTACGATCAAGTAGGTTCTTAGATTTACGAGAATATTTGAAAATTCGATTCGATTCGATTGATTCATTTTAAATAAAAAAATGCCTTGGGCTTTTTGGTGCCCTTATTAATTATTAAAAAAATTATATAATTTTGGAGGTAGGTACTGTCTGTAACAACGTGGTCTTGATTGCTGTCAATCATTAGAAACATCAGGAAACCAGAATTCAAAATAAATCCATGTAAAATTCCAAAAAGATATTAGATATTCTTATATATTTATACTACCGACTCACCCTCGCTTTGGTTTGGTTTGTCCTAGGTACGTTTTAATGGTTAGTACAGAGTAGATAGACTATATAATATAGCCTTAATTATATGATAAAATAAACAGGCTATCTAATGCAAAAAGAATTTTTCAAGTCGGTTTAGTATTTAGTTGTAGTTCCTGAGAAGGCAAGGCATTCTTCAAACAAACAAACAAAGTGCCTCTTTATAATATTAGTATAGTTTAATATAAATAATTGCAAAGATCTACTTACAGGTGCAGGACACTCAGCGAATGTTCTGTTAATAAGCCAGTCTTCATGTAATGTATGCAATTCTTCGATATATGACAATGGGACACATTGTTCTTCAGATCTGGCTCTTTTTTTTATCCTCTCATGAACTACTGATGGTGTGGTTTTAAGGTATACTGTAAATATCCCATTGAAATGCACTTGTTAATATTTGCTATTTATATTGGTGGATATATTTTAACAACATATAAATTAATAAGTAAAAATGAAAATGCTAAATGTCTTAAATTTTAAAAAACATAGTATACAAATAAACTATGTACTATAAAAATTTTTTTACTAGAATTAGAGAAAAAATAAGGGTTCCATGGCAATTAGCATCAAACGTTAAGTTTATATTTTACAACACAATTTTTTGAGCTAACAATATTTTACCTATCTACAATAATTTGACAACATGTTTGGCTCAGTTTGTAGTGACCATACTTGCTGTGCCAGCGATTGCGGGTTCGAGTCCTGCTGGAGTCATTCATTTATGTGATGAGCATGTTTGTACTCTAGTCATAGTTGTTTATATTTATAATATGTATGTATTTAAAGTTATATATGTGTAGTGTATCAAAGTATATAAAGTTATATAAATGTATCTAGTATGAACTAGAGGTGCTGTGTGTTAATGTGTATTTATATATTTATTTAATAATAATTTTATTGATAGCATAAAGAGGTTTGTATTATTGAAAAATAAAAAAAAACAAACAAAATTGTGTTACTGAAAAAAAAAACTTAAATAAAGTGTACAAATAAACATCTATGTCAGTGTAAAAGATCTACCCAAACATTCATATGTACATTAAAAATTTTTCATCCAAGTTTCAATAGTCTCCAAATAAAATGGATGTCATAAAAACAAATAGACATGACAAAATTTTAATGCCAAATTCACATGCTTGCCAAGTCTTGACAACCTAGCACAATTCAAACATGTAGAGTAAGTGTTAGGCTTGGCAAGTAGTTAGGTTTGCAAGGACTTGTCGTTGTTTTGATTGTGTTGGTTTCAGTACACAAATCAAAGGATATTTGTGAGTACTTATGGTGCATCCAGAGTTTTGTATTCTTTGAGACAAATGGCAAGTGTGTGGACTCAGCATAAATGAAAATGCAGCAATGGAACTATAAAAGTTACAATATTTAGGTTTCAACAAAAATGAAAAAACATACCAATAAGATCAGCCTCGATGGGTATTTCTCTTTGTATAAACCTAAACCATTCATCAAGAACAGCAAACTGTGCTGGATGTAGGGTTCCACTTCTCATCATATGTTCTACAAAACAATATCTAGCACTAAACAATGACCTTTCCATTAACTTTACTGGAGTACTAGTTGGCCGTCGATGCATGTCTAACATAGTCATCGAAACGTATGCTTGGAAGGTCATTGCCCATTTCGATGGATCTTTGTACATTAAATCCTGAAAATTAATAATAGTTTTGTGCAACGGTCATTTACATGTTTTTTTAATTAAAATACTAATTATAAACTTACCAAAAGATTCCATCCTCTTAAATTGCGCCATTCCTCAACAGGTTCCGTAAGTAATGTTATATCTTCAAATTGTTGAAAATGTTCTAAAAATGTTGTCTTTCCACTTCCTATATTGCCCTCGACGAGAACAGTAAACGGCTTAGTATTAGAAGCAGACATTTTATGAAAAAGTCTTTCAACTGAAACAAAATATAAAAGATCTGAATTCTAAAGTAGACGATATCACTTATCAAATACGATAAACAAGCATGGAATATGGGTAACAAATAAAGATAAACGACTAACGAGTAACAAGTAACGACTTACGACAGTCAACGCGGATTGCGGAATTCGATTCAGTGATTCCCGCCTAAATTGACCGCCTGATGACAATTGACATAACCAAAAATAAAAAATAACAGTCAACAAAATATAACCTAGTCTTTCACAACCTATAGTAAGCACACGAACCTTTACAAAAGATATTGAAGATTTTGCGAATTATCATAATCTTTATACATTATAAATCAACTATAAATATAACAATACTTTAATATAATTTGAATTAAATTCAGTAAGTGAATAATAACAAACTATTTGAAAAAGTCATAATAAAATAGCAATCGGTCTACAGTCTTGCTGCTCTCAAACGGAATTATCGATTCCTACAATAATCAATATCGATTTTTTATTCTTACGCAATAAAAGCGAATGATCAAGTTTTAGAATAATAAAATAGAATATAAATAATAGATTTTGATAAAATATTAAGTGTTACCTATATTACTTTCTATATATTAATATATTCTAGCTTATATGATTATTATTTTTTAGGAATAAAAATAATTTACTGTACTAGTATCAGCTTTTTATATCATGCACGGTCTACACAAATACTCATATTCTCTCTTAAACTCATAGTTACTCTCTTAGACTTATTAAATAATACAAACAGAAAAATCTTTTAATTATAAAACTAAAATCGATTATCTCAATCGTTTTAATATCAATTGTTCTTATTATGTTATCTACATACAAGAACAGAATATAAAGCTCGTTCTGAAATTCATGAGTTTTTCTTACTACAGCAATGGGGAAGACTTCTTACAAGGAGGGCGCTACACATATATCTAGTTAGTATAAGTCTGAGATTAAGCAATTTATTATAATATCTCTTTCGTACCTGTTTTTTTGCGTCTATTGTGTTCGCATCTTACCTATGCAATATATTGTATCTGGAAGTTAGACCAGCTGAAGGAAGAATTGAGAAGGAGAGGTGCAGCCTGTAGTTCTCTTGAGTTCTGACTGACTGATGGGTCAACAAACAGCCTAAGCTGTTGGTCGCAGAAACGTGGAATTTCGAGAATGTATTGCTTATATGATGTAAGCATCCAATAAGAAAGCAATTTTCGAAATTCATCCCATAAGTGGATAAAATTGGGGATTAAAGAAGATTGTATGAAACTCTGTCATGTGAAATAGACAGAAAGTGGTGGTTAGCTTTAAGACTTCTACCCTTCAAAGTTTTAAGATAAAAAATATAAATATATTTCATTTTTTTTAATTCGCCCCTAAAGAGATAAAAGGGGGTAATAAAGTTTATATGGGCAAAGAATTATTTATGATCAGAATAACTAGAAACTTGGTATTATTGCTCCTCAATACAATTAATTAAATACGTGTTTTAGTATTTTTTGAAATTCAAAATCATAAATGGGGGTAAAATGGGGGATAAAAGTTTGTATGAAACTCTGTATGTTGTCTTTAAATAAAAGATAACGAGTTAATATTAGTCCCGCTGAGTTTCTTTCGCCAGTTCTTCTTAGGTAGATGAGGCTTCTTCTTTCTGAACTGGTAGTAGACTCATGACGTTCAGTAAAAAATTGTAATAATTTAATGCTCAATAAAATATTTTGAATTTTGTAATTAATATGTAAAAAAGTAAAAAATATAAAAAAATAAGAGTTTAAAAATCCCTTTCTGTAAAATGATGTCCACATAGCCTTAAATATAAAATTGTGATTTCGCCAGTTTTGGTCGACTTATTGCTTTAGCCCACAATTTCTTCAATTCTTGTCTTTTGGAAACAAATGATATCCATTTTCTTTGAATGCTGTTACCGGGCAATTTATCATTCTAATTAAATTTTAAATCAATTAAAAAAAACCATCCACGATGTAGAACTCTACAACATACTGATAATCAAGTGAACGCGACATCTGCCGGGAAAAGAATAGCGAAATTCTTCCCTATTTAAAATAATTAAAATATTAACAATTTATATTTACATTTTGCGGCTATGGGGAAGAATTTTGTCATAATATTTTATAAAACTATGATTTGAGATTGGAAATAAAGCAATAGTAAAACAGTTATTTTTAAATCAATCCTTTAAACGCATACATCTCTTTTTAAGCGGAAGGACGGGTCGACTTTATTTCAATATTTATTTATAAAGTTTACAATTCGAACTCTCATAATAAATATAAATTTAAACACCACTAAAGATTTTAATAATTAATTCATTTAGTTACGAAGCTAAAATTAGCTTTTGTGCCAACCCTATGTACATATAATATTATGTACTAAATTCGCTTCTCTGTCTACAGTTCTCATTTAATTTTCTAGATTCTCTCTTCTTTTCTTGCATATTTGCTAATTTAGATTTTAAATTTTAATAATATCATTTTAAATAGCATTTCGATCATTATTTTAAAGCAACTCTTATTTTCACATTTTAAAAAATTAAAATATGCCGGAGATATAAGTTATATTTATGAAATGAATTTATGTCATATACAAATCAAATCATACAATTCTTGGAGTGTATCATAGCTTATATTTAATTCTTAATCTAGTAAAAAGCGTGCATGGGAGCTTTCAGGTTTTTTGGCGGCAAAATTGAATAAGCCAATTGAAGTAATCCACGAAATCCATTGACAATTTTGTTATCTTGTCCATGATATTTTGGCCAAAAGAATTGACGTGTTTGTTTCTAATTTCATTGTTCACCGAAATTTGCAGGCGGTATAACGTGAAGAATCTGATATAAAACTCTAAACTATAGTTTTCAATTATAAGGTGATATTGTTTAATCTAAAATGTTAAGTTCACGCTTATTAGGTAAGTTTGAAAATATATGATACGTGTGAAATTGAACTTCTTCGATAATGCCGGTCTTTTTAAATAATGTACATTTATTTATTTTAGGCGTTATTCTATTAGTAACGGGCTCATATGCCCTTTACGACTCATCATCTGATGTTGTACAACTGACACCAAGTAATTTTGAGAGACTAGTTTCAAATTCCGACGAAGTATGGATCGTAGAGTTCTTTGCCCCTTGGTGTGGTCATTGCAAAAATCTTGTTCCAGAATACAAGAAAGCCGCTAGAGCGCTAAAGGTAAATAAATTTTTAGAAATCCACTTAGTACTTTTTAAGTTTTAAATCAACTGACAACTTATGTTAGAAACTTACGATAGTGGGTGGAGAGATCTAGTTTACGCTTAAGCACATTTTATAGTATAACTTAAATTACTTATATTTAATTTTAAAAACTATATTTTTCTAATATTTTATTATGTGATGTATATTTTTTAATTAATTTTCTTAGGGTATAGCTAAAGTAGGAGCAGTAGATGCAGACCAGTATAAAGAGTTGTCACAGAAATATGGAGTTTCTGGTTTTCCCACAATCAAGGTGTTCACTGGCAGTAAGCATACTCCTTACCAAGGACAAAGAACAGCTGAGGCATTTATTGATGCTGCACTCAAAGCTGCTAAAGAAAAGGCATATGAAAACCTTGGCAAAAAACCATCAGGATCTTCGGGCAAGGTAAACTTTATTAAAAAACTTAATAAAATCCTTAAGGCTTATAACATAGGTTAGTAAAAAGATTAAATTTGGTATACTAGAATTTTATTTTTGTTGTAAAAATCAATATAATGAAAAAATCGCCTTAAAATATTTAGAATAATATAATAAATATAGATTTAGGGAACAATTATATAAGAAAATATATCTATTTATTAGAAAAAAGTGTATGGGCATTTGATACCATGGAGATCCATACAACGGACAGACGTTAAGAAGCAAATTGATCAGCCATTTATTACTTCATCTATAAAGAAAAATAGATTTGATGCTTTACAAGCTTCTTTATTTCATGGGAGAATATCTAATATTTGGACGAAAATTGTAAAGTCTAATAAAAGCTTTAAAATGGAATAATCTTTTTCATAAAAAATTAAATTTAACTCTGAGAATATCTTAAGCATGTGTATTATTATAAAGTTATTCATTTTATAAAGTTAAAAATTAGGATGAAGAGGTATATTAAAAATAATTAAAAACAAATTTCACACCTTTTTTAATAATTAAGTATAGAATGAAAGACTAATGATTTATATAAATTGGCATAAGCAATAAGATGAGACATCCTACTCAAATGTCAGGGTGACTATAGATTCTCAAAACTTGGTGTTGAGTGTTAAGGTGATTATGGCAACCTCGTTAACTTGATCACTTAAACAATTTTTTAGCTGTAGTATTTTTTTTTAATTGATGATGAATAAATAGAATAAATAAATAGGTTGGGACATTAACACACAAAACCATCTAGTTCCATGGTAAGCTATGAGGCTTGTGTTATGGATACCAGATAGTTGATAAAGTACACATATATATCAAACATTTGTGCTCATCAACAAATTAATGCCCCCAGCGGGACTCGAAGCCGCGACCGGCAACTGCTAGTAGAGTCACTACAAACTGAGCCAACATGTCGTCAAATGATGTGATGACATAAAAGTGGAAATTATACTTTTTTTTTTGAAACAAACATACTGATTCATATTATTTACTTATTATTTTCTTCCTTTTAATCATGAAAATTGAACATACTTTAAAAATACCTGTGGAATCTCACTATTATAGGAAACATCTCTTATAAATAGTTTTATCTCATGTTTGCTCTAAGTGATGACATCTTATCTTCAATGCGTAACACTGTACACTATACATTCTCCATCTTGCTCATTACGCTCATCAATCAATTTAAATTTTTAGTTAGGTTAGGTTCGAGAAAAAAATAACTGCCTACATATTTTTGACTGACTTCAAAAAAAAGGAGGTACCCAATTTGGGTCTTATTTTTTAATATCTCAATGATGTTCCAGTAAAAATGTCAATATTCAACTTTAATATTCAATAACTTTTTAAATATCTATTATTTTTCAAGTTTATGGAATTACATAGGTATTTCTGTGCTTAAAATATAGGGTCATATACTTTATTTAAAAATCAAGCATTATCTAAACATTCAAAACGAAGTTGTTTTCAATTGAGACTTAGTTTTGATTTATAAATAAATTCGTGAAAATAAACCGCACTACAATAGCTAGTGCGGAGTTCGATTAAAGTATCGCCTACGTCCTCCTACACACCCTCTCTCTTTCGAGAGCGTTCACACGGAATGACCACGTCAGTGTGACCTTTTTTTAATTTAACTTCTCGATTTATTCATGTTTGCATAACGCTTGCCATAAAAAATAGAAAGTAAAGTTTTATACAGATAATTTATTGTAAATATAATAAAAAATTTAATTGAAATTCAAACTTTTCGTAATTATCTTGTATTACCTGGGCGACCGAGCTTTGCTCGGCGTTTTTTTTGAAAAAGAATATAAAAATTGCGTTTTTTTTTTCAGAAAAATACCTCTATCCCTTTACAACCGGCGAACTTTTTTTTTATTTTTTCGTGTATGATTTATGTATTCTAGTTATTTAAGCTTCAAACAACCTAAAAAAATATTTAAAAAAATAGCGTACCCCCCTTTTTAAAAAAAAAGTACCCTCACGATCGTGATGATCAGGATTAAATTGACTTCCGCACGATAGTGATTTTTTAGGAATCAGTTGGGTTAATGAAATAAAAATCTAGTATAATCAACTTAATTTATATCCGTGATGAAATAATTTGGTAATCTATACATAAGTCTTTATAATTGAGCATATATTTTTGGTTTTATTATACTTATATATATTAAACTTATCTATAATTGTATTTATTATACAATGTAAACAACTTCAGCATATAAAGTAGATTAAATCTTTGAAAGCATAAAAATAACTAACATATTAGGAACCATTTTGTGATCAACTGCAATATCTAATAATTTTATTTGTAACATACAAATAAAATTATTAGACATTGCAGTTCACATGGTATAATCGGAAATAATCTTTTCCCCGCGACATGCACAAATAAACATCGTATTACACAGCAAATTTTGCTTCTATTTGTGCATGTCTCCAATCTGCAGGAACGTTGAGCCGATAACTGTGCAAAGGTTGGCTGATGATCATATCCATCATATCTCTTTGCTTGCTTACTCTCCAATGTCTTGCTGGCATATACTTGAAAGGCGGTGCCTCATCTTCAGTATCTGTGTCTTGATTCAATCGGCGTTTGTGGTCTGGACTACTCAACCAAGCATCTGCTACTTCCATTTTAAGTTCAAAAGATTTTTTTTGTGAAGTTTATTAGCTTCACAATCTATTTTATACTTCCGCCATGCATTAACTACAGCTAAATCCAAAAAATGAATGATTACCTTCAGAGTCCACTTTTTCGTTTTTATGAAGACACGCAATTAATCCATTATTTGATCTAAAACTTCCACTCCACCCATGTGACTAATATAATTGCTAACTACCCTGGGAATAATATTATCCTTGTAAAATTTTGTTTGCTTATCCCATCGTTTAACGTAGTCTTGATGTTTAGCACCAGTACAATTGGACGCCTTCAACATAGCTTTATTATTTTCCGTTTTTACTTAGGTAGTAAATATTGGAGCAAATGAAACATAATGGATATTGGAGCAGCTAGTTCGATGAATTCCTTATCAAAATAGTCATAAATATACTCACTAGGTGTCTTGACTGGTCCTGAGGGTGGGCTTGGGTAATTATGATCTTTATCAGTAAATGATGATTGCCTCCACATATCAAATGACGAACAGACATATTTTCAGTAATTACCTACATCAGAAGACAGTTCCCAATGTGCTGGAGGAACCTTCTGGATGATATTCATCGCTAAAGTTTTGAAAAAGGAAACGATCAAATTCCTCACCTTCGTCGTGTAGCACCTCAATATCAAAGAACATATCTATTTTGCAAGAGGTCCAAAACCTCTTCATCCCTCAAAACTGCGCCTAAAATTAATATAAAATTATAAAACTTTACATGTACTGTCAAAAAGCAGCTTTAGAAAAAATACATTTTTCGTAATTATAAATGAATTAAAACCCGGATTATCACGATCGTGACGATGTAAGTTTGAGAGATCAGAAACAAAAGAACAACTATGCTATCAAAATACAAATGACGGATTTGTGTTAATTATTATCTACATTAAACTTTAATAACAAAAAAAGTCGTCAAGCTATGAAAAATATAACAAAAAAATGTACTTATGTGATCGAGACCTATGTCCAAAATGCGCTGCCATCTTTGTCGACGGTCCTTCGACCACTTGACACATTACAACGTGTCCTTTTAATTTTCGAATAAAGCGTATATATCAACACTATCGTGTGAGGCCGATTGCGTTCACAAAAACAAATACATTTTGAATTAGAATTTTTTTTACCAAATGTCACGCTCGTATTGAATCGGTCGTAAAGGGCTATAGATAAAAGTCATAAAACCTTTAAAGTTTAAGTACAAAATTTTATCCAAATCGTTAGAGCCGTTTGCGAGATACGCGAAATAAATTTATATACATATATACAATGTACAATGATTGCTCATTTAATATATGATGAATAATGTCAACTATAAACCTATTGCGCGACAATTACGAAAAAGTTATAATCAATTATTAGGTTAATTATTATAATTTTATTTTAACAAAATGCATAACTTTGTTTACGTCTCTTTTGGAATGGCATTTTTGAAATACTTGCTGATAGTCATGCATAATCGTAATAGAAAATATCTATGTATTAGCAATGTAATAAACAATAATTTTTATATTTAATTTTTATTGGTAATAATATTGAAATATTAATTTGTCAATCTAATATGTAGAGTCATATTTATATGATTGTCTTGAGAACTACAAATTCGCTACCATATTGTTGGAAAATTATTTACACATAAAATAAATTTATTTCATCATACCATTGTGATTACAAGTTTCATTCCCTTATTGAGTGCGTGAATACATATATCATTATTATAAAACTTAATTATAGAAGCCTCTTATTTTTGTTATCTAATGATTTTTGACTAATTTTCTATAGAATACCAATCAAAACTCTTGTTACTCAGCGTTTAACTGAAAGTTTAAAGGAGTAGATAAGTTTAGCTTATTCTACACATTCGAAAAATCTTAACAGTAAAAACTTTTTACAGTCCGATGTGATTGAACTGACGGACAGCAACTTCAAGGAGTTGGTTCTGGACAGCGAAGATATGTGGCTGGTGGAGTTCTTCGCGCCGTGGTGCGGTCACTGCAAGAACCTAGAACCGCACTGGGCCAAGGCCGCCACTGAGCTTAAGGGAAAAGTAAGTTTGATACACGCGCGAACACACGTACACACATATACATACATAAATACATACAAACATACGTAAATATATACACATCCATATATATATACTTATATACAGCTTATGACCAAACACAACATACACTTCCCTCGATGTCCCTTGCGTGGTACGAAGAGAGACGAAGTGCTACACGCTGCGATCTACATTTATACTACTCTACATACCTCTTTCGCTTCTTCGTTATTTAAAAAATCACAAAACCGTAAGGATTTGCAAGGGTTGTCTATAATAGCCAATTTTTATGGCGAATGGACATGTTAAGACACTACTGTGCGTACCGTCTCGTGGCATGTTACATTTAAATGAGACAACCCTACAACCTGTTCCCGGCTGTCATGTAAAAATAAGTATGACAATCGGGTTCGCCTCACTCGCATCTCCCCGGCACATCCTACACGATGGCTCTGTCTTGAGCAGGGATTCCAAAGTGGCCAATATCTGACTGACTGGGCTGAATACATCGGTTTCCCAGGGAGTCGATATAAACGAAAACTGATTTTGGGGGTCGACGAGGTCTAACAATCGACCCCCATTAATTAACACAAGTTCTTATTAGAAATAAATATATATATATATATATATATATATATATATATATATATATATATATATATATTCTGTATCACTTTGTTATTTTATTTGTAAGAAGAATCTGGACATGAACAAAAATGTTTTTTTTTAATTTAATCTACTACCATACTTACCTACTATCGCTACTATTCCATTATTTCAGCCATAAAATAAATATAATATGGAATATTGTGTGAATTGACATTATTGGTTTTATTTTTATTTTATTATTTTGTATTTTATATGTACAGTTTAATATGTGTTACCGTGAAATAAATTCAATAACATCCAATCATAGCCTACCTGTTAATGATAAAATTTTATTTCTGCAACATAAAATAGTATATAGTTAAAAACGTTTTAACTGTCCGTATACTAATTACCCAGCATGAATATTTAAAAGTATTTTTTATGAATTAACATCGAAGCGTATTTTTAACTTTTTGATTTTAATGCAATCTATTCAATAATTATTTCATTATATCTATGACTATACTATATTGTATACTAATACATTATGTGAAGCTATTTTTGTTTGTTGTAACTCTTTAATCTTTGGAACTACATTTCCAAGATAAAAAATATTTTTGCATATTATAAGTTATAACTTATATATATTGAGTAATGTTATTATAGGCTACTTAATATCACACCATGACCCGGAAAAGCGGAACTATTATATATACATATAAATAAATTACGCAGGCAAACCCACCAATTATACCAAATAACTAGCTACCAAAAGACCAAAGCCAGTCCTGTAGAATGAATAAGATCTATATAGTCTTCCATATTTTCTTAACCAAAAATTATTTTGTGCAGTTGGTTGTTTTTGTTACATTGTAATTTCAAGGTGTACAATCAAGTGCATAAAAATAAATATATGAATAAAATAATAATTTGAATATGATCAGGTAAAACTCGGCGCTCTGGACGCGACAGTGCACACAGTGATGGCATCCCGCTACCAAGTGCAGGGCTATCCCACAATCAAACTGTTCCCCAGCGGCAAGAAGACCAGCGACTCGGTGGAGGACTACAACGGCGGGCGCACCTCCAGCGACATCGTCAACTGGGCCATGGAGAAGCTGGCCGAGAACGTGCCCGCGCCGGAGATTGTGCAGGTTGGTAGCGGGTTCGATTTAGTTGGGTGGTGATTAGGATTTTACGTTTGTTTTTTTTTCTGCAAAATTTAGTTTGACAAAATTTCACAAATCATTTGTCGTAATATTTATTTTTTAATTCAAATTTATGTTATGGGGGTCGTAGTAGTCTTGTTTAATCCGGTTTTAGTGGGATGGGTCGAATTATGAGATAAGATTTTAATTTCGATTTTCTACAGAAGAAAATTGTTTCCATTATTATAGTATTATCAAATAACCACGAAAATTAAGTTATTTACCATTTTTATGTCCCTCTTTGCAAATTAAAGAAGCTATTGAAATCTAAATATTAATTTTCAAATAGTATTTCAATGCCAAGATTGGTTGGCTAAAAATATTTTTATAAAAAGAACATAAAAGATATAATACACAATGTAAGTGCAAAGTTCTATCATTTTTGTACGTTACAATTGTTTTGTGAAGTCAAAATATTGTTACAAATCATCAAGTCGTGGCTGAGCGCCAAATATCTATAATTCACTGATCACTCGTTTGTTTTTGTTTTATTTGCGCTTTTATTCTTTACATTGTTTGTTTGATTATTTGTTTGTTTAAATAACAACGAGCTTTGTTGGCACTGATTAAGAAAGTTAGAGCTCGGATCGTTTCTTATAATCTAATCGCAATTGAAATAATACTACTTACTATGCTACATCATACTGGTCTATATAAAGAATGTAGACCAACAAGAGATAAAAATTATAGGTTAAAAAACTAAAAAAAAAGTTTTAATCATAATTAAAACTTTTTTAAATACTTAATTATTTTTATAATAATTATTTTACTTAAACTTTAATTCATAAATCGAGCTAAATAATAATTTTTATTATAAGAATAAAGTGATTCACGAGAAAATTAATGTTATTTATTGTTAAGCTAATAAAGTTCTTTTAAAAAAATGAAAAAAAAAACCAAGTTGTTAAAGTATATAGTACAGACTCTAAAAGTCCGCGAAATTATTATTTTATAGCTTTTCTTACCGTAAATTCTTCTTATGTATTTTTTTATCCGCGCTGGTTTTAACGTCGTTATAGCAATAAAATGAATGGCAAAAAGATAGGTTCACATAAAGATAGAGAGATACATATAACATGTAGATTTCCCCGAAAAGTTCAAAAGTTATTAAGACTTAAATTTACAACACCCATTCCTCCAGGGGCCGCGTCACATATACTGAACTTGTGCCGTTATGCCCCTATCAAAAATCGCTCAACGCGGCTAAGTACTTACTTAGATTTACGCGAATATTTGACATTTTAAGTAAAACTATCTTTTCGGATTATTCCGCTGATTTATTTTGATTTTTGGTTCCCGACGTTTCGAATGCTTTACAGCGCACATGGTCATGAAAGACACTAAGGTTTAAGATGTCTCAAAGGTATTATATAGTTGTAGCCTGTCTGTAACAAAATATGCTGTAAAACATTTGAAACATTATATTAAACACTAACGACTCCCCACCGCTTCGCTCGAGTTCGTCCCTAGCTCGCTTCCCCATACAAACTTAAATCCCCATTTTCACCCCCTTAAGGGATGATTTCCGGGATAGACACTTTCACTCATTCACTTTTCATATCATGAAATTAAAAAAAATCTTATTTCAGTAAAAAAAAAATTATTTTCTTCTATACAAAGCTTGTCCTGACAATATAACAAACACACAAAAAAAATAATTATCTAATTTGATGCAGTCAAACGCAAGTTATGTGCGTACATACATTTCCGTGATTAATTTTATATAGATTTAGTACCGACTCACCCTCGCTTCGCTCGGGTTCGTCCCTAGTTATGTTTTAACGTTTAATATGAAGTACAAATCTTTGAAATTCTCGATTATTCTGTACTATGATATGCATGTATTATACCGTTAAATCTTCCTCTTGAATCACTCTATTTATAAAAAAAACCGCATCTGCAATCCATTGCGTAGTTTAAAAGATGTAAGCGTACATAGGGACAGACAGACAGACAGCGGGATAACATGTTGATATCCTGCAGGTGGTGGGCCCGGACACAATGCAGGCGTGCGCGGCGGCGCCGCTATGCGTGGTGTCGGTGTTGCCGCACATCCTGGACTGCGGCGCGGCGTGCCGCGGGGACTACCTCGCCGTGCTCGCGCGCCTCGGGGACAAGTACAAGGCCAAGATGTGGGGGTGAGTCCCGTCTGCTCCGGGAAACTATGTAGCTGGATGATAATAATGTCCTCCCAAATGATTTCGTTCACGACAGCAAATCTCATTGATGTAGACAACTGCGCAGGAGATATTGTAGTGCAACGCGTGTGCGCGCAGACACATGTGCACTCTCTATTACTGTCACTCATACTCCGGTGGGACTATAATCCAATACTCGAGAGATCAGGTGCAAGACTGATGCGTCACATGCTGTCCAAGGCACGGGGGTGAAGGACTGCCAATTTCCCAACACTGGGCTGTTACTGAGAATTTCTTGATACAAGTGCTCAATAAGTAAAATTGTTTCATTTATATATTTTCTTATAAAAAACCATCCTAATATAGTCTCAGGGTTTATTTGTCTATTATATAAATTATTATTAAATATTTTTCTCTGTATATTTATAGATGGGTGTGGGCAGAAGCAGGTGCTCAAACAGCATTGGAAGAAGCTCTTGAACTCGGTGGCTTTGGATATCCAGCGATGGCAGTCGTCAACGCTAAGAAACTCAAGTTCTCAACTCTAAGGGGATCATTCTCTGAGACTGGCATTAATGAATTCTTAAGGTAAATTAAATTTGATATTTCTATATCGTTATAATATTACAATGCAGTGGTAGCCCAGTCGAAACTCGCTCGAGGAAACTGAGGGATCAAATCCCGGCTCTCGAACCTCTGATGTTTTCATGTGCGAGTCATTTTGAACTTGCTTACCACTTGTCTTATGGTGAAGAGAAATATCGTGAGGAAACCTGAATTTCTGAGAGAACCTAGCAAGTTTTCGAAAGATATGTGAAGTTCGCCCGCACTTGGCCAGCGAGGTGGACTGTGGCCTGGTCCCCCTTGTATTGAAGGGAGGCCCGTGCCCAGCAGTGGGCCGCTAAAAAGGCCTGAATACAAACAGTAAAAATAATATATCCCCATTAGAGATTCTCTCACTGAATTTGAAAATATTAGCTGATGTCAGAACACTGTTTTAATCTAGTCATAAATAATGCATATGTTTAAAATATTTTTATTTATTATCACTTTTAATGATCATGGCCCACTACTACCATATTTAGTTTTTTTATGCTCATATTCTATTTCTCAATAAATTAAAATAATCTATATGTCATATAATAAAACTGTACATAGGTCGAATATCTGCACATAGAAAAAAAAATGTTTATCTGTTTGTACGGGCTAATGTCCGAAACTGTTAGACCGATTTAAATGAAATTTTCCATGGTGGTACTATATATCCCCGGTCAACATTTTAGATACTTTTCATCACGAAAAATTAAAGAGTTCCCATAGGATCCACAAAAAACTATAGTAACTTATACAGTATAATATAATAATACACAACAACTTATGTACCTAATTTAGTAAAATTTGGAATGCTGATACCTTCCTTATATTACTGATTAAACAGCAGGTTACTTTTTATCTCGGAAAAATGAACAGTTCCCGTGGGATAGTTCTGTTTGTGCTTTTCTAAAGACGAACCCGAGCGAAGCGAGGTTGAGCCGTTAGTACTTTATAAAGCTTTCTAACGTAATATGATTCACTGTAGTACATGAATTGACATACTATATACTTCAAATTTAATACTTTGCCACATTAACAATACTAAAATCGAATCAATTTATACAGAGACCTGTCTTTCGGGCGTGGACAAACCGCACCAGTGAAAGGTGCTGAGATGCCCAAAATAGTGACCACCGAGCCCTGGGACGGCAAGGACGGAGAACTTCCCCCAGAAGAAGACATTGATCTCTCTGACGTAGATCTGGAGAAGGATGAACTATAAACTAGTGTATAGAGAATTGTGATGTGAAATGTTTTCAGAACTTTTTTTATCAAAATATCAGTTAAAATCCCCACTTTGTTGTTCGAAGCTTTGAAGTAAGGATGGGAATTGTATAGTCTTTTTTATAATTAGATGGAATTTGATGAATTTTTTTGTGTACTAGAATAGAAATATTGTATTGAAACCAGTGTTTTTGTATTATTTGTTTTTTTTGCCAATGTTTTGATATCTGACAATATATAGTTGCTAAATAATGCATATCCTAAACTATCATCACATTTACTAATCAGTGTAAATTCTCTTTATGAAATTTTAAAGTATATGTAATCTTTGTATAATGTATCTTATCATTATTTTTATTGTGATTATCAACTGGACGTTGTTATGCAAAATGGATACAGCCCACGAAAACAGTTTTTTAGAGCTACTATCACAAATGGTACCTACATATCAACTCATACATAAGCAGAAAAATACCCAATATTTAAGAGGAATTTCAAAAAAATCTACGATCTTGTTATTTTGATATACCAATTTTAGTAGAACTCCTATTTTCTCAAAAGCAAGCTTTTATGGTTGGGTTTATTTTGCGTAACTACTTTCAACTTCTAATCAAATCTTTGTCCCGTGTTTTGTTGTACAATTTATTATATAATTACGTTTCAGTAGTTTACTTATTGTTAATTAAAGACTGGTTCTAAAATGAAATAATAGATTTTACTAGGTTTAGTTTTGAATCACAATATCTGTAATTTTTAACATATTTTATTAATATTTTTAATGACAGTTCACAGTATATGTATTTCAATATTTTATAATTTATATTCTATATAATAAGTAAGAAACTGGCCGCGTCTCTTCCATTTAAATAATATTTTGAAGCATTTATTGTGGTCAGCTTGGAGTTTTTAAGAAATAAATAGCTAATAATAATAAATTCGCATTTTTTTATACCCTGTAATATGTATCCAAAGAAAATTATGAAAATAACCGGCCGAAACTATACAGTTTTAGAATTTTCGCCGTTCTGTCTTTCTGGGAACGCATCATGAGAAAACCACTGGACAGATTTTGATGAAATTTGGTATGATGATGGCCGATTATATACGATCCGGGTCAACATATAGGATACTTTTTACTGCGGTAAAATATCTCGTTTCTGAGAAATCCATAATAAACGTTAAAAAAGCTTTTTTGAAATGTATATATGTTTTTATCAATTTTCTAGAGAATTTATTTTAAACTATGTAAAATATTGCTCAAGCAGTAGGTAGCGGATTTGCTAATTATATTTACTCAGGCCATGGAAAAAGACAAAGGCCAAATTAGCACAATAGTGCAAAATATCATAAAAAACTTTGTTCATATACGTATTATATATGTATGTGTAACCGATGTAGATATATGAAATGCAGCTGAGGCTCAGCTCACTGCCAATTTCTACAAAATGGCATACTTAAGAGCACTGGCAACAGATTTATAACTAATTCGGAATTCCCAAAGCTTAACAACACAAACAAAAACACTGTCAAGAAGGAAATAGGCCTCCAGTCAGAAATACAAAATCCAGTTGGAAAAACACCTGAACGAACTGGCTAACCAGGTAACATAAGCTACCACAAACAACTCAAATGCCATGACTTACTACATAGACACTAGATTAAAGATTTCTGAATAACTGCTCCTGATATGGAGCTTCCTCGACCTTACGTCTATATACAATTATTAAGTCTGCTTAAAGTCACAAACAAGTCGGATAGCAGATATAAAAAAGATAATTAAATCTTGTTTTACTCTCTATCTGGTGAAATATTGAATTGTACTTAACTGTTTTTAGGAAAGAAAAATAAAACAAGATATTTAAAAAATAATTTTAATATTGAGCATTTCATTAAGTATGTGTAGACAACAAAGTCTGCTTTTAACTTGCACTGATATGTAAAAAAAATTAAGGTAATATTGATCAAAAAGCGATAATATTACCTTTGTTAAAAATAAGGGCAAGCAAATTGATAATACAAAAATTTATTCTAATTTATTATTTTAGTAATACTTTAAAAATTTATACATGAATTGTCGATTTGATTAATTTGAATTATAAAAAAATGACATATTTCTAAATTTCCACATTATATTATAATTTTTTATTAATTATACAGAAGTATGAAAATATTCAATAAATACTTGTGCCATTCTTGATTCCCTACTTTTTGTAGGACAATAAATACTAATATTACATCTGTAATGCATAAATACACTTCAAATAGCTTAGTAGTCAAAATTATTACATAAATAGCACATATGCAAATAGCATCACTCAATTATCATAAATATATGTTACAGGCCAAACTCAATTTCAGGCCAAACTAGTTTATCCTAGGCCAAACCAACTCATCCTATGTCAAACTAGTTATGCCTAAAGTATTTAAGCTGGATTATCCTGGGCTAAACTAGTATATCCTGACATACTTAATGAGTCGGTTTGGCCTAGGACAAACTAGTTTGGCCTGAAATCGGGTTTGCCCGGTACAACGACTACTCAGCCCGGAGCTGAGTAGTCGTTGTGGCCCGGTAATACATTTATAAAACCTAATTTACAAATAGAATAGTTACAAGTACTGTATTTTTAATACTTACAACATGTTAAAAATCTCAAAAATAGTTGTACATTAGAGCAGTTTCTAGTGCGGTACATGTTTTTCATTTGTTTAACCATAATTTATATTTTAACATTTTATGAAAAAAATAATATAAAAGCACCAAAGTGTTTTATTTGCTTATCTAAAGCAAACACCTAAGTACATATTTCTAAAATCTTATCTTCTAGTAAATATTAATGTAAAAATATTCAAAAAGTATACACAACTAGATTTCAATGTAAATGTTTTCACGCTAATGATAATACCCTCATAATATCTAATATGTGAACATCTATACATATAATAAAAGTGTAACTGATCACTGTCTGTACATGGAAGATATCTAAGATGAACTATTCTGGGGTTTTTTGTATATTGATTTGTGCACACTAATCTCAGAAATGGCTTAACCGATTTGGGTCCACTAATATATTGTGGTAAGCATCACTTAACATTTAGTATTTGTTTTATTTCAATCGGTTCATAAGCAAGTTATGTCAATTTAAAGAATGACCTAAGGATGAATCCGAGCGAAAGAAAGGTGAGTTGTAATACTTTATAAATTATGCAATTACAAAAATGTATTTCTTAAAGGGTTTAATACTTTATGAGTAACACAATACTTACAATTAACTAGAACAATTAACGTAAATCTGCCTTAAGTAATATAAATAGTAAAATTACATGATGACAATTTTTTATGAAATATCAACGCAAGCCTTACAGTATTTGGAATTTGCACTGTGTACAAATATGTATTATTACTGGGATATTAAATTTCAAGAATTTTACATATCAAAAATGTTATATTTTACTTTGTAACCTTATGGCACCTATTATTTGATACTTTTAACTTTTAAGTAATCACTTTCTTTAATCTACCTCTTAATCCTAAAAGGAACACAATGTAATCGAGTCCATCCTACATTAAGCATCAAAATTGGTCCAAAGCAGTCTTTTAAGGGGTAAAATTTACATAATATATCAATATATAGCATATTCAAGAATGAATAATAGAAGACACAAAGTATTATAGTTGAAATCATAAGTACTTCTAAAGGAAAAATGCAAGCCATTGTAAAGATTTGATCTGACTTGATCACATCTGTGGCTTACATCTGATATTATATCAGATATGCATTTAATATTCATGTATCTTATCTATAATAAAATATTGTCTTAAGCAACGGATGTCAAACCGATCATGTCATATTTTTTATTCTTTTGACAAATAATGGGGTAGCAAATAGAAAAATAGTACATTCCTGCAATTGCTAGTATGAAAGAAACAATAACAGTAATAATACCCCATGCTGACAGGCCCAGACCTCTTCTGGCAGGACCTTGATTGGGAAGGGCAGGAGGAGTGGCAGCAGAATTTGATTTAGTATTATCCTTATATCCTCTGCCATGTTTTGTATTGTATCCTCTGTATCGAAATCCATCACATGGATGGATGGCTAAATTTATTACTGAAATAAAAGATAAATAGAATAAATGTTTCAAAAATTTAGATGTTTTGATTATAAAAATTATGACACTTAAACATGTAAGAAACTCGATTTTTACATAAAATAGCACGTTTTTAAGTATTATTACATACCAAGTAGTCCAAGGCTTAGACGAAGAAAAAGTTTAAACATTTTAATAACTTCCTGTCTTTTATGTTTATAATTATTTATGATATATTTTACTTTTATAAATTGCAGGTTGGAGTAAAAGTATTTGATATGCTTCAAACACAAGATTACTACAGTACAGGGCACAAAGTGTAGGTAACAACTATAAAGTTGAAAGTTTAGACTTCAGACTGACTACCTATTAACTACTAAGTTTAAAAAAACTAAATTAAAAAAAATAACAACACGAAATTGTGACATTTCTACAGAAGTATTGCTACTATAAGTAATATATTACATAATAAGTATGAACAATTTAATTAATAAAATATTTTACATTATTTCTTATTTTATCCGTTGCATTTTTTAAAAACCACTACTACTAATAGAAAAGAGAATTCTACAAAATGTAATGATTTTAGTCCTTAGACTTATGAGACTAGACTTGACTAGAACTTTTTAAATAAAACTATCTTTTCGGATTTTGTCGCGGATTTATTTGGATTTTTGTTTCCCGACGTTTCGAATGCTTTACAGCATCCATGGTCACGGGAGAGACCATGGATGCTGTAAAGCATTCGAAACGTCGGGAAACAAAAATCCAAATAAATCCGCGACAAAATCCGAAAAGATAGTTTTATTTAAAATGTCAAATATTCGCGTAAATCTAAGAAAGTATTATTGACTAGAACTTTTTAAATTTAAAACGTGCGGAAATAGCATTTTAATAAGAATCGAACAATATTAATAAATTTTTATATTTATTGTATTCAATTAAATTTTAATATATTTCCTGTTTCATTTTAATAATTTGTTTTACCTGTGGCCTGTGCTGTCTTACGGTGCTGGCGTGTACTTCCGTTGCATGCGTTACACTGCGTTGTCAAATGTCAAAAGGAAATAGCACCGGCGATGGCTAAAATACAGATTTGCTTATTATTTGTGTTATTTATCGCTATAAAGTGTTATGGCGTTAATGTTGATACAATTTCTAGTAATATAAAAATTAAAAATGTGGATAGATCTATCGACCTTTCGTCTCAACTTGTTAAAATTTCATCTAAACTGACATTGGAAAACGCTGGAAAGGTGCCGGTTAAGAATTTCTTGTTAGCTGTTGAAAGTGCAGCTAAAAGTAATTTAGCCTTTATAGCTGCTAAAGATAGCAACAACAAGGAAGTTCAACTTGTCGAAACTTCTGTCAACGGTTATGATCAAGTCAAGTTTTGGCGTGTTGAATTAAAGGATACCATCAATGCAGGATCTACAGCAGTATATACTATTGAATCAGTATACACTAAGGCGTTGCTGCCATACCCAACTGCTATAACCCAGCAAGAAGATCAACTAGTTAAATATAATGGTAATTTATATTTCTTTTCACCATATGATGTATTGTCCCAAAAAACAAATGTTCTTCTCAACACAAAGTCTATCGAATCATTTACGAAGGTTAAACCATACTCACAGCCAGATGTTTCCATTTTATATGGACCTTATCCCAACATAGCTCCATTTACTGAGAAAGAATTGAGCATTCATTACAAGAACAATTCTCCTTTTTTGACTGTAACACGCTTAGAACGTTTGATTGAAGTGTCTCATTGGGGTAATATAGCTATTGAAGAGACTATTGAAGTTGAACATACAGGTGCCAAATTGAAGGGACCATTTTCAAGATATGATTATCAACAAGATCATCATAGTGGACCAGCTAGTGTACGCAATTACAAAACACTCCTTCCAGCTTCTGCATCAGATGTTTACTACAGAGACAGCAATGGGAACATCTCTACTTCTAATATGAAAGTTAAAAAGGACTCTGTAGAATTGGACTTGAGACCAAGATACCCATTGTTTGGTGGTTGGAGGTCACATTACACTCTTGGATATAATGTTCCAAGCTATGAATACTTATTCCACTCTGGTAATGAATATTTACTGAAAATGAGAGCAATTGACCACGTATTTGATGACATGCAAATTGATGAACTTGTCACTAAGATTATCTTGCCCGAGGGATCAACTAATATCAAAGTGAATTTCCCATTTGCAGTAACCAGGCTACCTGATACCCTTCATTACACATACTTGGACACTAAGGGTCGCCCAGTCATATCTTTTACTAAGAAAAACATTGTGGAAAACCATATACAAGATTTCCAACTTCGTTATACATTCCCCAGACTTTTAATGTTACAAGAACCTTTATTAGTTGTTGGTTTCTTATATGCATTATTTTTATGTGTCATTATTTATGTAAGATTAGATTTCTCTATTCATAAGCCTGAACATCATAAAGATTAATATTTTTTTTAAATGTATAAGTTATTTTTTTTTTAAATTAAACACTAGATGCAATAAAGTATGGAGAAAATGCACATATTGTGTCTCAAATTGTGTTGAGAATAAAATTATTCAATTAAATAATGTTGGTTTCATTGATACCTTTTTCATTCCTTCACCAAAGTATACAAATATATATTAACATATCTTACTTTATAATAATATCTTATTTATTCCCTTAGTACTTATATATATATATATATATATATATATATGTGTGTGTATATATATATTGAGATATATTCGGGATAAAAAATCCTATATACCTACTTATCATGCATTTCTTTCCTGTAGACTAGTTTTATCATGGTTGATAAATATATAAACAAATTTCTAATAGCAATAGAATGGTTAACTTTGTTATAATACCAATTATCGAAACAGTCAATTGGTCTGGCAATTGTAGCTGGGCGTGAGGACAAACGAGGAGGCCCACCTCGGTGGGCGGTGTACCTCGCGGGACGCTCTTGGTACTTCTCTAACTGTAAAACATTACACGCCTTTGGCTGTTTTTGCGTGTTAGCCAAAAAAAACACTTGATTTAATAAATTATGTTAAGTCTAGTAGATCTAATAAATAAAATAATAAAAACTATTTAATATAAATCTTGGACCTTTCTATTTAACAATGAAACAATATTAACGTACAAAAATTATCTTTATTAGTTTTGAGAAGTCATAAGGAACTAGAATATATACAGTTTTACTTACAGAATTTGAGCTTGAAATATTTATAATTACAGTAGCATTAATTTATTCTTTGTAAGTATAAAAAACAAACTAAGTTGGTATTCTGTAGCTTACAATATATAGGTTTAAACAATGATGTTTTATAATATAGATATTAGATACGTTATACGTTCACAAAACCAGCGAAAAAAATGTCCCAAATCCAGCGGCAGCACACATGCTCACACATTTTTAGTTTTATTAAACTACCACATTACCAAATGATGTGAAAGGGATAGCGTAATTAAAACTATAAGAAAAAAAAAGACAGCTAGTGTTTGTCACTTGCGCGTAAATTTTATTTGAATTAATCATGGCGTCTTTATTCGTTTACAAAAAATTATAAACCAAATAAAGTGTAATAATTTCGGCTTACTTACCTGTGATATGTGATCTCATGACGAAAAAATTTTAGTTATAAAAACCAATGTTATACAGCGGTTAGCAAATTTGGAAGCACGTGCGTATTCTTTACTTATTAAAGTGACTGAGGCCAATGGAGATTATAGCCTCCATTTGTGCGCTTCACTTTTAGAGCGCTAATAATCTATCTCTTTTATTATATCATTGGGTTTAAACAGTTAAAGTTCCATTCAAATTCCACAGTAAATATTGTATAGTATAAAAAGGACAACCTGGAGTAGATAAATCTTTTTATAACTAATTTATATTAGAAATAATCTTAAAATATGCCAATTCCCTAAAAGTCGATAAAATATTAACAGTATACATACATACATACATACAAACAATTTATACATTTTAGCGTTAACAAATAAAATTCATATATTTTGAATTTTCAAATATTACTAATAAAATAAATAGTATTGAAATTAATTAAGAGAAATGGAAAAATATTTGAACCGATTTTACTAACTTGAAATTTAGGCCACATACATCAATCATGTTCATATTACATACTAGCGGCTCACCCTCGTTTCGCTCGGGTTCACCTCTAGAAAAAGAAAAACAAATCTATCCCACGGGAACCGTACATTTTTCCGGGATAAAAAATTGCCTATGTGTTATAAAAGATAAAGCGATATTATTATAAAGTCTCATTAAAATCCATTTAGTACTTTTTACGTGAAAGAGTAACAAACATCCATATATCTATACATACTTACATACTCACAAACATTCGCATTTATAATATTAGTATAGATTATAAATACGTAAGCTTTTTATGATACAATATTAAAAAGTTATCAGGCTCCGATGTCTTGTTTTTTAATATTTTGTATAAAATATATTAGGCACACAATAATTGAGATATTAACGAGCTCTATATTTAGCTAAAATATAAAAACATGATAATTGAATTTTTGTTTCACCCATAACAAAGTCTAACATAATTGATAACAAATGTTAGGTATTAGTGAAAATTCTTATGATATTGTATTATGAGGTTTATATAGTAATTAAATTAAGCACAATTTGACCTATCTAATATACTAAACTCGCTCCTATTGCTAAGCTTTTAAGGTCCATTTTAGGGCATTTTGTATTTGACAAGTACGGCGTCCCAACTGTCTGACGTCACAAATCATGGTTAGAAAGGAAAAAATAATTTTTTAACCCCCGACGCAAAAACGACGGGATTTTATAAGTTTGACGTGTCTGTGTGTGTGTCTGTCTGTGGTATCGTAGCTCACGAACGAACGAACCGATTTAGAATTTGTTGTTTTTAGTTGAAAGGTGAATTAGTCGGGAGTGTTCGTAGCTATGTTTGATTAATGATCGTTCCAAGATGGCCGCCTTTTTTTATAGATATTTTAGGCTTTTTACATTCATACTATTTTTATCATTTTATGTCGGGTTTTTATACATTTTTAATATTTATTTAAATAAATATAAATGAAATATTAACATTATTTATTTTACATATTATTTAGTACTCGGCAAATCTTAGCTAGGAGTTGCTTAAATTAAACAATATTTTGTTACCTTTCATAGTCCATATAGAAATGCCAAAAGTTAGAAAAAGACAAAAAATGTTTAAAGTATCAATGTACAAAATAGAACTCTATTGCTATACAATGTTGCTATGGCGTTGGTGTAGGACAGCATTAGCTACGTCTTGATAGATGACGTTGTGACATCACACAAGTTAGAAAAAGACAAAAAAGTTTAACTTAAGGAACATTAATAAGGGAGCATCCATTAATTACGTGAGGGATTTTCGACTCCCCCTTCCCCCTCCCCTAATCTCACGTGAGATTTTTTAAATGCGTATTTCCAATGTAAATGCGTTAATCTGTGCTTCGATTACATTAGATTTATTGAAAAAAAAACAATTTTCTTACTAATTACAATAAGTTTAGTATTTAAGATTTTTAATGACGTAGCATAAAGTGAAAATGAGAAAATCAAACAACAAAATACTTAAACAGGAACAATAAAAGTCGTAAACGAATTTTATTATATATTATTATTGAATGTTAAGAAATATTTGTTCATATTTAATAAATGAACAAATTGTTTCCAAAAAAAAATGATTTTTTCAATTTTTTAATAAATTCTTCTATCAGTGCATAATTAAACCGCATACCTAAATAAACCCAGTTTTCTCGCAATTTTACACTGTTTCTTGCGGAAAATAAATCACGCGATATTTGCCGAGACCACTCCCTCCCCCACGTGAGATTGAGTGAGGTTTTGCTCGACTCCCCCCCCACTCTCTCCCCCTCCCCAACCCCCTCTCCCTAAACACCTCACGTAATTAATGGATGCCCCCTAAAGGTATATATACATATCATATTGTACCAAATAGATCTCTATCTCTATATAATTAGAGTCCATATTCGGACATCTTGTATCGGACGACGACGGGCGCGCTGGTGCACGGCAGCACGGCCAGCTCCGTGACGACGGCCGTGACGAGCGACGGCGGCGTCACGTCGTACGTTAGGTTCAGCAGCGACAGGTTGGGGTTCGAGCGCCAGTCCTTTAGTGGAGAGTTCTCGTCCGTTTTGTCTATCAGCTCGTCGGGGTCACCTATCAAGAATTTGGTAGTTCGAAATATATTTATTTAATAATAGCTTAAAAAATGGTCTTTTTTTTATATTAAATATACTAATATTTATTCCAATCCTTTCAATAAGGGTTTGCATGCTCATTGAATGTGTTTTTTGTGATTACGTTTACCTATACTCTGTAAATAGCTTACAGACCTTTTTTTGTCTAATTTAGAGTTTAACACTTACATAATTTGTCACAGAATCATACCTCGGTGTACACGCGGGTTATGATTAGTCTAGCATTTACCTATTTATAATACACTAGCATTGCCCGCGGCTCTGCCCGCGTTCAGATGACCGAAAAACAAATTCTTAGGTTTTACATATTAGTATACTCTTACATTGCAGTTTTTGTATTTATTTTCAGAAATGAGATATTTTCCCGCGGTAAAAAGTATCCTGTATGTTGACCCGGATAACCAGCTATCACCATACCAAATTTCATCAAAAACCCATCTAGTGGTTTTCTGTGATGCGGTAACAGACAAATAGACAGACAAAAATTCTAAAAACTATAGATTAAAATTATATATATTGATAATAATGTCTATTTCAATCAGATTTTCCAAAAAATATTTAATGTACAGATTCGGCTTAGTTACAATTTTATTATATGTATAGACTAGCGACTCAGGTCAGCGAGTCAGGTTAATCCACCACACCCACTAAAGACCTACCCAGTTCACTGTAGACTCAGCCGTCAGCCTGTACGTAGGTCTGACACCTACCTATCTCCACAACCTCAAACTATTCCAATTTCCAATACATACCCAACTCGTTATACACGAAGGCGTCAGTCTGCACGGTGTCCGCGAACTTGTGCGTCTCGCAGGCGACGAGCAGCGGCACGTTGTGCGCGCGCGCCGCCTGCGCCGCCGCCAGCGTGCCGGCCGCCGCCAGCACCGCGCCGTTCACCAGCAGCGACGCGCAACCCACTATCACTTTGTCCACCTGAGTGGTGGGTACACACATATATATAATACAGTTTAAAAAACTAAAAAAACACGATTTAATGTTGAACCGAACTAAACATGAAATATTTTTAGTATAACAATAAAGTAATTAACGAGAAAATAAATGTTATGGTAAGAAAAAAAAAACGTGGAGTGCTCGATATCAGTTATTATAAATACTCCATTGGTACGATTTCTAGCAGTAGAGTAAGTATAATAATATTGTACAAGCACTCCACGGCATACTCGACAACACGTTTGGCTCCTTTTGTAGTAACCCTACTTACTGTGACAGCGGTCACGGGTTTAAGTCCGCTGGGAGCATTCATTTGTGTAATCACGAATATTTGTACTCCAGTCTTGGGTATTTACACTTATAGTATATATATGTAGTGTATCAACTACCTGGTATCCAAAGGACAAGCCTCGCAGCTTACCATGTAACTAGATGGCGCTGTGTGTTAATGTCCCAAAATATTTATTTATTGAAGGGATTTTCTGTCTTATCTGCCTAGTAACTATTTATTCAAGTTGTTTGTCCATCTAGTGATGTAATGTAGTGTGTATAGTGTTAAGTGTAGATCGACTCACGTCCCGCATGAGCGTGCTGAGCGCGGAGATGTCGGCGTAGAGCGCGGGCACGCGGCGCGCCAGCAGGCGGCGCAGCAGCGTGCGGCCGCCGGCGCCGGCGCCCGCGCGCGCGCCCACCACCACCGCGCGGAAGCGCACGCCCGCGCCGTGCGCCTCCACCAGGATGCGCTCCACCAGCGACGAGCTGGGTTTCATTATATGTTTCATCATTCAATTAACAAATAAATTAATGTGTTTATTTTTGTTATGTTTAATCAGCGCTGAATTTACATTAGGGGCACTCGGGGCTAGTGCCCAGGGCGGCAAAATTCGAAGAATAAAAAAATCTTCGCAGTACAATATATATATAGTAAAAAAAATTATATCATATTAATTATTATTAAAAAAATTATATCATATTTATGTATTTATCAAAAAAAAAAAAGATCTTTATCGAAACTTGATGCATTTTATGCAAAATTTATTTCTTTTTTATAGTGCTCAGGGGTGGCGCTAAATTTGAATCCAGCACTGTGTTTAATCTATAGCTATAATAAAATCTTAACTGAATCGAATCTGTACATTATATTTAATTTACAGTACAAAAACTATTGATTTGGAAACTCTCATTGAAATAATCATTATTATCGATACAGAGGGCAAACCTATAGTTTTTTTAAAAAAATTCCGTCATCCTGCCTGTGACCACATCACGAAAAAACCACTAGACTTTAATGAAATTTGGTCTTGAACATATATTACATATATTTAAAAATAATTTTGTATAACATATTGCTTAATAACACTCAAATTTTTCGGTCTCTGTATTGATAGTAATGTCTATTTCAATAAAATTTTCCAAAAAATATTTAATGTACATATTCGACTCAGTAAGACTTTTATTATATGTATAGATAGTAAAACATAATTGAAAACGCCAGTATCTTTATTATATTACTTAAGAATTCAAAATTCAAATACAATTAATCAGCAATATTTTTTTATATATACATAAAAATCATAATTACCATCCGTATGTGAGTATATTGTCGCCGTCGCATATCTTCTTTCGCACGGCGAGGCTGATGGCCTCGCCCGCCATGTCGATCTGCTCGCGGATGTAGCGGTCGATCTCCTCTTGGAGACGCTTCTTTGCCTGATTTGTTATACCATTATAGTATTACTAGCGGACCCGACAGACGTTGTCCTGTCTACACGTCTTTAATTTGAAAATTTCAAACTTTTTTTAATAATTTTTTTCATGAAAATTATTATTCAAATTGTGAATCTAAACCATTCCCAGATCCCCTTGAACACACACAAAAGATTTCATCAAAATCGGTCCAGTCGTTTGAGAGAAGTTCAGTGACATACACACTCACAGAAGAATTATATATATAAAGATATACTGTGCATATTTAATACTATTTTTAACCTCCGACACAAAAACGACTGGATGTTATTAGTTTGATGTGTCTGTTTGTGGCATAGTAGCTCCGGAATGGATAAACCGATTTTGATTGTTTCTTTTTTGTTTGAAAGGTGAATTAGTCGGGAGTGTTCTTAGCTATGTTTGATGAAAATCGGTCCAAGATGGTCGGGGTTATTAAAATTTTTAATTTATCACTCGTTGAAGCAATTTGATAAACAGTTATGACACAAACAATTATGATGTATTATAATTAATATTATTCATCTGTCTTACCTAGAAAATTTGTGTAAATGAGTTGTAAAAATTTTCATATATAGTTAATTACGTTAACACGTTAACGTTAGTAAGGTTCGTAGGTTCATTAAAATTATAAAAAAAACAAAACGACGGATTTAAGGGGTGAATTTGATCATCTTGAAAATATATTATATAGTATTTAAAAATAATTTTGTGTAACATATTGCTTAGTAACACTCACTGCCGAAAACTAAAAAACTAAAAAAGAGAGTAACAAGACTTGTGTCAGTGAGTAAATATAAAACATCCATATCTCTGGCTGCAAATACTTTATCTAGCTACTCCCTTATTATTTGTGTAGTTTCATTATAAAAAAATTCAAATTCTAAAATTATTACTATCAAACATGCTCTGTAATATTATATCTCCAATTATGATTAAAGATGGAAGAGGGCGCTGACTCGTGACATACAGGTTTATTCTAGTTTGTGAGTCAGAGGTTTCAACGGGCTTATGTAACAACAAAGAATTGTGTCAATAAAGATATTCCATTGTATTCTATTCTAAAATCCAAAGATATGCTCACATCGAACTCGTCAACACCATTGGGCAGCATGGTGATGTGGTGTCGCAGGTGCTTGAGCGCGTTGACCTGCGCGGCGGCGGGCGCGCGCGCGGCCGCCAGCCAGCGCGCCGCCGCCGCCGTGGCCGCCTCCAGCGCGCGCCCGAACTCCGTGCGCGCCGGCTGGCTGTAGTCGCGCACCATCTGTCACACGGCACGCTTGCCTCAGTTTGTAATCACCCTCACTCTACTCACTGCGTCAGCGGTCCCGGGTTCGAGTCCCGCTGGGGGCATTCGTTTGTGTGATGAGCACGAATGTTTGTACTCCAGTCATGGATATTTATATTTATGATATGTATGTATTTAAAGTTAAATATAAGTGTAGTGTATCAACTATCTGGTATCCATAATACAAGCCTAGTAGCTGACCATGGAACCATATGGTGCTGTGTGTTAATGTCCCAATATATTATTATTATATTATTATACTATACTTAAAAAAAATATATAAAAACATATAATCTGATATTTTAATTTTTTTATGTAAAAGTATATTTTTAAGGAATCTAAGCACAATAGCCGAGAATCCTATATAAATGAAAAAAATCTTATCATAAAACATACCTTCTTCAGAGCATCCAATAAAGCGATGCACCTCGCATTGGACCCCGTCACCACATGCGACGCCAACTGAACACCCAGTTTTACTACTGCTGGATGCAAACTAAAAAATATTAATTTATTCAATAAATATCGATTTATTCATCGATCGATTAATGATTATAATTAATTGAATAATTATTAATGCATGCACTTCATTACTCACTTTCTTGCTTACTTCCTTTGATCCGTAAATATTACTGTTCTGTTTTTAAATGGATAAAAATAATTATTGCGAGTGTTAAGAGACTGACATATGCTATTGCAGACTTTTTTGTAGGCCTTTTCAGGACCTACAATTTTCTATTACATTTTTTTTATGTATCTCTTAAGTTTTAGCCAGCGTTAGCCATATACATTTCTAAGGACGACTCGACAGAACCAAGTACTGTTTCCCCATGGGAATGAAACATTTTTCGATAGTAAAAGGTATCCTTAATTTTGACCCGAGTAATAAGTTATCACTACACAAAATTTAGTTGAAATTGATTCAGATCTTTTTGCGTGAAATGCACACAGAGGTACAGACAAACAGACAAAAATATAATTAACTACATTTTGGGGTCTAAATTTTGTACACAATATGTAAATCATTGTTTTTAAAAAATATCTCATGTACAGATTTCGTTTGGGTACTATTTTATTGTATGTATAGGTGATTTCTATCAGTATTTGGAAAGAACAAAGCTGACCCCCTCTTTGAATTCAGTAAAAAAAATTTTTTGTAGGGATTAGGTAATTGAACTTGAATCATTGGATTAAAAAAATCTATAATATTAAAAAAAAGTATTGATGTATTTACTTTGAGTTAACAGCCATTTGTTTGAAAGTTTCATTGTCGTGTTCGGTATAGAGATGCTGAAACCAGTTCATTTTAGGCATACTTTGAGGTTTCGACTTGGGCTTTTCTTCTACTTTTGGTTTTGGCTTTTCCTAGAAAATAAAAGTTTAAATTAAAAAATAAAAATAGGTATATTTGATTAAGTAGATTTTAATTTAATCAAGAGTAGATCGATAAATTTCTTCCATGTGATTTCTTAATGCCATATGTTTTCATTACATACAAAAGAAAATTAAATTTACTGATTTCAAACTAGATATAAAACTAAAAGCAAAAAAAATTAAATACCTACCTCTTCAGGTTTAGTGGGTGCTTTTTTAACTTCTACTTTAACTTCTGCCTTTTGCTGTTGTGCAGCTTGCTTGGCCGCCCTCTGAGCTTCTTGCTTGGCACGTCTTTCCGCTTTCAACTCAGCTTTGCTTTTTGTTTGCTCTTCTTCTGGTTGCTTAAAAAACAAACAAGACAAATAAAAATAATGCAAACTAATATTACCTACTAGTGCCTCACCCTCGCTTCGCTGAAGTTCGTCCCTAGGTAGATTTTCTAATACAAACTTCATCCCCATTTTCACCCCATTAAGGAATGATTTCCGGGTTAAAAATTACCCTTTGTCCTTCGCAGGGTTTCAAACTATCTTCTGGCCTCAATTTCAAAAATCGGTTAAGTAGTTCCAGAGATTACTTCCTTCAAACAAACACACAAACTATCAATTTATATTATATGATAAATATTAATTTCCTCCATAAATGACGATTTTTTTATAATAACAGCGACTATTGAAACAAGTGACAAAAAGTAAAAAAAGTACTTACTTTTTTACCGTGCAAATCTATAGCTATCACTTTATCTGTTACTGCTTGAACTTCTCTTGCAACATTTACAATGTCTTTCAGAGTGTTTACTACCTCCCTAACTGTCAAATCATTAATAACTGTATCGTTATCAGATTTATCATTATTATTTAAAGCCAGTTTATCATTAACACATTTATCATTACTAGACTTATCATTACCAGGTTTCTCATTTTCATTAGGTTTCTTTTTAGCTTGCTTTGCTGCTTTTTTTGCTGCTCTTTCTGCTTTAATGGCTTCCTTAGACCTATCTGTGTCTATTATAACATTTTCTGTTTTAGCCATTTCGATAGCTCTATCTACTTCATCTTTACTTTTTACCGATTCTGTTATTGATTTAGATTCCTTGGTTTCTGGTTCATTTTTTGAAGGTTCTTTCTCAGAATTTATTTTACTTTTAACTTGTTCCAAGTTAGTAGTAATTGATGTGTTAGCATTTACTTTATTAGGATCATCTACATCTTTTTTCTTTGCTTTTTGCTTAGCCAATTTCTTAGCTTCTCTTGCAGCCAACACTCCATCTCTCGATTTTTCAGATCCATCTTTAGAGGACATTTCTGTTTTATTTATTACTCTTTGTAGTTTTTCTTTCAAGTTATTTTGCTCACTTTCTGAAATTATCAAATATTTGGTTTTTGATATTTTCTATATAATATTTAAAATTGTTTTGTTTAAAGTCATACTAACAAACTTATTGGACTAGAGAATTGTTTATGAGAAATATGAAATTATAATAAAAAAAGTATATAAATTTTGAACTATTTTTAAATAGCTAAATGAGTCCTATATTTATCTTTTTTTTTTTTTTATTACCTTTATCATTATACTATAAATGGATAAAGAAGCTTTAAAACAATAGAAGATTTACATGAATATTGAGATTATAGAGTTTAAACTTCTATGGTCTCTAAGCCATTTCTGCTGAAATACATTAATTAATTTTGTATATTTGATGCCTAAGAACATTAAAACATATTAGAATAATCTTCATACTCAGTATCCGTGCAGCTTGTAATTTCTTTCTTCTTAATCTTCTTTTTTTGGCAGTGGTTATAGCTGATGAATTGAGATCCTGACTGATTAAAATACTTTCCTGAAACATGTAAATAAAACATATCTTTACAACTTTATTTGGTAACTGTTCATTCTTTCTAATATTTGAATGTGTTATCCATATTGCATAATTGTATTGTCTTGTAACTGAATTATATGTATGTAATAATAGTACAATAATCCCCAAAAAATTCAAAGAACTTTCAAAAGGTCTGAAAAATATGAACCCTGAAAATCATTATTAAATATATATTTTTTTATGTAATACAACTACTTAGTGTTCGATAAACTTGAGAATAAACTGTTTTTGCTCTAATTAATCATTCATGCTTTACAGTCACCTAAATTTAGCAAATTCATCAGTTGTAATTATTATGAAATGTAAGTAAAATATAAATATGGATTTTTATAATAACTGGTGAAATATTACACATTCTAATTTCTTAAAATGTGATAAGATATAGTGATAAATATTTTATAATATGGAAATTCTGATTTAAAACATCATCACTGTAATAATTTAACCTTAAAAATATTGACACATCATATCAACATATCAAATACCTTAGACAAAACCATAGCTGCTTTTCCTTAGTAAGCTATAAAACAAGCAAAGAAGTTAAAGTATAAGTTAGGAAAATGTTATTTAAGACAAAATTCATTTTTATATTTTGGGTGGCTTACCTTATTATTGTAATGGGTTTTCTGTATTACATGAAGATATCAATGTTTTGTGGCGAATGCAATATAAACGATTAAATGTTATAAAATAAGGTAATTACTATATAAATACTAAGATAGTAAGGTAAGAACTTTCCTATTTGGATTTTGGATTTGAATTTTTCGCTTTCTATTTTAAGGAATCGATTTAAACTGACATTTGTATTTTGTAATGGCCCTTTTTTAATTTGTATCGATATTATGATTTTTAAATATAACTTTGTTTATCTATGCATATATATTTTGAATTAAGTGCACTTATTTATTATATATTTTAGAATGATCATTTATTATTACTAATATGTGCCTAGATAGCCTTGTAATCTGATTTATTCTTGACCATCAATTATAAGAAATATCGAAATGAGATATCAGTAATATTAAAATTTTATATAACAGAATATAAATCTATGTCTAATGATGAGAATATATGATATTTATGTTTATACAATTTACGCTGTAGAAAATCGATCAAAACATCGATACAAAATTATCAACCCTCGTAAACCTGATACATCTATGGAAAAGTTGAAATTTTCCTTTAATGTGACATTATTCGTTTATGCTCTATGGTTATTACTTGTGAGTTGTGTTGTGTCCATAGACCAAGAAGGACAAGATGTGTCCATGGTTGTGTCCATTTGTGACTAAGTTGAGTTGAGAAGTTGAGTTGGGACTTGATAATTATTGAGCACATACAGCAAACTATATAGAAATGCTAGTATTACTCACGTCATCTAAAAAGAATGCTGGAAGAAAGTGGAAGGGGTAGCTTGCGCATGGATATACTCGCGCACAAAAGTACTAAGCCTATTATTTTATTTTTCATAGCATTTCGCTCGCGGCTTCATATATTAGTTATTGGTAGGGACATTGAAAAATATATTAGATAGAATATCATTAAATAGAATTCTATTCATTATTAAAATATGTTTGATTCAGTGCAGAATGTTTAATCTACTTAAAAAAATTAAATTAATACGTTTAATACATTTTTTTTATTATTAACTGCATTATTATTAGACTCTCTCTTTGTAAAGCAATATACGTCAAAAACAATTTTTCTCTTTTCTATATATAAAACCATTTCGTAATTAAAAACTTTTGTGTGCGCGATAGTATTTCAAACTGACGAACCAATAGCGCACCGGCCAGCATGTGGCGCGTGCCCCGCCGCCCCGCACCCCACTTCTTACCACCAATTTGACCGATAAGTCGCTTCTGCGCAGCTTGACAGCCAGCGTTCTTTTTAGATGACGCGAGTTATAGCTGGTACCACAGATCTGGTGGCTGCTACGGAGTTGAGATAGGAATTAGGAGATACTGTTATATCAAACTCATGGAGGGTGTAAACTGTAGTGTAGACACACTATTCAACTGGAACGCTTTGAAGCCATTAACAAAAGAATTAAATTTAATTTTCAGAGAAATGTTTCTATATGATTATTTTCTCAATTAATAATTAACATGACAATTTGTTTCTATTTTAGTACAGCTGATTTATGTTTCTTCGAATTATAACTATAGCTCAACCTCGCTTCGCTCGGGAAGCCTCTAGGAAAAACAAGAAATCTATTCTACGGGAACCGTACATTTTCAAAAAGTAACCTATGTGCTATTCCAGACGATAATCTATGTGGCAAATTTAATCCAGATCCGTTCAGCCCTTCTGGCGTGATTGAGTAAAGTAACAAACATCCAAACATCTAAATTTTCTCAAAATATTAGTAAGATTAAGTATTCTTTACTGCACTTAAATTTTAAATACAGTAGGTAATTAAAATGCAACTTTTATTTGCAAAGGTGGTCTTCTCTAAAAGAGATCTCTTCCAGCCAATCTACCAACCTATAGTAGTGAGAAAGTGTTATGAAGCAGAATTACTATTAGTACTAGTATAGTATTATTTGATCTGTGCTATTAGAAATTAAAAAAAAAACTCATTTTTTCACATTACCGTCATGTAAATTCTAACAAACGCAGCGGTTACAATTTACATTCTCTTTGATTGTAACAATCACACTGCTTTAGATTTCTTTATAAACCTTTTATAATATAAACCCTGATAACTGATAAGCCAACGGAAAAACAGTTTCCGACACCTTGTTAAATACATATTGGTTATAGGATATTTTTTTGTTAGAATTGCATTACATTCCTTAAAGAATAAAATAATACACGTACTAAAAATACATAAATGTATTTATTGCTTAAATTTTAACATGTATCTCTTAGGAGTAATACACAGATACGCGAAGCAAAATAAGTTAATAATTACATTTAAATTAAAAATAGAAAGGTAACCGTTTAATAATCAGTGGTTAACAATAAATATACATTAAAATAATGACAAAAACAGCGTTATAGCGAAACATTATATATTGATATATACGACTGCTCCGTAATTAGGACTAGTCGCAAATACGTATTTTTTCGCTTTAGCTCTGTCGATGTTACTATGTTTAACATAAAATTCGTCCTCTAATTTCTTAATATATTCATCGACTTTTTCGTTTGGACACAATGCTACAATACATCCACCCCAGCCCGCGCCTGTTAGTCGTGAATGTATATTCATGGTTTTTGATATGTCTACCAAGATATCTAGATTTTTATGAGAACATTCATACAATGTTTTTAAACTTTCATGACTGCCTGACATCAATTTTCCTAATTTAACTAAAATATCATTTTTATCTCCACATGTACCATTAGTTGACCCATTACTATCTCCATTCGTAGTAGTCGCACAAATTTTACGAAAGGCATCAACCCGTAGAGCTTCCTCATACACATGCAAAGCCCTTTGTTTTAATTTAAATTCTTTAAGATGTCTTGTATTCGGAGTTAAGTATAAATTATTGATTTCATCTTCAGTAATATTTAATATTGAACAAACTTCTTCTTTAATATATATTTCTTTTGGTAGTTTCTCATGCACTAGGGCTACCATATTTTCTAAGCTTTTATCAAGTAATTTTTGTACCTGACTTAAAGTAACTATAGTATGATCACTCACAGTATTAGAAGTTAAAGCTAATATCTTCGCGGCTAGTCTACATTCTATAACTCGCTGGTTGTAATCATTAGTAGCAGCTTTATTTAATTCAGCTAAGCTATGAGCTACAACAAACGAAGCATTTTCGGGTAAAATAACCTTCGTGGCTTTGAGGGGGTTCCACGTAATATACTGAGCACAATATTTTTCTGCCAGAAATGCTATGGCTTGGTCCATTCCACCTCCTTGAGTTCCTATATATCTTTCACTTCTAGCACAAAGAGAAGCTATGTCTTTTTTGTTTAATGTTATCTTTTGAGCGTACATAAATGCCAAGCACGCTACACTAACTAATGCTGAAGAACTAGATAATCCTGAAGCTGGTGGAATATTTCCATCAACACAAAGCTGTACTCCACTGGACACTTTATTTTCTAAATGTTCTAAAGCTCCTTTTATTCCGCAAAGCACATAATTGTACCAAAACGGTTTTCCATTTGAATCCGCTTCTATATCAATTTCATTATATGGCTTTATTTCAAAATCTTTACTTTCATACATACAATTCATGTTCCGTAGATAAATTTTATGTTCTTTTATCAACCGGCCAGCTACAAGTATATCCTGTTCTAATGCCATTGGCAACACCGGATAGCCGCAATAATCAATATGTTCGCCAATTAGATTAACTCTGCCGGGAACACGAGCAAAAAAATCCGGTGTACATCCAAATTCATTCATGAAATGGTCACTTAGACTTTGAATACGTTCATTTGTAGGCACTTTTAATATTGGTACGTGAAAATCGTCTCCGCCCATTTTTTATCAAGTAGTACAGTTTGTAAATAAACAAAACGACAAAGGAACTTGTGTACACAATGGCAGCTGAGTTGCAACTGAAAATTGTTTATTTCAATCGCTTCGTTATCAGCGAGAAGAATACGATTATAGTTATTGTGTATATGAATTCTGAAGTATGCAGGACTTTGTTAAACACCACTTTGTTTACAGTCTTTACCACGACACAATGTTTCGTTTAGGTATTTAAAAAGTTTGAGTTTACCCGTATTTTGTTACTTTTTTCACTAATAATATAAATAACACTTAATGTGAAAGCAATTGATAAAATTATGAGTATCTTTTCTTTAACCTAACCTAAAATCTTAAACTAGGTAGGTATCTTAACAGCGACGCGTCTCGCTAGTTACTAACAAACTTGACGTATCTGTATTGTGTATTCATTCCGATATACAGTTATCATATATTTATATTTATAACAGGTTTATACAAAGAACTTTCGATTTTATCTTTGAGAGCATCTTTATTTCTACTCAAACGGAAAAAGTATGATATTGATTATATTGACCTGAATAACTATTGCGTCGCAGAAATATTTTAGTAAAAAAATCATGAAATTTTAAATTTAATTCGACGCGATACTACTTTTCAACCGACTTCAAAAATGGAGGTCGCCGACAATGCTTTAAGATATGAATATCCAATAGGTAAATATGACAAGGTATGAACTCTAGTTATAGTTAAAATATTATATATCAATTTGTGATATACTCATATTTTCATGCGGATCAAAATAGATTTGCTTTGCTTTGCATCGGCTGGCACTGAATTTAAAAATATTTGACTAGGTATCTTTATTAAATGAAAATCTCCGTTCAGTTATTTTTTCCTTTTTTGTGCCTGAAAGTCGGTTTTTAATATTTTTTTGAAGGCGGTTTAATTTGTATTAAATTACTTTTTTGTCTATTCAATTGCTTAATACTGATGTTTGATGATTATTATTTTAAATGAAATTGACGCAAAAGCATTTATAATTATTATTAACTAGCATTGCCCGCGGCTCCACCCGCGTTCTGATGACCAAAAACCAAATTCTTAGTTTTTACATATTAGTATACTCTTACATTGCAGTTTTTGTACTTTTTCTCAAAAAGGAGATATTTTCCCGCGGTAAAAAGTATCCTATATGTTGACCCGGATAACCAGCTCACCTCATACCAAATTTCATCAACATCCCTCCAGTAGTTTATCAGATTGTCCAGTGGTTTTCTCGTGTTGCGTTCACACACAGACAGACAGACAAATTCTAAAAAATATAGATTCGGCCTCTGTATCGATAATAATGTTTATTTCAATAAGATTTTCCAAAAAATATCTAATGTACAGATTCGGCTTAGTTACAATTTTATTATATGTATAGATTATGGGGCCGTCAAGGGACACAAGTTTAATAAAACATTCTGAAATTATGTAGGTTAGTAGGTAGGTCTTAGATACTTAAATATTCGACTAAATAAATCGATAGAAACATCAATTTATTCATTAACAGCAACTCACCCTCGCTTCGCTCGGGTTTGTCCCTAGGCATGTTTTGACGGTTAGTATGGAATATATAACGAGTTATTGGGGGTTGTATTATGACGTGTTTTTTCCGTGGGAATGAGAATATAATCTCCCGCGGGCAAAAGTAGCCTATGTCATTTTCCAGCCCTCCAACTATCTCCACCTAAAAAAATCATGCAAAGCCCTCATTGTTTTAATGTGAAAGAAGGACAACAAACACACTTTCACATTTATAATATTAGTGTGGATATAGATTATAAGTAGTACAGGATAAGAATATTCATACCAACAGTTACATTGTAAAGTAAGTATCAAACCCAATAACTTCGGATCACTATATTACGATTCAGCGGACGTTTCCAGAATATATAATATAGAGTACTATACATAAATTAGAGAGTAGGTGTAATAAAATTTGTACATGTGTATTTGAATTAGAAACCTTGTACCTACATAGGTACATAAGTAAATCACCTTTTGAATGCGGTTACGTTATATTACATTCTAATCTTTAGGTACTTAGTACTTACTCATTAGTTCCAACCATCATATCGAGTAAAACAATCTAAAAGTTACTTCAAAATACTGCATTGAAGTAAGTAGACAGCTACCTACCTACGTAAGTACTTAATTTTTAATGATAGTTTTATCAGATAGTCTACAAATCAAGAGCACTTATGAATAACCTAATTTTGATAAAGAGAGCTCAATCGGTCTGAAAAACCATCAAAATTTAAAAGTTATCTGTTACACTAAGCCAGACTTAGTATAAGTTACATTAAAAAAATGAAATAGTTGTAAAGAAACATTTTTAAAAGTTAGCTTTTATTTAAATGCTCTAAAAAGAAGAGAAGAAAATAAGCTTTAATGCCTCCACGACCGCGGACACGCCGGCGTTACAGTGAACAATAGATTTCTTAGAAATTTAATTAATTTCTTAGAAATTTACCTGGAGGTGTTAAATTAAATCAAACATATTAATTTTTACATTACACAATTTATATGACACGAAAGCTTGTCGCGAAAAGAAGCTGTTGGAGCAACCGGCAAACCCATAGCTGTTGTGGTCTGCTTCAGCGAACCTTGCGTCGAGGCGTCGTGGTTGAGTACGTAAGCGATCTGCGACGAGGAGGTTCTGTTGGGTTTTAGTGGGTAGTACTGGCCACTGCCGGTGAGTCCCACATAACCAACCACCTGTATACATATATGCAGGTGGTATACCTAAATGCATTTCCCAACTTTAAAAAAATCAAACTGTGATAATCGTAGACGAATAATAATCGTTAAAGCCATTTTTGTTTTTTTTAAATTTTCAAAAAAATATCACAATTTAAAGTTAAATCGTAAAAAGTTAGCAATATATAAGGAACAAAAAACGTTGAAAAATAGGTAAGCCGCCTCGCATCCGGTCGTGCTCGCGTTCGCGGCACCGCAGCTCGCAAGAGACGCGTCACCCGACGACCGCCGCTGCCACCTCACTCGCCCAGCGCACACCGATGTCAGCCGACCGGGCCGCGTGATCACCGCGCCCCTCGCTCCGTCGTGCCCGCGATATTCTCGCGCAGGCCGCGGCGGAACACGGGCCGGCGACACCAGCGCCTAACCAACGCCCGCCCACCGGACCACTATGCGCTCCCTCGGGACCTTCTTATACAACAATGACGCCTCAGTAGCCGCCGTTCGGTCGCTGATCGCCTGGCTGGGCCTCCCTGAATAGGGTCTCAACCGGCCGGGCTAATCGCCCGGGCGACTACCATTACGAAGCCTTAAGGGTCCCAGAAGGGCCCTCCCAGCGACGCGCCCATATTTGTGGGCGGCGGAAGAACCCACGGTCAGGGGGCTATGCCCCGATACCGTTTCCCCACTCCCCTTACGGGGATTGTGAGATGACCACGGAAAAATAGGTTTTTTTAATTTCTGGCTTGTTGTGACATCTTATCGAAAAATATTCTTTATATAAATTTCATCAAAATCTGTCCAGTGGTTTTCTCGTGATGCGGTAACAGACAGACAGTTAGAGAAAAATTCTAAAAACTATAGATTCGGCCTCTGTATGGATAATAATGTCTATTTCAATTAGATTTTCCAAAAAATGTTTAATGTACAGATTCGACTTAGTTACAATTTTATTATAATTCGTTAGCTCCTTATTACAAGGTTCTATATTACAATTTTAGTACTTATTTAGTTATTAATGCTGCAAGGTTCTATGTGTCATTAGCTACAGTTTTGCAGAAACAAACCACTAGATAGCGGCACTATAACTACAAAATATTTAATTTTACATAGTTCTATGTTGTTTTTTTATACGGTAACAAAATAACGAAGTTCTATGTAAAAATGACTAAACTTCATTAAAATTAACATAGAACCTTGTAATAGTGAGCCAACGATTATGTATATAGATTTCTGCAAAAACTTTTTGATATTCATGAAACTAGGGGAATATAATCTTCAAAATACATAATAACCATTTTTTTAATTGAAATGTTTATCCGTTTATTCCTTCCTTTCTTAGACTTCAAACTTCTCTAAAAAGTATATTCGACTGGATCCGCGCTTGACGGACACTGAATAGGTAGTGTGTATAAAGTTATTCCGATTAATATTGGACAACAATTTTGTTAAAAATTAGTCTGTGATATGAGAAATATGAAACAGGGTTGCTTACTAAGCGTGCCTTGGCAGCTTGAGACGCTCACAGAACCGCCTTGCTCACTTAGCGCCAGATATTGGGGTACCTATTTATAGCCCATAATTCGCTCTTTCCGATGACAACCGTGATTTACATTTCCGGCTAGCTACAGCACGGTGTGAGGCGGACAAATTGTTTTTTTTTTTTTATATTTTTAACACGCTTCCTGGTTATTATCTTATATCTATCTGTACATTTATGTATAGTAAATGACTCGAATCTGTGGTCTGTACATTAAATATTTTTTAGAAAATCTTATTGAAATAGTCATTATATCGATACATATAGTTCAAATATATAGTTTTTAGAATTTTTGTATGTCTGTCTGTCTGTCTGTTTGGAAACGCATCACGAGAAAACTACTGGACCGATTATGATGAAATTTGGTATGGTAATAGCTGTTATTCGGGTCACCGCTCATTATAGGATCCTTTTAACTGTCTCATTCCTGAGAAAATATATATTTTGCATATTTGAAAACAAATTAATAAAAATAGTAATCTTTGAAGATAGAAACGGTAAGAATATCATTTTTCAGACAATAACGACGTTTACTGTGGCAACCTAATGCAACCTATTTCGACGGTCTACTTTTCAGACCCGTATGTTTCGGTGTGATCTTTAAATTAGTTTCACGTCAAAATTTATTATTATCTGTAGAAAAAAGACATTAGACAACTTCAAGTTTCAACTTTCTATATATTATCTGTTACTCTGTAGAGCCGAGAACAGTGAGCGAATTGTTTGTTGATTGATTATTTCTGAATAATATTGTATGTATTTGTCGTCAATAATCAATGGATGTGAATATAATTGTTTAAATTTAAGTTATAATGGCGCATATACTAGACTTTAAGAAAATATGTCGGGCCTGTTTGTCAGATGTAGGCCCTTTGAAGGATTTGTTTACGTCTTGTTCTGCTGGCGTATTTAAGTATTGCACTTCCGTGGAGGTAAATATGTATAATTAGAGTGAAAACGTATTATAATACGGAATGAGACTATAAATTACTATTATTCTTCAATTCATTTCAAAATCTCTGGTTTAGTGACATTTATGCACTTAATTTGTTTGTATATATTTTTTTTGTTTTTGTTTATAAAAACAGCTTTTAATGCAATAAGTATAATTTTTGATAATTTTCAGATTTCAGATTCAGATGCTCTACCGAAATTGATTTGCCAGACGTGTTTAGATTTATTAAACAAATTATACTACTTCAAACAAGTTGTTGTAAGGTCAAATGTTATACTAAAACAACAGTACAGGTTGCAGGTATACAGTTTTTAGAAAATGTTTATTTATTTATTAATAACATATTTAATTACATTTGTACTTTGGTTTTAACAGAATTTACAAACAAAAAATGATGAGCCAACCAGTGAAGGTAATGAGATTGTGGAAGTAAATATAACAGAGCTGACCGAAGAAGTTAAAATGCATGAAAATAACATGGCTACAGATAGCTTAGATAATGCAAACAATACAGAGAAACCATCAGCAGATGCTATTCTAATCAGGTTTATTTACTTTGGATACTTTCTGTTCTTAATAGAATCAGAATATATTATTTGTTTTATTAATTTATTGAAACTTTAGAATTAAAATTAGAATGTTGAAACATCTATAAAATATAAGAGATAGTTTAAGCTATAAAAAGTTATTTAGGTCCTAAAATTTTATGGGCATAAATTTTTGCTGTAGGGTGTGTGTGAAGTCGGTGCCAGCTGGTGCAAAGCAAATCTAATATATTTCGATACGTAAAATACATATTTACCTATTAGATATTGATATCTTAAAATAGAGTAGACGTAATAAGCAGGTAATTTGTAAGAAGAAAGTTTTTTCATAACATATTCCATTAGCAAATTTACTTAAAAAATATATTTATTGTTGATTTTTTTAAAAACCGCTTGACCGATTTCGATAAAATTTATATGGGACGACCTGGAAAGTATACCCTTTGAAACAAAAAAAAATTCCTAATTGGTTCAGACGTCGAGTAATTGGTGAACATATATAAAAAAATATACCGATGAATTGAGAACATCTTCCTTTTTCGAAGTCGTTTAAAAAAGTTAGTCAATACTTGTTAGGAATTATTAATTTAGAACTATAATTTATTCCTTTCTGTGATAGTAAAATTTTTTCAGTCAAATCTTGCAAAGGCGAAGGAGACGGGGTCCTGGACGACCCCCGAAAGACCCCGACGGCCCGAAACGGAGAAGAGAACGTATGAAATGTATGAAATGTGGCAAGAGCTTTCAGAAATATGAGAATTTCGAAGCTCATATGCGTGGACATTTCGGGAAGAAGGTATTAAATTATACTTTTATTTATTATTTTTGCAATTCCCATTTTTTTATCTTTTATGCAATGCCTATAAAATGATGTTTTTTTAAGTAATAAGACTAATTTTTGAATTTTTTTCGCGGTTATACATGGCCAGTTGGCGTCTCGAAAGTATTACCAGTAATCATTTTATTGTAAAGCATTTACAACATTGGGGACTCAGACCCGTGAAAAAAACGTAAAAATAGTTTTATTACACAACAAAACACATTAAACCAATGAGCCATCTCAATTTTTTTTTAATCAGTAAAAAACGATCAAGATAAAACAAAAACATTATAATAAAAGAAACTAACCCTTTATTGCTGTTAGTTTTCAACTTACTAAAGTTAAAAATAGATGTAAGAAAACTAATTAACTTTAACTTAATTATATTCTTATTTTATTTTTTAGCATTAGCTTGGTCTTCCCATATAACAGTTTATTTTTCGACAAAGGCTTCTTCTAATTTGTTTCTTGTTTTGTATACATAAGTAGTGATAAATTAAAAAAAAAAACTATCTTTCGGATTTTTTTGCGAATTTATTTAGATTTTTAGTTCGTGATGTTTCGAATGCTTTACAGCGATTATGATCACGGGAGAAACGTGGTTGCTATAAAGCATTGAAAAGTCAGTAATCAAAAATCAAAATAAATCCGCGAAATAATCCGAAAAGATAGATTTAATTAAAAAATTAAATATTTGCGTAAATATAAGAAAGTATAGGTTGACTGTAAATATAGGTTGATTCCACATACAAACTATCATCCCCATTTTTACCCCCTTTAGGAATGATTTCCGGGATAAAAAGTATCCTACGTCCTTCTCAGGGCTTCTCAAACTATCTTCTTACCAAATTTCATCTAAATCGGTTCATTAGATCCAGAGATTACCCCCTACAACATCACAAACTCACAAACTTTACCTCTATATAATATTTGTATAGATTATAAAATAAAATTACAAAAAGCAGTCATGAAGACTGCTGATAGAAGTGAAAACTTAAAACTATAATAGAACAGTTGTTATTTAATTGTTTGATTTTAAATTAAAATTTATTTGGTTTTGACATCTATCGGCACTCTTGAGTTTTAAGAGTTAACACGTCACGTGACCACGTCGATGACGACTTACGTGAATTTACTCATCATCCAAACCTGCTTGTAGAAGTTTTCACTTCAAAAAAAAAGAGAAAGTAAAGCAAACAAAACTTTTGCAGCCGGACATAAAGTGCAAGCAGTGCGACAAAACGTTCCTGTCGCTGCGCAGCCTGAGCTCGCACGCGCGCACCCACTCCGCGGTACGCAAGTATCAATGCCCGGTGTGCGGCAAGAGCTTCGTATACCGCAACGTGCTCAAGAACCACGAGCTCATACACGCGGGCGTGAAGCGCCATCACTGCCACATATGTGACGCCAAGTTCGTCCAGCCGTACAATCTCAAGGTTTGTGCCTGCCTCGGACGGGCGCTGTGGGTGGGAGATGCCTGAGAAAGTTGTGTAGACGTGACTTTATAAAGTGTGCCAGTTTACTGAAAGATCTTTAGGTAGGTATAGTTAGTGTACTAAAACTTAAGTTTACTAAAAAATGTATACAGTTTAGGGTTGCCTCTGTTTCATACGAAAACGCTGTCAAATGTGTGGGTGTTCAAATAACAAAATTCGTGGAATGGGTTTGAGGGTTTTAACTTTGAAGTAATGCGCTATAGCATGTAGTGCCATCTCGTGGAACGAAATGAAATTAAACTTTATTCAATTAAATTTATTTATTAACCTGAGTTACTGCTTATAACATCAGCTATTTGCCAGTGAAAGTCCCGTCAATATCAGTCCAGCCGTTTCGGAGATTAGCCGTAACAAACGGACAGATAGACAGACAAAAATTTATGAATTGTGTTTTATTAAAAGTACCGTATATAATTTCATATGTTTTAGTATTGCTATTATTTTGACATTACAAACAGACACTTTATCTGTACAGATTAACGTAAAATTATAGCTAACCTGCATATGGGACAATATTTCCCAATTCAACACATTTCAATCAACTTGAAACTCTTGAACAGAGTACTATGCTTTACTTATTAAAATATTTTTAGTGAGAGATTTAGGACTATGGCCGTGGCAAGTTTTATTTATACCCGTCAACCCTTAAACCGTTTTCCGTTCTTGTTGTCAGATACGAGAATGTATAGCAGTCGAGATCCATCTTCTTTGTTTAGTCGCTAGATGACTTCGTTAGACGACTGTATGAGTATGGTTTAGTATCAGTTCACTGTGTAGTGAATGCGTCAGGGAAGTTTCTAGTTCCACGCAGCTTACAAAAAAAATTTGTCCTAAGAACTGGTAGAAACTCAGCGAAAAAAATTATTATTATTATGCGTAATGAATATGAATATTTGAGAATACTTATTTTTTCTGACTTTCCAGCTATTTTGTGAATCTTTTAATTGATAACTATTATTTTTATTTAATCAATATCTAAATTAAATAATACTATTATTACTATGAAATTGGGGACGTAGTTTCATAATAATTTCGGTTATCAGTTTTGAGTCTTGTGTAATTTTTAATCAAACATCCGTTGTAGATAAGTTAAAAATATAAATCGTTATACAGTCATTTTGCTGTTTTTAAATGTTAAAGTCATATTACATTATAGTTAATTGAACATTTATGTTGCTTCATGTTAAAAAAGGTTATACAATAAATACAACTATTGAAGAAGTTTTTTTTTGTTAGGACATTAACACACAGAACCATCTAGTTCCATAGTAAGCTACGAGGCGTGGATATATGGATACCAGATAGTTGATACACTACACATATATAACTTTAAATACATACATATTATAAATATAAACACCCATGATTGGAGTACAAACATTCGTGCTCATCACTCAAATGAATGACCCCACCGGGACTCGAACCCGCGACCGCTGGCACAGCAAGTACGGTCACTACAAACTGGGCCAAACGTGTCGTCGAAATTCGTGTCTCCTATATATTATGGCGACTAATTAGCAAAGCTATGCTCAACTGGTATACTTTAAAGTCATCAACAAGTAAAATGAATTGACTAAAAATTATGTATAGAATATATTTACTAACGAGTTACGGCATCTCCTATTTATGCGTGTCCCGTGGTGCAAACTGTAAGGCCCACTCGCGAAAATACTTCCGCGGTGAACTTCGTGCGAGATGCGGTCGTTTGGAGTGAAGTTCTGCATTAATTGCAAGGTTTGTTGTTAGGTCTCTGGAGGGTGTATGACTATTTAGTAGCTTATTTTTTTTTACTTTGAAAGTATAAATTAATCTATTTTTAGGTTTGTTTGGAAAGGCTGAACAGATTTTCATGGAACCAATTCATTATATAGCTTATTTTTTCCTTTCAAATATATTTTTTAAATCAATTCGAACGCTTAATTGAATTGAACTCGTCAGCTTCCCATAAAAATAATGTCTTGACCAATTTCGGTCACGGCGACTAATCTCACTCATTGAGACTAGCCATCTGCGTAAAGAGATATTATAGTGCAGCGTGTGTACCCGCAGACACAACGTGCACTCTCTATTCCTGTCACTCTCAAACTCCGGAGGGACTATAATCCGACACTCGAGTGACCAGGCGCAAGATCGATGCGAGACATGCTCTCCTATGCCCGGGGATAAAACACCGCGAACTTCCCAACTTCGGGCTGTTACTGAGAACTTATTGATAGAAAAATCCAATAATTATACATAATCCGATCCGGGTATCAAACCCAGGACCTCACATACTTTATAAGTAATTTTAAATATCAAAACTTTTTAAAGTAAACGTCATTTTTTATTTCGTTACTCTACAAATAAAATTTCTTCTACAGTACAAATGATACGAGTAAACGGAAATAGTCATATACCCTAAAAAAGGACATTCTAGTACTTATATCCAATGAAATTGCGATAATCTGAAAACTTAATGACTACAGTGTGAAGGTAACTTTTTCAGGGTCTCTTGTGCTGGCTGTGTAAGAGGTATGTTATCATTTTAATATTATATTTTATTCATCATGGAGTCCAAGGTAAGTCTTTGTTTCATTTTGTTAACTTACGTAATTTTAATCTATGCAAAATAGGAATCACTCTAAAATAAACTTGTGTACTCTTTATTCTACGTGACATTAGCGAAGTTATATGTGCTCAAATGGCACGCTTTGAAGTCAAATAAACAACAAAATTGAATTGAAAATAAACATAAATAATTATAAACTAAAAATTAAAAAAAAACCCTAAGCTAATTAATTGTCATTTAACTTACACTTAATCGAGTAATCATACGCCAAAATGCCTTACATCATTTTGGAAAAGAGCTGATACTCTTACACTGCTGGACCGATATTAACCAAACATAGCTAAGAACCACCGCAAGGAAACTTGCTTTCAAATGAAAAAAAACCGCATCGAAATCGGTCCATCCGTTTGAGAGCTACGATGCTACAGACAGATACACACACACACACACACACACACACAGACAGACAGACAGACATCGACGTCAAACTTATAACACCCCTCGTTTTGCGTCGGGGGTTAAAAACATACATACGCTTTAAATAAGTGCCCCCTTTAATATAATATATTTATAATATAAAATAGTTATAGACTAATAGCCACATAAGTTTACACGCTCATTTTATAAGAACGGCTGGACATATTTTAAATTAATTATTTATTATTGCAAAAATGCACGCAAAAGCTCATATAAATAAGTAGATTAAGGCAAGTTTGATATTACGCGAACTATAATCTCGAAAAACCAGATTAAAAATGATTAATCTTTAATATTTAAAATATTTAGATTTAACTTTGTGTTATTATTAGTGGATAATTAAATACTATCAACAGTATCAAGATCTATAAAGAAGACTTTGATTTCTACGTATCTTTATACCTAATCACTACATAGTACAAAACAAAGTCGCTTCCCGCTGTCTGTCCCTATGTATCCTTAGATCTTTAAAACTACGCAACGGATTTGATGCGATTTTTTAATAGATAGAGTGATTCAAGAGGAAGGTTTATATGTATAATACATGCATATTAAAGTACACAAAAGACGAGAACTTCAAAAATTTGTATTTCATACTAATCGTTAAAACAAACCTAGGGAGGAACCCGAGCGAAGCGAGAGTGAGTCGCTAGTGTTTACAATATAAGTAAAAAGCCACTGTGGGATATTTTAAAACATTAAACATAACTATTTAAAATAAAAAAAAATCATTAAAAAACTTTAAAAATATCAATTTATTCACTGTATAAATTGGATTCTCAACCACAGACACAAAAGCTTATAGCGTGATCAACACATAAAAAACAAATATTTACCCCCGACGGGAATCGAACCAGCGATTCTAAAATAAACTTTTCTTCGACAGATGCATCTAGATACCCACAACAATCAAAAGAACTATAGCTGCTCGCAATGTGGCAAGAAGTTCGCCCAGCCCGGGAACCTCAAGATACACTTGATACGACACACCGGCATCAAGAACTACGCTTGCAATATGTGCGAAATGAGGTTTTATATAAAGGTACTAGCATTGCCCGCGGCTCCGCCCGCGTTCAGATGACCAAAAACCAAATTCTTAGGTTTTACAGATTAGTAAACTCTTACATTGCAGTTTTTACATTTTTTCTCAGAAATGAGACATTTTCCCGCGGTAAAAAGTATCCTATATGTTGTTGACCCGGATAACCAGCTACCATCATACCAAATATCATCGAAATCCCTTCAGTGGTTTTTCTGTGATGCGGTAACAGACAGACAAAAATTCTAAAAACTATATATTCAGCCTCTGTATCGATAATAATGTTTATTTCAATAAGATTTTCCAAAAAATATTTAATGTACAGATTCGGCTTAGTTATAATTTTTTTATATGTATAGATATGTAATTATTTGTTTGTAATTAATCATAAATAACAGCTTAGAAATACGTCGTAGTTTGTATCATTAGACAGTAGATACAGACATAAATACTTAAAAGAGTATATTATTTTTATGATTCAAGTACTAAAATCTAGATATATGTCATTATATTTTCAGGCGGATCTGGTGAAGCACATGAGATCACATTCCGCTGAAAAGCCGTTTTCGTGTCAACTCTGTGATAAAACATTCAAAAGCAGAAGTTTTCAGGCAATACACATGCGAACACACACCGGTGATTATACTATATTTGTTTTTATAAATACACATTTATAGCTACACTTAGTGGGACAACATTTTTTTGAAAATCAGACTAATTGTGTATTCCAAAATTTATTGGTAAATTAATTAAAAAAATCAGAAATAGAAAAATAATAAGTTTATTCTTTTTAATGGTTTTAAAAAAAATATTCTTAAGCATTTATGTTACGGGAGAGACTAAGGTTTTTGTGGTATCGAACTCGCATACAAAACGACGTGAACCAAAAAGCAAAATAAAATAGCGAAAAAATCCGCAAACATAGTTTTATTTTATATCTTAATATTTATATTTCCTAAATCTAGAAGATATTGTGTATTTTAATTTCTGTATCCTTACACAATTTCAGGTGAACGTCCCTACGCGTGTGACCTGTGCCCTAAGAAGTTCATGGCGAGGAAAGATCTACGGAATCACAGGATGATACACACCGGGGAAAAACCCCACAAATGCCAGCTCTGCGAGCAAGCTTTCATACAGAAATGCGCTCTAAACAGACACATGAAAGGCCATAGTAAAGCAAACTTAGACGCACAAAACCAACTGCCGGTAAATGCACCGACCGTTACCGTCTCTTATGGAAATTGGCATAATTGATTTATGTCACACGGAAATTTAACCTTTAATTGTCTTATTTTATCGACCAATCTCCTGTAAGTTCTTCTCCATTCTACGTAATATTGGCGAAGTAATCTGTCGTATCATACACGTTAGAAGATTCAGGCAAAAATTACAATCATAAATCAAAAAGTACTAGCTACACAATCAGCGACTAAAAATATCCTCATATAATGAACATGCTCATTTGAACATTAGAGGGCGCTTTTAATTAAAAAAAAATTGAAAACAACTATACTTTTCAATTTACATTGTTGTATATTTGTTTCAAATAGAATAATTATCTAAACACAATTGGTGACAGTTTTAAGAGAACTTTAGCATGGGATTGTGTATCTAGTAGTTTTTTGATCGATGATTAGAACTAATTTACTTTTCATCCGGTAAGCAGATGGGAAAAGAAACACCCTATTTTGGGTCTTATACATTAATATATAAAAACTAAGATACGCATTTCCTGACAAATATCTCTAAAATGTGGCGTCGACATATTGTGACGTTAAGTCAAACCAAAGAATAAAATTCAAAAATCGAAAGTTCTAATTGTCTAAACACAAATTCGACCACACGCATGCACACCACATAAATTACTTTTTTAAATGAAAGAACGTGCGTTTTAATTTTGTCATTCGAAAAGCAATGAACAAGAGAGATTTAAAAAAGGTGCACAATTTCAAGTTATGCACTTCTTTTCGGGTCACTTTTGAGACGCTAATTGTGTACCTATCTTAAGTATTTGTGTATTCAGCCCTTTTTATCGTCCCACTGCTGGGCACGGGCCTCCCTTCAGTACGAGGGGAATCAGGCCATAGTCCACCACGCTGGCCAAGTGCGGGTTGGCGGACTTCACATGTCTTTAGAAAACTTGCTAAGTTCTCTCAGACATGCAGGTTTCCTCACGATGTTTTCCTTCACCGTAAGGCAAGTGGTAATCATGTTAGAAATGATTCGCACATGAAAATATCAGAGGTGCGAGACCCGGGATTTGAACCCGCTTCACTCGGTTTCTCAAGCGAGCGCGTTACCACTGGGCTACCACTGCCCTAGTAAGTATTTGTACATCAATGATATTACACTATAAGTACAACATATGTACAATCATCAATGTCAGCATAATATATTAAATTTTTAAACTTTCTGCCGAGTTATTGATTTTTTGGACTCAGGGACAAGTCGTAAAAAAATTGTATATTTATGTACAGATTATCTCAAAATTTGGACCCTAACAAAAACCCTTGTATAAATGATTATTTTATGCATATCATGTATAAATGATGTCTTATTTTGTGTTAAGACAATTAAATTGAAAGAGATCTCAAAAGCTGAGTAAATTATTACTTTTTCGTTTTGGAAAAGATACTACCTAAAAATTCTTATAATATTAAAGCTTTGAATCATAATAAATGAGGGCTACCGCGCTTGTATGACAATAACAAACGCAAAAAAAGAATAACCAATTTGATCGGAAGTTATGCGCGTACATACATTTCGGTGATACATTTTTATTTATATAGATTTATAGTTCTGCCGCAATAATTAATACTTTTTTAACACCTCCAGGTAAATTTTTAAGAAATTAATTAAAATTCTAAGAAATCTATTGTTAACTGACGCGCCGGCGTGTCCGCGGTCGTGGAGGGATTAACAGCGATAGAACCTCACTCGCTAATGGCGCGAACTGGTGCCGCCAAAAACGATTACCCCATTATAAGCAGCTTTTGGTACATGCAAAGTGTAAATACTAGATACAGTGTTATATTGGTTACATGTTTCTTCATGTATGTAGGTGTGTAATTGTAAAAATGTACCTATTAATTATCTTGAACATAAAAATTTTACAGTCCACTAAATTTAAAAGTATAAAATGTAAATAAAGAAAGCAATGACATTTACAATCTGAGAATATGTTTTAACAATAATCTTCATCAGTATTTACTTAAGTCCAACTTTAAATTCCATTTAAATTGTACAGTTAGTGTTAGTGGAGCTATGTATATAATGTAAATCAGACATTTCATTTATATCAAATCGTTTTATTTCTTTATTAGATTTGTCATTATACAAGGAAAAAATATATAAATGTAAGATACATCAAATCATTTTTTGACTATATAAAGTTATAAATTAGTGTATTTATTATGTATCTATTCAAATTGTATAAAAAATTACATTTCATATTATTTTAAATAAATAGCTGTACAAAAGGGTATCTTGTCTACTCAAAACGAAAATGTGTATAATAAACATTTAATCCATGCGGGATTTGAACCCGCGGTCTTCGGTCTAGTCACCAGTGCCAGTACTATTACACCCCATTAAGCCTAAATGGGTCTAATTAAATATTACATATATTTTGTTATAACTAATTTGCTCTACGCCTTTTAAGTGCAATGCACTTCAATTTAAAAATGGAGGTTTTAGACCTGAAGTCGGTGGATAAGATCTTATTTATCTACTCAATCAAAAGATCGAGCAGAAAAAAATATTTTTTATTGTAATAAAAAACGACATAAGTATTAAAATTAATTAAGTAAAATGTCCGTCTTTGCATATATGTAAGTTTAAATTTGTAATTCTAAATGAATTTAGTTGATCAGAGTCTAAAGAAAAATTCCAGTTTCTTATTATTGTTACATATATGTGCTTTGAATATTTTTGTATATAGATATTATATATTTTTTTTAAATAAAAATTATCTTAAGGTTTGCTCTGACAGCCTCAAATAGAACTTAATATTTACTGTTGTAATATAAAATATAAGTCATATTAATCATAAAGTAAATATTTTACGCTGTTAATAATAAATCATTTAAAGAATAATGTAAAATCGCTTACAAAATAAATACATTATGGTATAATAAAATCATATATTTATCAAATTTTATTTACCTACCTTTATATTGCTCACTTTCGTTGTATAAAGAATGTCGTGTAAAATTTCATGTTTCTACTTTCTAGATCCAGCAATTATTTAATGCAAGATATAGAGTATTAATACATTCTTAGGTTTATGCGACCATTTCACATTGTAAACACACTATTTTTACGCTTTTTTTAAATAGTTAAATCATCTAAAATATCTATAAAAATCTAAAGTTGTATCACTATATATAGGACTAGCGACTCGCCCTCCCTTTACTCCGGTTCGTCCCTAGGTTGATTCCCCAAACTTTCATCCCCTTAAGGGATGATTTCCGGTATAAAAAGTATCCTTTGTCCTTCCCAGGGTCTCAAACTATCTTCTTACCAAATTTCATCTAAATCGGTTCAGTAGATCCAGAAATTACCCCCTACAACTTCACAAACTCATAAAATTTACCTCTTTATAATATTAGTATAGATTAAGATAAATATTAGGTTAGCAAGGGCGGGACTCTATCATGAACTTTCATATGCCTCGTAAGAGTTCCGCGCTGAGCAAAGCTGTGGTCACAAACGGTACACCTATGCGGTTTCTCTCCAGTATGGACTCTGTGATGATCGGTCAGTCTTCTCTTAGAAATAAAACTCTTAGAACAATAACTACATATAAATGGACGCTCCCCAGAATGTATCCTTTGATGTTCAATGTAGGACGAACGTGTGGAAAATGCCTTCTCACAAACTTCACATTTAAAAAACTTTTTTCCCTCATGATTTAGTAAGTGTTTGGTCAAATTATATTTATCTGTGAAAGGGTAGCTGCAAATTTGACAAATAAATCGTCTTCCAGTGTGGCAGCGTGTCACGTGTGAAACTAATATTTTTTTCGTAAAGAATTTCTTCCCACAATGCTCGCATGTATATTGCCGTTCTCTGTTCTCCTTGTGTGTTTCTAAGTGAGCCTGGAAATTTTAATTAAAAATATTAAATAACTAAAGAACAATAATACACGCGCATATAAAGAATAGGATTAGACATCGCAGCAGAAAAATCCAATAGATACGAAATAGGTACATAGCCTAGCTAGGGACCCAGGAACTTAGACGGCGGACCTAAAGGCTGCTATACCAACAGGGACGTTAAAAAAACTTAAACTCAAGACTTAAATCTTCTCAAGTATGAAATAGAATTGAAAATTTAAAAAAATGCCAACACAATAACCTATTCATTGTGACTATTTCAATGGGCCTAAACACAATACCTCTGCAGTATTTTAGTAAGGACTTGAGTATCTTGCAGATTCCAGGTGACACTGCTGACTGCAGGCATCATAGGTTGACTTATAACAAAACTTGTACTGTTGCAATAGGTATTATTGAAGTAATAGGATGCTAAGTTTCGATTAGATTAGATCTGAAGACGTTGTTCATATGGTTTTACCATATAGAAAAGAGCCTGCAAATGGCAGAATCGATTTTTTTTATTTATAGCTAAGAACACTAAAATTAATTGCTTTTCAAACAAAAAAACTAAAAATCGGTTAAGCTGTTTGGATGCTACGATGCCACAGACAGATACACAGATATGCACTATTAACTTATAAACCCCTCTTTTTTCCATCAGGGATTAAAAATATAATGATAAAGTATACCTTCAAAATACAAGTAGTTGAACATTCTTTTCCACAGACATTACATATGAACTGTCTTCTTTCCCCATGCAATTTTTCATGGGCTTTTAACGTCTCTTTGCTTTTGGCAATTTTTCCACAAGTACGGCATTTCACTGTACTGAGCTTAACCCGAGCATGCCAACTTGCATGATGTCTTCGGAGACCACTCAATGTTATGAATATCTTATTGCAGGGTGTGCATTTAAGTGATTTCTATAATGTAAAAAAAAAACAAAAATGTTTTTGTTTATTAGTAAGTAGTAAATAGAAACTTACTACTTTATAATATTAGTATACGACAACATTTTTTAACTATTATGGTGTCAAAACATTCTTATACACTATAGATAATTTTTTTTAAGCAATTATAAAAATATATTGCATGTAACATCACTTGACTTACTCCTTTGTTTTGATGCCTCAATTTGTGGAGTTGAAATCTATCAAGACAGAAAAAGCTTTTATTACATAATTCACATGTATACTTTTTCTTTTTCTTTGCTGGTTTTTCTTTTAATCTGTAAAATTAAATTCTATGTATGATATTGATACATTTTTGATGCTGCTATGAATGCTATTCTATGATTATTAATTACCTTTTGTATACTTTATTTTTCCTTTTAGGTAAATGGAAATCTTCAACAAATTCAGTGCTGTCCAAATCTAAAAATTTATTATTTTTAGCTTTAGTTGTTCATTAAAATAATAAGTATCATTCACATGATACAATTAAGGTCTATATAGGTAACTTATTTACCATTGCCATAGTGGTCTACAAATTCTTCTTCTTTGATTATATTGTCAATATAACTATCCTCATTAGAGAATAAATTTTGAGTTTTTACAAGTGACCAATCCTTATTACTTTTACAATTATTAGAAGGTAATAGACCTTCTATCAATATTTCTACTTTTTCAGATTTTACATTATAGTTCAATAAAGTTTTATGTGATTGAATACAGGTTTTTTTAAATTCAGATAATTTGATAAGTAAATCGTAGCAACCATTGCATATTGCTTTAGGTAACTCTTCATCTTTTGCTATCTGCAATTTTAAGATATTTTAGATCTATTATGTTATTATTAATTTAAATAATATTTGAGTAATAATACTTCACCTCTACAGAAGTACAAAACAAAAACAAATCCGGCGAAACATTGTCAAAAAAGACATATTTAGAATAATCGATTGTATTTAGACAAGCACGACATATTTTTTTAAATTCTGCCATTTTTAAAGTAATGAAGGAAGACTTCCATAGAAAAATCAATTCAAATACTTATTCAAACGTTTACATGGCATTTAACATAATACGGAACATCAAATATCAACCTAAATTCTAAAAGCTAAAAGGCATTATTATTTTAATATTTTGATTTTTGGCTGTCACTTGTCAAACATGAAAGCATCCGTCACTTCCTATTTAGACAGCTGTCACAATGTTACAGACTGAAGCTAGGACGATGATACATCATCCTAGGACTGAAAGTACATTTGAGCGCTCGGGGTCGAAAAATCCACACCAACGACTACTTAAGTAGTCGTTGATCCAAACTAATATTATAAACGTGAAAGTGTGTTTGTTTGTTCTTCTTTCACGTCGAAACGGAGTGACGGAATAGCGTGATTTTTTATGTGAAGATAGTTGGAGGCCTGGAGAGTGGCATAGGCTACTTTTTACGGCGGTAGATTATCTACACGTTATAATACAATCCAAATATATATATATTAACAGAATTACTTGAAACTTGGCATTAATGCTCTTCAATAAAATTAAATAGATACGCGTTTTAGCATTTTTAGAAATTCATCTTATAAGGGGGTAAAATAGGGGATGAAAGTTTGTATGAAACTACCTTTATAGATTTTTTGTAGTTTTAGCGCAAGCGAAGCCACGGGTTTTGCTAGTGAATCTATAATTCTAGAGAATTTATATAATCTGTAGATAGGGTTAAAAAATTCAATTTATAGTATAATAATGATTGTCAAACATTATTCTGTACAGAAAAAAATAAGAATTGAATTACATTACAAACTTAAAATCACTGAAATTTATGTAATGCTTTTTTTTTTTTTTTTATAGTTGGGAAATCCTATTACGGATACCACCCGACTTCCCCCGGGGTGGTTATGTGGAGACTCTCCGGCTAATGAGACCGGCATACCCACTAAAACCCAACTTTCCCCCTCTGCCGCCATGTGGGACGCCACGGGATCGCTCTCGCATACAACCGCGACGCCCCGACGGTTGGCCGAAGCCACCAACCATGAAGCCGCCCCAAGCGGGACAATCCCATTATGGGAAGACTTGCAACCCAACAAGTGAGGCCGCTCCTAAGTCCACTCTGCTGATCAGAGAAGTACCCGGAGCAGCCCCACACCACACAAACACCGCCAACCGAAGTGGGCAACCTGCAAAAACAATGAACCCCACCCAAATTGGGCAAACCCCCCAAAGACGCCCGCGAACGAGCCCAAACACAAACGGCTGCAGGAGAAGAGGATGCGACAACGCCGACACTCCCCTTCCCCTGCAGCCCCACCGCGTCCACCATCAACGGTGGTGGCCCCGCTAGGCCGCGGGAGATAGGGACGAGCGGCGCATCGCCATACCGACACTCCTCTTCCCCCGCGGCCCCCCTACCGTCGGCCCACCTCCGGACCAAAATGGCTGCCGACATCCCTCGCCATACGCAGGACCACCGAAATGGCCCCGCTCCAGCCGCCGCACCGACGGGCTAGCCCCGGTAGTGTGGCCCGCGCAGCACCTCCTACCGCAAAACGGCCGGAGACACCGCGCTACCTCCAAGAAGGAGACGGCGCCCTCTAACGCCGCTCCCTCAACCTCCCCTCCTGGCTGTTGGTCCGCGCCGGATTGCTCCGGTACCACAAGCTCCTGTCGGGTCCAAACAGGTGCGAGTGGTGTTCCCCTATCCGCCACCCGGGGACGCGTCCGGTAGCAGTCAGCCTCTGCCCCGGATTATGTAATGCTACATTATTCAGTATCTTTTATGTTATAAATATAATGACCCTGTCTATGGGGCTTGTAAACTGATCGTGACTTTTGTAAATCTCAATATGTATTAGAGCTGTTCTTCTTATATAAAGCAGCTAGCTAAATTTTGAAGATATTGACCTTAAATACATTCCTTAGCTAAACAGCTATGTTAATCTATGTATACATAAAATAAAAAAATTATAATGGAAATAAAACAACATTTAAAATAGAAGAGATTTAATTTCATTGTAAATATATCATTCTCACAAACCCAATCTCATTGAAATCACAATACTGCATATGATTATAAACTGCGTATTTACTATGTAACGGAATAACGCTCAACACTCCTTTGACTATCACTGGAATATATACATTGACACTATGTTTATATGAATTGTTTACTGCTACTATATAGCACCATAAATCAGGTTGTATTTGTCTTAGCAAAATGAATAAAAGAGCTTCTCATATTATCTCCTTTAGAGCCGAATAAGTGTTCGAGCATAGTATATACACATTTTTAATTATATATGGAATGATTTGGCCACCACCATAAAATATATAAAAATACATTAACAAGTAAAATGTCATGTCTTTATAAAAAGTATTCAAATTTTATATTAATATCAATATATCATAATCTTAGTATAAAAACTACAGTATAAAGTGACTGGCCAGCAAGGTATTGCACCATATTACACGACACTATATTCTATTATTGTAGCGAATCTCATTATTTTAAAATATAAAAAAACAACTATAAATAGGATATTAGATAATATAACTGTTATGAATTAATAATAACATTAACTTTTACTATAGATAATATATTAAATCAATAAAATATTCAATATCCTATAAAACAACCTTCACACACACAAAGCATGTACTAAATTGAAGATAGCGTGGAGCGAAAAAAATATTATTTTCTTAGCCTGAGGGTAGAATTTGTAACAAAAAAACTAAATTTTTGAAAATAAAAACAAAATTTTTCTCAACACATTGAGATGGCCCACTGATTTTTTAAATAAATAATTTAAAATTTTGGTTTGAATGGATTTTTTTCCACTGATCATCTTTGAAAAAATTCAAGAATTGACGAATATAGTCATTTTCTATCAACTTTCACTAGCTACATAAGTAATGAAGTAGTGATACTTTATAAGCCACAATTTCTACCTCCAAGCTAAGAAACAAAAAAAATTTTTTTTACTCCATGCTAGTATAAAGGCACTATTATATAATTATAATATTTTTTAAATCTGGCCAGTACTTATTATATTATCCAAGGCACTGAATAACAACAACAGATGATAAATATGTTCACAGCTTGCCTTGCATTAGAGGTTTAAGGTAGCTGTGGAAGCTTTGGTTGACGGGTTCTGCGTTAAGGGGGCTTTTCATAGCTTCTTCCATGAGACGCTCGTAGGCACGACCGTCGAATGAACCTAGTGTTGAGCTTAAGATCTGAAATAAAAATATGTATTTGTACTAGTTCAATCCGTGATAATTAAACTATACAGATAAATAAACTTGAAGTGTCTGTTTGTAATGTCAAAATAACAGAATTTTACTAAATGCATATCGAATTATACGGTACTTATAAGAAAAACACAATTTTAAAATTTTTGTCTGTTTATCTGTCTGTTTGTTCCGGCTAATCTACGAAACAGCTGGGCTGATTTGACGGGACTTTCACTAGCAAGTGTAGTTGATGTTATAAGGAGTAACTTAGGCTACTTTTATTTGTGTAAAAGAATTAGGGTTCCGCTCAACAAAAAAATGTACCTAGGGACGAACCCGAGCGAAGCGACGGTGAGTCGCTAGTTTTTAAATAAACAATAATTATAATATAAAATATTGTTTACATATCCGGATGAAATATTTACACATGTTAATTTTTTCTGTGTTTATATCTAGAATTATTAGTCCCTTTTCAATAATAAAATACATATATGTATATACATACACGGTCTAAGTTAATATTTAAAGATAAACCTACATACCTCATCCCTGATATCGAAGGCGTCGACTAAACCAACAGCGTTTGGTCTGAGCTTGATCATCAGGTCTTCATACCAGTTTTGGAGGTGCTCGACGTCTTTCTCAGAAATGGATGTGAACTGTGGATTTTAAATAATATTTTTTATACTAACTAAAAATATTAAACAAGTGCGAAACTGACTGTAATGGGTTCCGTTTTATCAAATATGGAATTCATACTGTTTAACTATTTATTTATTTATTAGGTCTACCAGTGCTTTACCATAATTAATATTTCTTAAAGTATTTAACAATTTACATTACATGCATAGGGTATGTGGAATCATTTAAAGGTAAACACTGTATGCTAATTTCTCTTATTATTACTCAATAAATCTAAAAGTGAGCTAAAAACAGAAACTAACCAAAACCGACAAACGACAAAAGAGACAAACAAAAAATAATACAAAAGTAATTCGGTAAAAGTCTACTAAACCTTATCAATTGAAACAGTATTCCAATAGGAAAACAGTATATTTTCTATTAGTGCACGTATGATTCGTACACGCCCACTAGCACGTCTACTAACTCAGCACGGTGCACACTATACAGTACCAACACGACACACTGCGGACCTCCTGACACCTGGACCTGGACGGTGTTCTTGTAATCACCAATAGAATAGGAGTCAAAGAAGGTACTTGAAGGTACTTATATTATAGGTGGCAGGAAACACGGATGCTGGAAGGGTGTTCCACACCTTAGCTGTTCGTTTCTGATATGAGTTGGTTGGATTTCTACCACGTAAGGATGCCAGAATCATAGAAGCCAAGAGCCCGCACTCACCCGGAGCAGGTCCCCCACGCGCTCCAGCGCCCAGTACACCACGTACAGGTCCACCAGCTGCAGCAGCACGGCGCGCAGCTCCGGCGACACCGCGCGGATCTGGCTCTCGGTCTCCTTGTAGTATGTAGCTAGTAGGATCGCACGGCAATGGGCCTGGATGGATTAAATTATTGTTTTATTTAATTAATCGATACTAATACTAATATTATAAATGCGAAAGGGTGTTTGTAATTTTGCATTTTTTTAAACATTTTAAGATAAGAGATTGTACTCAGTACAAAATTGTTACATAACCTCTCCATTACTCTTCAAATATAGTTAATTAATACTTTATAATATAAAAATGTAGTTTTTATTGCGCAACCTAATAAATGTATATATTAAATATATATGAATTTTAATTTAATTAATTAATTATATCCAAGGTCACAACATATAGCATAGCAATTATAATGAAATGAAATAAATTGTACGCAAATCTGCAAATGAATAAGAATAAGCTTCTCAATAATACTAGCGCTACCAAATACATCAGAAGATCGCAGGTTCAAGTCCGATTAGATCTAGATTCTAATAAAACCATAAAATTTAAATTATTTGACTTAAGGTTGTTAATATTACCTCAGAAGCCGAAGCGAGCTGTACCGAGGTCATGTTCCAGGCGTCCTCATACGACATACCACTCTTCTGCCGTTTTTCAATTTGCGATACACACAAACCGATTTTCCTATAAAAAACAAATAACAAATTTACCCATTATTAATATTTATCATTATTCTGGTGTTACCGTGTGGGTCTGGTCCTCTATCCCTAATACTATGACCCCCAGACCCCCAATCCTAGAACCCAAGACCCTTACTCAAGTCTCCCACCTACAGTAGTACCTCCAAGTCCTACAGTACGCCTATCAATTGCAGCAACATGGTGAAACAGAAAATATTCAGATATTGTTCAGATAAGGTATAGCTTTACGTGTCGTAATTCAATACATATATTAATGGCGTTGCGTGAAAATGAAATTAATAATTTTTCACTTTCTTATGAAACCATATGAAAGTAAGGAGATAATACTGTCTTAGATTTATGCGAATATTTAACATTTTAAATAAAACTATCTTTTCCGATTTTTCGCGGATTTATTTTGATTTTTGGTTCCCGACGTTTCGAATGCTTTACAGCATTCATGGTCACGGGAGAGACTAAGGTTTTAGACATCTCAAAGGTCGTTTAAATATAGTTATTACAGATAGTGGCTACCCACAAAATTACAAAATGATTTCAAAAAATACAAAAATGTCACCTACACACATATATCCATGGCAAATACAAATATTATTATTATTAATATTAAAAATTTGTTATTTTCAATCATTTTATATAATTTTCTGTGTCGAATCTGTACATAAAATATTACTTGGAAAATCTGTCGTGATTAAAAAATGTCTGTCTGCCTGGAAACGCATCATGAGAAATCCACTGGACAGGTTTTGATGAATTTTAGTATGATGATAGCTGCTTATCCGGGTCAACATATAGGATACTTTTTATTGCGGGTAAATAATAAATATCTCATCTCTGAGAAATCTATACTAAACGTAAAATTTTAAAACATACCTACTTATTTCTATATTAACAATAATAAAAAAAAAGAAACAGTTTTTTGTAATTAATTTTTTTCATCTTGCAATCAGTCGTAATTAAAAAAAAAATTATAATATCATAAATAAGGGCAGATCGCTTCACCCGAATCACGTGCAAAGTAGGCCCGCGACTCAAGGGGACAACCTATACCCTACAAAAATACGGTCGCCCGTTAGGACATTGCCCAGAGTTACCGGGGCCCAATAATTTCCTTACTCAATAGATTGAGGCACGAAGTTTGTAAGACAACGAGTTGCTTATACATTATGGTCTGAACCAAACCATAGCGCGATTCAGAATCCGCACAGCGCCATCTTTTGGTGGATGTTGGGAAACTTTTTCGTTTATAATATAATTTATTTATATTATATTTGGTAAAGAAAATATACAATTGCTTATTATCTGCTTTTAGAAATGGCAAAGCATGAAGTTTCAATTGTTATTTTTTGCCTGATTATTATTAATTCTCTATTACATATTTATTTTCGAAATTAAAAAAAAAATAAGCTTTAATATTAAAATTCATCGTTTGTGGAAATCGATCCCACAACATTCGGCACAGATATCATTTCAGACAAATATATTTGCTTCTGACCCTGACACCACTTCGCTAAGACAAGTAACTTGTGTCACATAAATGTGCATAATTTTAATTTTATAAAGATTCATGGTCCAAGTGTATCATTCTACGAAAGAAACATAAATATACTCTTTTCTCACATTAATTATTTTTTGAGAAAAATTACAATACAATTGTTCTCCTTTAAATGAATTAAAGTTTTGTATGACAAAAATAATAATTAAAGAACAGATAAGAATAATCTAAATAATCATGTATAGTTAAATCCGAGTAATATTATAAATGTAAAAGTTTGTGAGGATGTATAACATAATTATATTTATTTTAGGATATAATATATTTTTCAACACGTGTGTAGAATTTTCCAATTAAACGCAATAATTAATTTTATTCATCAATTATTTATTAGAGGAATACTGGTAAGTAACATTCTATACATATAATAAAAATGTAAAGGATCGCTGTCTGTACATGGAAGATATATGAGAAATAATATTATTCGTATGGGTGTTTGTTACTCTTTCACGCAAAAACTACAGAATGGATTTTAATGAAACTTTACAATAATATAGCTCATACATCAGAATAACACATAGGCAACTTTTTATTCCGGAAAAATGTACGGGTTTTCTACTTTTGCTAGTAATTATAATTATATTCGTTTATGAATATATATATATATATATATATATATATATATATATATATATATATATATATATAATGTACATTGTACAGTATTGATCTTGCGTGCCGGGAATTTGAAGGTGAGCCAAAGGTTTTATCTGAACGGAAGTATGAAGACAGTGATAGTCCAGTGGCAACTTGGGAAACCGAGTGAAGCGGGTTCAAATCCGGGGTCTCTGATATCTTTACGTACGAAAAATTTCCAACGTGATTACCACTTGTCTTACGCTGAAAGAAAACATCGTGAGGAATCCTGCACGTCTGAGAGAAGTAAGAGAATCTAGCCAGTTCTCGTAATACATGTGTATTCCGCCAACCCGCACTTGGCCAGCGTGGTGGACTATCGCCTGATCCCCCTCGTATTGAAGGGAGCCTCCCGTGCCCAGCAGTGGGACTTTAAATAGAGCTACATACATGTACAGTATCAATTTCTGGTAAGAGAAGATGTGCAAAGATATATTTTTTTATTTAAAAAATTAAAATGAATCGGTAACCATTGTTACTTCGTTGCTATAATACGATTGCATTCCAAATCACTCCATTGTTTAACGGAGACCATAGAGTAGTTTGGTACAAAAAAAAAGAAAAAAAAAATAACAATCAACTTTCCATTTTCAAACACTTTAGCAGAGACCACAACAACCAAGAGATTGTTTTCATGGTTCCATCTGCTCTCAAAGAAGTACCAAGAGCAACCCTCATGGTACACGACTCACATTCCAAATGCTATAACCTGGGGAACGCTGTCTATGTGTTACTCCAGGTCAGTCAGTCAGTCAGTCTAGTAAAGTAATCAACATAAATGGTGCACAATGCACATACCCGGCGGCGACCCTGTAGAAGCCGGCGACGACGCCGCGCACGGAGGAGTCCCAGGGCGCGGGCGCGGCGCGCAGGTACTGCACGGTGGGCGGCAGCGTGTGCCCGCCCGCCGCCTGCTGCCACGCCTTCACGAGGTACCTGCATTGTACATAGTTACACTTATATGTATCACACTTATACATACATATTATGTAATTACGAGTATGTATGATTTAATGATTAATAGAGATTCGGCTTGAACACCCATACTAATATTATAAATGCGAAAGTGTGTTTGTTTGTTTGTCTTCCTTTTACGTCGAAATGGATTGGCGTGATTTTTTGTTTGGAGATAGTTGGAGGGCTGGAGAGTGACATAGGCTATTTTTTCGCGGGAGATTATCTCATTCCCACGGGAAAACAAGTTATATTACAATACAAAAAAATATTTATTATCAGAATTACTTGAAACATGATATTAATGCTTTTCAATACAATTAAATAAAAACGTGTTTAAGCATTTTTCGAAATTCATCGCATAAGGTAGGTAGTAAAACAGGGAAGCCGCGGGTTCTATTAGTATTATATAAAGTAGAATGGATATTAGATAGTAGATGTGCGTTTTAATTTTACGTTAGATTTTTTTTTAACCAAAAACAAAAAGTAACAAATAAGTTGTCGAAAATACATAGATAGTATTATGCAATCGAAGACTAACGCAATATAATTCATCAGCATCGATGGAACAACCAAATACCAATCATACATACATGTCAAACACACAACCCTCTTTACCTACACCAGTTAACCCCATTACTTATTACCTTGCAGTCTGGAGCAACATCACGGTGTTCTCTCCCTCGTAAGTGCAAGCGGCGGTGACGAGTCCGTACGTGAGGGGCAAGTTCGAGGACAGCATGTACCCGTGTCCGCCGCACGCCAGCCGGCAGCGCTCGACGCACGCCGCCGCGTCTGCTGTGGTCACTGCTTTGAGACAGCAGGATAGAGCGTGAAGCTGAGTACAGATGGGAAAGTGAATGAGTTAATTTTTACCCCACTTGAAGTCCAAGTCGCACTTGGTCAGCGAGGTGGACAATGATCCGGCTTCGCATTATAAAGGAGAACCTAACCCAGCAGTTGAAGAGGACTAAATGAGCTCATTACTTTTAAAACACTTTATAGACTTGATTTGTCGTCCCACAGGAAAGTGATAACTTGAGTCAATATCTATATATCGACACTGTCGTAGAACAAAATCGGATCTACAAAATAGCTACTTTACAGGAGAGCCGTTTAAAGTTTTGAAGTCACATTTTTTACCATAACTTTTCTCCCATTTAATTAATTGAAAAAAAATTTAGAAATAGCTTTTTGTCTTTTATTAAGAGTTATTACTAGATAATAATAATAACATTTTATTCATAAAATAAAATAAATGTGTTTGTATATTATAATCCGACGTTATATTACGTAACTTAGGACGTATGTTGTGACTTTCCGAAGTTGTTCGATGGAAAGTTGTACTACGTATATATACATGTCATGCTGTTCTGTGGAATTACAAAAGGGATATTGATGTCGTATGTTATTCTAGATAAATTAAAAATTACGTAGGTTCTAAAAAAAACTTTTTATTGCTTATACACAAGGTATATCTATATATGTAAAGAAATGAAAAATATAAACAACGATTATTTTTTATCCAAAATACAATTTGAAAATTGCACAAGCAAGGAATAAATCTAATTAAAAAATGTTGCCATTTGGTAATTTAACTCTTAATATTAATTGTGCGACTCGTTTCTGATCAGTCTCAATCGGTAACAAAATAAATCAGTCAAATCACAAAATTTCAAAATACTAAAAATCTAAAACTCTTTAACAAATATGAGATTTCAGAAATAATAACATTTTAAATATCTATATCAACGGCAGATATGAGTAGGTCTTTAGCCATATATAATTTATTAGATAAATATTAAATGTAACTTAATGTTTATACTAGGAATATGATTGAGCAGGTACTTAATATTCACTTTACAATAAAAAATAAAATAAATATTTCAAGAACTAGTAATAACAAAAAATACTTCTCTTTAAAATTGTCCCAGATTTGTTTAAATCCCACATAAATATTTAGTTTTAAAATAATGTATTTTCATAGACAAAACTATCAAATAAAATGAAATGTCTAATGACATTTCTTTTTATTTCGATAGATTAATTTATTAATTAACAAAATAATGAAAAAAATCACTAATCATCACATGGTAGGGATTTGAAATAAATGCTATGTTCATAAATGATTACACCAGTTTTGCACATGTGAACAAGATCATTATATTTATCTTTCGATATTTTATACAAGCTGTTAGAAATAGGTTTTAAATCAGGTAGAGCTGATGATGAGTTTTTGGTTCTAGATCCAATGACCAGACATATTATAACCACTTTCATTGAGATCATATAAATAATATTATAATTAAGTGGGATCTTTTTTTTTGACATGGACTTCCTTTATCTGATTCCATAGAATTTCCATGAAATCTTAATTAAAGTGTTTGGAAACAATACCTCTATATTGACGTTCGGTTGAAGCCCTCTTAACATATTTTGTAGGATTAAAACATTCTTTGTATAATAGAAACATACACCCAAAACTACGATTACCGTCTAAGTATAGCTTGATCGATCTCTTCCTAACGTCATGAGATAAAAGAATTGACGTGATCATAGACACTTTTTTTCGCTTTCAGAAGAAGAAGCTATTGGCAAGTTGTACTTCTAAGTAAATTTACGTAAACTAGGTCGATCTGTGATAAAGCATCGATGCTTCTTTACTTCTAAACAAAATTTAACCACAAATCTCCACTGTTTCTCTTTGTTACCGAGACTCCAAAACCTTTTTAAACAAAGTATTCTTTGTTCATTAGTAATTTTCTCACTACATTTATAACGCATACCCATAACCTTTTTCATCAAGAACTATACCTCTATTATTAGCATTCAAACATGCTGAACAAAATCCTATATAATTTTATGCCGAAGAACATAGTTACTTCTCAATACGCTACATCAAAAATGTGTATGATTTCCGAAGAACAACGCCGTAAGTATTCAGGCACTTATATACATAAAAGTAAATATTTATAAAAATGGCTTACCTTCGTTGTTCGTATTTTCGATTGAATTACTTAAAATGCTGAAGTCCTGCCTGGCGAAATAGTCACTTTATTCTTCATTATCTATCACTAACATTAAATTTTTTTATGATTGAGACATTTTAGGCTGTTTTTGTGTTAAAAACTTTAAAAATATTGTAATAATACGCTAATGTAGAATCAATCACGTGTTGTTGTTAAATATGACCGGCTTTCCGTCGAACATCACCGCTAGCGACGATCATCGCGCAAGGCACGGCGCACGCGGAGCGATGACAACCGAGCGACAGTGGCGCTATTGAACTCGCGACGATTTTCATGGGAACAATTTTGAAATAATACTTTGTTCAATTGAATATTTCCGAAAGTACTAAGAATATTTAAATTTTTCTTGAATATATCAATAGTTTATTATTAATTAAAGCTAATTCTGTAAAAAAATCAATTTCGATGTAATATCATATCCGACTTTGTTCTACGACAGTGTCGATATACAAAGCTTCAAACACGGTAGTATATATATATATATATATATATATATATATATATATATATATATATGTGTGTATATATATGGTTTATGTCTTTTTTTTGAGTTAATGACGCTATGACTGAGTCAACAGTTCTAACCAAATGAATGAACTGCTTTTGTCAACACACATAGTATTGTATTGTATTTTATATATTATTTGTTTTAACGTTTCACTGCTGGGCACTGGTCTCTCTTCCATCATTACGATTCAATTCACCACGCTGGCCAAGTGCGGCTTGGCGGGCGGACTTCACATATCTTTAGAAAACTGACTAGGTTTTCTTAGACATGCAGGTTATTATAGGATATTTTCCTTCACCGTAAGACAAGTGGGAATTATGTTGGAAATAATTCGCACATGAAAAAAAAACCGTGCGAGAACCGGGATTAGAATATGTTTCACTCAATTTTCCAAGCCAGCGCGTTACCACTGGCCTACCATTGCCTAGTAGTAGTATTGTAACTTTTACCTATTGTTTCGGTTAGCTTTTTGTTTTCGCAGGAAAAATATTCCTGCAGAGAAAAATCCTATTAATACTCAGGTGGATCAAGTGTAATATGATGAGGATGAGACAGTAAACTTTTGCGCACTACACACACTTGTGCACTATAATAACTCCCGAGCAAGTTACTAATCTCAGTGAGATTTACCGCCGTGGCCAGAATCCGTCAGGCGAAATGTTATTACGTCGATTTCAAGCTAATCTATACTTATACAAATATTATAAATGTAAAAGTTTAGATGTTTGGATGGATGTTTGTTAATCACGCCAGAAAGGATAGACGGATTTGGATGAAATTTGGCACAGTGATAGAATGTAATTTGGAATAGCACATAGGCTACTTTTTATGCCGGAAAAATGTACGCTTCTCGCGGGATAGATTTGTTTTTGTTTTTCTAGAGGCGAACCCCAGCGAAGCGAGGGTAAGCCGCTAGTTCTACAATCATTAATTTAATATTAATAACATTGAGGTGATCTGAAAATGAAACCAAAAAGTGAACAGCGAAATTCTTGCTTTGTCTACGAATTTGGGGTTATTTAATTTGTTCTGACGAGTGCCATATATTAGGGGGCATCAATTACGTGAGACAATTTTGGCGATTTTTCGACCCCCCCTCCCCTCTTGGTAAGATTTCGTGAGATTTTACTGGACCCTCTCCCCCCTCCCCTAATCTCACGTGAGATTTTTTTAAATGTGGAGAAAATAAAATTAATAACACAACAATGGTCGAATAAGTTATACAGATATATTTTTTTTTCAGTGAAAATTATCAGTGCATCGTTTGTTTATTACAAAAGGTTGTGGCATTCTTTTTTTATAAAAGATCTTCTCATCGCACCATATATGAAAAAGAAATTTTCACTACAAACTAATTGATTTACAATTAATAAATATTTATTAATCGTTAACGAATATTTATTGAATGTTAAGAAACATTCATATTTAATAATTGAATAAATTGTTTCAAAAAAAATGAACTTATTAATAAGTAATAAATTCTTCTGTAATTAAACCGCAATGAATATTATTATATATGATTTAGGCATATTTTAGTGGAGAAACATTTTTTACTTAAATTAATCCAGTCTTCTCGCAATTTTACACTGTTTCTTGCGGGAAAAAATTACGTGATATTTGCCGAGACCACTCCCTCCCCAACGTGAGATTGAGAGACACAAACGTTATACACGTTATAAATGAATTTTAATTTTGGAAGCAAACTAAGAAAAACTGTTAAGATACAATTATCCACTTTCACTTTTAAAATGCTTTTTTTTAATATACGTATAATATATATATATATATAAATGTTTTTTTAATATACGGAAATAGACGGAATTTAGTCATTCACATGGTACGAGACAGCTTTCAATATGTTTTTTTCCTAAGATATGTACCTATTTTGAATTCCTTATTCCTCATTCCTAAATATTTCTTTTATTTTATACTCTTATAACAAAATGATTGGTCAAACAATATTTGTTACAATGTGAGTATACTAAAATATATACGGTTATTGTTCCAAAATGGCTGTGAATCAAATAAAAGTACAGTATAACTGGCTTATAATGACCAATCGTCTAATTATACCTAATATGACGTCTAGCGTGAAGTTTAGTTTTATACAAACTCTTATGAAACAAGTTACATAAAATGACTTGCATGAATACATAATTGCTTGAGTATAAATTAGTTTTGTTGTAATTGCATCGTTGGTCTATTGATTAGTATGTACGGCTGCAATTAGTGAGATCATGGATTCGAACCCCGGATCGGGCTATGTATGTCCGACCCTATGTTCCCCCGTAATTACTAAACGGCTCAATCGATTTTGATGATCTGTACTTCGTTCGATGCGTCTTGATAACGCAAATGTCATAGGGTGTATATATAAATATCATACAAGAAATCAAAATGGCGGATCCTAGGCACGAATTTGTTTAGATTTTTTTTTCATCCAAATCAAAAACGAGTGGGGTGTCAAAATATATTTAAGAGGCGATTATAAAAATATTACATATATTTTTGCTATCGCCTCTGACATGTTTAAAAGTGATTTATGATAAGAAATTGTTAAATAAAATTCCATATGTTTAACTGGCTAGAACTAAAAAGATGTAAATAAAAAAAATATTTATCCAAATAAAAAACCCGACTACGTAATGCGTAATGAAAAAGCGAATTAAAAATATGAGGACAAGTTGATAAAGAAACATAGGTAGTGTTATGCAGTCCGAGACATACGTATGTATAGGTTTTATACTAGCTGCCAGTCTTGCTACGTGTAGGTATGTCTCATATTGCGTAATACTGTAGTATTATATATATATATATATATATATATATATATATATATATATATATATATATATATATATATATATATATATATATATATATATATATATATATATATATATGATGATGTGATGTTCTCCTAGCCGATTCCGGCCACGGCGGCCAATCTCAATGAGATTAGCCAACTGCGCAGGAGATATTATAGTGCTCAAGTGTACGCGCAGACACAAGTGCACTCTCTATTCCTATCACTCTCATACTCCGGTGGGACGACCACTCGACACGACCGGTGAGAGTTAAGGCGCAGGACCGACGGCTTTACGTGCTCTCCGAGGCACGGGGGTGAAACACCGCCAACTTCCCAACTCCGGGCTGTTACTGAGACTTACTATACAGGAAGACTCAATAACTAAACTTGGCCCGACCCGGGACTCGAACCCAGGACCTCCGGGTGTGCAGCCGTACATGCTAGCCACTACACCACCGAGGCAGTTGTTATATACATATATAGTATATGTTTCTCGATCTTGTGTTCTATAGTAGATGTTTCTTCGTCAATTTGTTCTCATCTTTTTAGTTCGGTTTTTCCGCAGTTACGCAGGGTTTATTTTTTATTTTTGTAAATTAAAAAAAAGTTACTATCGTTGTTGATGATAGCTTTAGCGGTATTAGGTATACAATTAATTCAATCAGTACACCATTACATTAAGAAAAAAAGGGTTGTTCTCATTATAAAAATAGTAAATTAAATGTCTTATAATTAATAACTTTTTTTACTACTTATTTACTATATAGAATAATGAATCTGCCAAATATGTGATTTCTATAAATAAAAAGTTATTTAATTGATAGTATTTTACTGCCTTTACATACATGTATACGTAATGAAATTCACCCATATAATAGATCCGTTAAAGATTCGCTAAAATAATACGGATACGGGCTTTTTCCTACGGATATCCGCGAATACGGATATCCAGCACATCACTAGTTACTACAAAGAAATAATCAATTGGGAAAAGGGCAGTGTGACACCCCTGTGCAAAAACAGAGCAAAGTACTGCGTCTGATGAGCACATACATACCTTAAATGTAAAAGTAACAGAGAGTAAGTGTAGATAACACTTATGCATTCAGCCCTTTTTAGTGTCTCACTGCTGGGCACGGGAGGCTCCCTTCAATACGAGGGGGATCAGGTCATAGTCCACCACGCTAGCCAAGTGCGGGTTGGCGGACTTCACATGCCTTTCGAAAACTTACTAATTTCTCGCAGACATGCAGGTTTTCTCACGATGTTTTCCTTCACCGCAAGGCAAGTGATAATCATGTCAAAAATGATTCGCACATGAAAATATCATAGATGCGAGACCCGGGATTTGAACTTGCTTCACTTGGTTACCCAAGCGAGCGCGTTACCACTGGGCTACCACTGCCTTATATACTTACGTACTAGAATATCACGTGGACAGTTGGCTAGTTTTAATGAGATTAGAAGCCGCGGCTAAAATCGGTCAGGAGGACATTATGCCTAGTTACATTGTCCATTAGTTTTTTTACCCGACTTCCAAAAAGGAAGAAGAAAAGGAGGAGGTTCTATGTTCGTCTGAATGTATTTTTTTTGTTGGTCCCATTGTCATCAAGTCAGGATCGGAAAATGGAATCTCAAGGAAATCGAGGAAAAAATAACTAACTAACAATGTAATAAAATCTTAAAAGTCAATTTTGCTACTACATACTATGTGTATACTAAAAAGGGAAAAACAAAAACTTTAAAAAAATAAAATAAAAGCCGATTTCAAAAAAAAAACATTAATAAGTAAAAAATAACTGATTGATAGCTTTCATTTACTATAGATACCTAATCAGATATTTTAAAAAGTCGAAGTGTGCTTGATTTGTATCGGCTGGCTAACAAACTACCAATTGAACTCAAAAAACTACCAATCAGTTATTTTTTACTTTTTAGTCTTTTTTTTTAAATTTGGTTTTTATTTATTTTTTTAGTTTTTTTTACTAACACCCCAATGCGATGATGTGCATAAGGGTTTTGTTATAATGTTGAACGTTTTAACTTTTAAATGACAAGTTGATATTTTAAATTAAATAATGGAAAACATATTTTTTTTTACAATTACACTCGACTTTGACGTCAATTATAATATAACGTAACGTAACCTTTCCCCTCCATGACATTAAAAGCAGATACTTCAATATAATTTTAAATCCAATGACATAATTCAATCCAACTAAAAAAAAGTTAATAACAGGCAGTCATGGGGACTGCCGACAGAAGTGAAAACTTATAACAGTAATTAAAATTTCATAATTTATAAATTGAAATTATTGAAGTTATACTTCTTTTAGGACGTTTGGAAAAATTATAAAAGTAAAACTTTTACGATGCGCGTGCACACCGACAGCCGAAAAGCGACATGATGAAGTTAGCTGATAACTGTTTATTGCCATGTTAATCGTTGTTATTGTCTGACAAATGATATATAATTTGATTTGTAATATGCCTTATTTATTTCATTAATTTATCATTCCTTTTACAAACAGGGGTTTGTGACATACTGTTACGACAAAGAAATATAACTTTTTACGTGCTTACATGAGTACACACACACGTTTTTTTTATCAGTCTGGTTTCCATATCCATTGGCATTCCGATTAATAATTATTTACGTTTTAAATAAAACTAAAGTCGAAGAAAGTATCAATTATATATACGTATTGATATATGTACTTTAGTTATTAATCAAAACTTATAACACTGCGCGTTGCCAGTCCGCGCCGGACTGCGTCGACACGTCACATGCCACTCGTAGCATGTCGGTGACGCGAACCCATACCTTTTGCTCCTACCAAAATCACTTAACACCATCGATCAACAAAGTACTAGATACACAATCCCATTCAAAAGTTCTCTTAAAACTGTCACCAACTGTGTTTAGGTAATTATTTCAGTTGAAATAAATATATAACACTGTAAAGTGAACCTTAAATGCAATGCTAAAAGTTGTCACAAAAAAAATAGATGAAAGGCGCGCACAAATATTCAAATGAGCGCTCATTAGGTGAGGACATTTTTTGTCGCTGATTGTGTATCTAGTACTTTTTTGATCTATTCTTAACACGGTTAAAGAAGTTTTCACTTCAAAAAGAAAACATTTATTACCTCTGGCAATCTCTCCATATCGCCGGCCTCTAGTTCAGCCGTAACGTTGTTGTACATCAGCCAGAGCCAGTCCGCGCTCATACGGAACGCGTGCACCGTCGCTATGCCGATCAGCAGTTTGTGTTGTTGAGTGAGATAGTCTAAAATTTGGGGCTCTGGTTCACTGTTCGAACACAAATTTATAATAATTTAATTTTTAATTTACAATTAGTACCAAATTCTTGTTAATTATTAGAGGCTCTCTGTCTGTCTGGTACATTTTTACGCCGTAACCGCTGAATCAATTTTTATGAATTTTGGTATAGAGAGCGATAGAACGTTAGAGAAGAATAAAGTTAAGTAGAAGTAGGAGTGAAAGTTTGTATTGCGAATAACTCATTTCTCATGTAAAGGATATCAAAAATCGTTAAATCTATAATTATGGGAAGAAATAAAGAATGTTTCGGTATTTAAAAGATAAAACCTATTAAAAAATTAAAAACACGGGACGATTTCAAGTTTTTTGAAGTAGAATGATGTAAACTGTAATGCATTCAAAATTTCGAAAATCAAAAATCAAAGTAATTCCGCGAAAAGATAGATTTATTTAAAATGTCAAACATTCGCGTAGATCTAAGAATCATCTTTTTATTTTTCCATTTTTAGCGCAGACGTAATAATCAGGTAATTTGTAAGAAGAAAGTTTTTAATAACATATTCGATTGAACAATTTATTTGAAAAAAATATTTATTGTTGATTTTTTTTAAAACCGCTCGACATATATTGATAAAATTTATATGGGGCCACCTGGGAAGTTTACCCTTTGAAACAAAAAAAAAATTCCAAATGAGTTCAGACGTCTTCGAGTAATCGGTGAACATACCACACATTACATTTCGATACCGACGGATTCAGAACCTCCTCCTTTTTGGAAGTCGGTTAATTATTATACAAAAACGCGACTTACTCAGGTTTAGGCTGCGACTGCCGCCTGATAGCGGAATACCGCGTGGCTATTGTGACTGCTTTGGACATGTATCTGCACATGTCGTTGACTAACATCACGCGCACGAACATCATCGTGCCGTACGCTAGCTTGGAGCTGGGCGCGTTCACGTATGTACCGTCCTTAGGAAAAACGATAGGTTTTTTAACAATTTTAGATAGTTGAGAGACTTAGCTTATGTACTACTACTCATATAAATTTTATTATAGTAAAAGTTATCCAAACTGTATTACCCGAGTAATAAATTAACACCGCACAAAATTTATTTGAAATCCGTTCAGTACGTTTTGCGTGAAATTCACACAGATATATATCTACAGACAAACAGACAAAAATTTCAAAACGACTGTTTTGGGGTCTATATTCCGTACATCCGTAACCGTCATAGATTTAAAAAAATATTTCATGTACAGACTTGGTAATATGCTATTTTATTATATGCATACTATTTTATTATATACTAGCGACTCGCCCTCGCTTCTCGGGTTCGTCCCTAAGGTACGGTACGGTTTAACATTTAGTATCGATTTCTCAGAGATGAGATATTTTTCCGCAGTAAAAAGTATCCTATATGTTGACTCGGATAACCAGCTATTATCATACCAAATTTCATCAAAATCCCTCCAGTGGTTTTACGTGATGCAGTAACAGACAGACAAAAATTCTAAAAACTACAAGATTCGACCTCTGTATCGATAATAATGTCTATTTGAATAAGATTTTCCAAAAAATATTTAATGTACAGATTCGGCTTAGTTACAATTTTATTATATGTATAGATGTAGATAACATGAGCAGATAAGCTCATACGAGCATCGAACTCGTTGACATCCGTTTCAATAGACAAAGTCAATGACATGACACGTCCACGTGTATCGAGACAAATAAATAATTACACAAATTACTCTACTTAAATGTAAATTACCTCTAACACTTTCGCATTCTTCATAAGCATATAATCTCTGGGTATTCGCACTTTGTCGAAGCCAAGGAAGCCATTATTAGTGCCATTCATGCCAAGCTTGGCGCCAATCTCGCCCACTTTAATGCCAGGGAGTGGCATGTGGGTCTCTTCGTCTCGGAGCTGAACTATGAAGGGGTGTATTCCATGGCATTTCCCTTTGGTATAAAGTTGAGCCATGACAATACAGTAGTTCGCTGTATGTGCCACTGATGAAAGGAAAGTATAAGTATATTATGTAATTAATAAGCAGTAAGATTTATTTCTTAGTCTCATTTGTCCAAAGTCCATGGTTGTATATAGATGTAGATATATGAATAGAGGAAAATATTTTACATTGTAAATAATTACTAATATGTGATTTTACAATTAAGTATAGGAAAAACAGCATGTTTCTGAAGGTAGGTATTATCACGTATCAATAATAATGAAAAATTATTACAATAAAAATCCGTTTGCGTAAATAATAAAGAAGATGAAAGCAATTTGAAAAAATTACATACTCGTAGTATTAAACACTTGTGCTCACGTTGTCAAGCCAAATCTAATGAATGACGTATGAATCATTTAAATCGGTTGAGCAGTTTAGTAATTATCAGGGAACATAGGATCGGACATATATACATACAGGTTCAACACATGACATAACCCTGCTTTGGGCTTGGTCCCAGTCGGGTAGTAAATGCAAAGAGAAGTAGCAGATTTGGTACTCGGTCGTAACACTAAAAAACATTCTGGGCTAAGCCGCGATCGGTCAAGGCGCATTAATTATATAAGGGGTACCCAAATTTTCGTATCTTTTTACCGTACCTACATACCTAGTAATATCTTAACAACTATACGCGGAAAAACCTAAACTCTCAATTTACATATAGTTAATGAATAAATAAGTTTTAAACTTTAAACAATTTGAAATCACTTTAATAGTAACAATTTTAGTTTTAAGGTTGGATTTTTTTCTTTTTTATGTGGGACCACCATTGTCTTACTAATTAAAAAATATATTTATCTATAGTACTTATAGTAAAATTCTAACTAAACCGAATCTGTACATTAAATATTTTTTGGAAAATCTTATTGAAATAGACATGATTATCGATACAGAAGCCGAATCTATAGTTTTTTGAAATTTTGTCTGTCTGTGACCACGTCACGGAAAAATCACTGGTGGGATTTTGATGAAATTAGGTATGATGATAGCTGGTCATCCGGGTCAACATATACGATACTTTTTACTGTGGGAAAATATATATTTTGTATCTTACGTTAGATTTCTTTGATAATTTATATGGCAGAACAACGTTTGCCGGATCAGCTCGTTCATATTATAAAAGTCGATAAAAAATATTGTACAAAAACATTGACTGAACGTCTAGTCACTACCGGTTTTGAACGATCTCATAACTTAAATTTTTTCACACATTTTTTTCAAATCAATGCGTCAATATTGCAACGCGTCGTCCTCGTCGTCATCAAATGTTATGTTGTGTTATTTTATTATTTTTAGCTTTAATGGCTATATACGGTGGCAGATCCGGAGGTCTTGGGTTCGAGTTCCAGTCCTTCCAAATAGTTACTGGGTTTTTTTTTGTCACAAAATGCTCATGTCAGTAGCAACTCGGTGTTGGGCAGTTAGTGAGTGCCACTATTCACCTCCCATATCCATCATCATATCAGCTCGAATGTATCAACTCTTTTGTTCTCATCTGTTTACATACATACCTACATTTGTAAAGTTTCAACTTGTTACGATAGTACCTACTAAGTAAAAATTGAATACCTAGATTTTATTACATACGAAGTTTTTTTATACAAGTTAACCTGATAAAATCGTGTTAATTAAAAATTAAAATATGAAATGTCGTCTTCAAATAGTTAGTTATGCAATCATATGTAGTTTATTAAATGACGTTTTCAATGATAATGATAATTTAATGCAAATATACCTAAAATGCAAATAGGAAAAGTTTTTATATTATCTATGTACCTATTAATTATTAAAAACGACACAAGAACAAGAAATACTAAGTAGATTTAGGTTATTTATTGTATTAATTTATTATTATTATGATGTATAATATTTATAGTATATATTTTGGAAAATCTATCGTTATTATCGATACAGAGGCCGAATCTATAGTTTGTCTGTCTGTTAGTTACCACATCACGAGAAAACCACTGGCTCGATTTTGATGAAATTTAGTGATGATAGCTGGTTATTCGGGTCAATATATCGGATACTTTTTACTGCGTGAAAATATCTGAGAAATCTATACTAAACGTTAAAACGTTCTACGAGGGACGAACCCGAGCGGAGCGAGGGTGAGTCATTAGTATTAAATATAGCCTTTTATTATTAATAGTAGTAATTTTATTATTATTATTTATATTATAAATCAATGACCCGAAAACATTTTTATGTCATACATCTGTCCGCGTCCGAGTAACATCTTTTATCTGTACGCCATTAAATATATTTGTTATTAAATTAGGTTATCACAGTACTATAATAAGAGAGTAATAATACAGAAAAGCCAAATACAGCCAAATATATTACTATTGGTTAATATATTTTTAAGATTAACTGGTAAAAATATGAACCTAAAATTTAAATATAAAGTACTAGCGACTCATCCTCGCTTAGCTTCGGGTTGGTTTCTAAACAAAAATAAATATATCCCACTATCTCTGTGCCAAAGGGTCTAGCCGTACTTCCATGGCGAAAGTGCCCCCGATAGGAACCTATATCGTAACTAACGTTAGCTTTGCAATTAACTAAGATATATCGCCTTGAAAAAAAGTCGTCCCCGGACACTTTTTTTCAAAGAGCTCTTCAATTAACTAAGATATAGATCTAATATTTATTGGATCAATTACTATTAGTGTTCTCTGCAATACAACATTGGTTACGATATAGGTTCCTATCGGGGGCACTTTCACCATGGAAGTGCGGCTAGACCCTTTCATCCAGATCCGTTCAGTCGTTCTGGCGTTAAAGAGTAACAAACATCCATTGAACCATCCTCACAAACTTTTAATCTATAATATTAGTAGGATTGTCCATCCACTGTATATAGGCACTTTGATTTTGTCCTGGTCCTGGGTCCTTGTGGAGGTCCTGGGATTGATTTCCAGGTCGGGCCAAGTTTAGTCATTGAGTATTTCTGTTAAGGAATTCCCAGTAACAGCCCGGAGTCAGAAAGTTGGCGGTGTTTTACCTCCGTGCCTCGGAGAGCACGTAAAACCGTCAGTTCTGCGCATTAAGGCTCAATGCACACTATAGTCCGATATCGGTCTGAGGAAAATGTAAAGAAACAATGAGTGCATTCACACTATCTGTAAAATTCAAGTTTCGGTCAAATCCAACTCTAGTAACGTTTCTTGTGTAAAAATATTTTCCTCAGACCGATATCGGCCGATATAGACCGAGAACGAACCGTGATGGACACTATAGTGTGGATCCGGCCTAACTCTCATCCGTCATGTCGAAGTATAGTCCCATCGGACTTTGAGAGTAAAAGAAATATAGAGTGCACTTGTATCAGCGCGTACACGCGATGCACTATAATACCTCCTACGCAGATGGCTAGTCTTATAATCCAATGAAATTGGCCGCTGTAGCCGAAATCGGTCAGGAGGACATTATCATATAGAGTACCAATACACATTACATTTATAATGTCATAGCAGGTTGACAATTCGACACCACTCAAGAAAGTTAAATTACAAGTGGCTTTTCAATGTCGTGCTCCGAGGCACAGGTGCTTAAATGCCAACATTCCAAGCCCGTTTTATAGAAAATATCTCAACAGAAACATTAATAAATAACTAATTTTAACTTGAAGCGCGACACAAATATATGACCTGCTAAACTAAAACACTAACCTGTAGACAAACATCTAGCAAGTAAATTAACAAATATGATCAAACTCCTAACTTCACGCTAGAATCTGTGCTGAAGTGAATGTGAAAGTTTTTTCTCTCACTTTCACATCATTTAATGATGATTCTTGCCTCTTAAAGGTTACATCGGGTGAGTAAATTCGTAGCTAAAAATGTATACATATTTAAAATAAAACTATCATTTTGTAATCTTTTGGGTAGGCACGATGTGTAACAAATATATTATATTGACCTTTGAGATGTCTAAAACTTTATTCTCTCCCGTTACCATGATTGCTGTAAAGCATTCGAAACGTCGGAACCCAAAAATAAAATAAATTCGCTACAAAAAATCCGAAAAAATAAATAATTCAATAAATATGTTGAAACATTAACACTCAGCACCATCTACGATTCCATGGTAAGCGAGGCTTGTGTTATGGATACCAGATAGTTGATACACTACACATATATAACTATAAATACATACAAATTATAAATATAATCATCACCCATGATTGGAGTACAAACATCCTTGCTCACACGAATGAATACCCCCAGCGGGATTCTAACTCGCGAACACTAGCACAGTAAGTAGGGTCTGTCACTACAAACTGAGCCAAGCGTGTCGTATAGATATTTTTATTTAAAATGTCCAATATTCGCGTAAATCTAAGAAAGTACCTACTATGTTTATATAATATTATTATTTTGTCTAGATACCATATTATAAGATAGCCATAACAAAAGAATCGTGTAATCGAATGCACGTATAAAACATAAAAAATATATATACTCGTACGTATCACGTAGGTAATATAAATATGATTTATATGATACAAATCCTAATTCCTAACCCACAAAAAGCAAATTTTATACATATATCAACTATTTATATCATATTAGTATATGAATAGATAACAAACATTGATTACAGTAGAAAAGAATGTATTGATTTGATTATTGTCCTCGTTTAGCGCTAATTTATCTACATTAATTAGCCTTTTGTACCGATAAGACAGAAATAAAAAAAAATGGCCAAGTGCGTGTCAGTCTCGTTTGAAGAAGATCCGTACCATATTTACATATTTACTAACATTTATTTACTTATAACTAAGTATACAAATTGGCATTTGTATAGTACCTATTTTAAAACATTATTGTTTGACTTCATATTTAGTTCTATGACATTCTGTCTATATTATTCCTTAAGATCTATATTAATATACAGAATTTAAGGCGACTCACGCTCGCTCCGTTCGGGTTCGTCCCTAGTATTACATTTTAACGTTTAGTATATATTTCTCAGTGATGAGATATTTTGCCGCAATAAAAACTAAAAACTATCCTATATGTTGACCCAGATAACCAACTATCATCATGCCAAATTTCATCAAAATCTGTGCAGTGGTTTTTTCGTGATGCGTTCCCAGAGTTAGACAGACAGGAAAAATTTTTAAAAACTACTCTTCTTCTTCTCTTCTCTCTCTGTATCGATAATAATGACTATTTCAATAAGATATTCTAAAAAATATTTAATGTGCAAATTCGACTCAGAAATATGAATAGATATCAAAAATCAAATACAGAGGGGACTTTAAACAATAAGAATTAAAAACAAGATTTGCCACATCATAGGTACGTATAAAGGTACGTATGTACTCGTATAATGCTCTTAGCAAAAAGTTAGAAACTTTTGTTGAAAAACGATTTAAGTAACCTACCTACTATAATTATAGGTGTATGACTCAACACTTATTTAATCTATACTAATATTATAAAGAGACAGAATTTGTTTATTTGAACGCGCTAATCTCAGGAACTACTAATCCGATTTGAAAAATTCTTTTTGTATTAGATAGCCCGTTTATTGAAAAGGCTATAGGCTATATATCATCATGCTACTACCCAAGGGAGCAAAGCAGTAATCATAAAGGCTAATAAATCGGGCAGACTTCCATACATTATTGTAAAACTGATGTTTATATCGGAAGTTCGAATGCGGTCAAAGCCGCGGATACTGCTACTTCTAACATAAACCAAAAGAGCTACTAAGTACTAACGAATTGATTGAAAGATATGCTAGTGGCATAGGTAGTATGGGATCATGCTTATGAGCGTAAACATTCGAACTAGATATAAACAGGATACTACATATCCGGCGAGATGTGCTCTCCGACGCACGGGCTTGAAACACTATCAACTTTCCAACTCCAAGTTATTACTGGGACTTTCTCAACAGAAATAATTAATAAATAATCTTGGCTCGACCCGAGACTAGAACCTAGTACCTTCAGATATTATGCAGCAGTACATGCTCGCCAGTCGCCACTTCACCACCAAGGCAGTTGAGAGATCAATACATAATAACAATTCGATCATCGAGTTGATCTAATAATTATGTCAAAAGATGAATAGTAAAACTATATTTGGCTACTAATAAAACCTTCGCGTTTGGGCTCATTTTGTTCGTTTAACGAGTATCTTACATTAAGTTGCTCAAAAGCATATCCTTCTTAGTTTTTAAACCTTGAATAGTTATTAATTATAAAAGAAAAAAAACCAGTTAGTTTAACAGAAAAGCATAAAGCTATTTAAATCTAATACTTACATCCTCCAGGCCACCATTTATATGAAGTTAGTGTAGGACTGTGCAGTACAAACTCCTTTGTGCTTGGGTCGTATGTGGCGGTAGTTTCTAAGCCACGGATAAACGTACCATGTCCTAGTTCCGTCTGACAACAAAATAATAATTTTAATTATTTTTAATGTACTATTTAGATTAGGTTTAAAATAGATTTTTTTATACATTTTTTTTAATCTGATTAAAAACACATTTTTTCACTAGTGATCTTTAAAAAAAAATGAAGGACTGAAAGTTGACAGAGGTGAAAATAAATTATCGAGGTTATTCATGATATATTATTTTATTTGGACTTTTAGAAGAGTCTGGTATAATCTACTATAAGACTTCGCAAGTTCTAGACAGAGTCTATTTCTTGCGAAGTTTAAAATCTAGTTCTCACTATTTATTTTTTTAAATTCAGGTAACTTTAGAACAACTAATAATCGCTGAACATAAGTCCATGGTGGTTAAATCTATAAGTATTGAGGTCCTTGACCCCTCTGCCAGCTTGGATCCATCAGTCATGTTACACTGTATATTAATAAGACTATTAAAGTTCTTTAAATGACATCTTCGAAAATAGTATAGCATATGGTTTTGTAAATTTCTAATACATATACAATACATGTTATTAAATGATGGGTACAGGCAAAGTCACAATTTTTGTGTTTTTTTTTTGTTTTGTACTGCTAACAAATCTATGTCTATGGTAATTGCATTCCCAACCACTGGTTTAGGTTTTTACAAATACTCAATGGATGTCGCTAAAAATACGCTTTTATCTATTCCCAAAGCGAAAAGAAATAGAAAGGTAAATTGTCCAAAAATGTACATAGTAAAAGTTACTGCATATTTTGATCTCAATAAAAATATTATAACTTCTAAACTTTAAATAGCTTTTTTCTCTTAAGAGACTTATCACAAAATATCCTTGGCAATTGGCATTGAGTTCGAGCGGCCGACGCATCGCTGTTTCTAGCATTTTCTGCAGTTGTAATTACTTCTATGCAAAGTTTTTATAATAAAGTATTTTAAAAAAAGGTATGTATTAAGTTTCTTTTGAACTGACGTAAATTCTAGTATAAATTTTACTTAATAATATTAATATTGTGAGGATATATTTATAGCTAATTCTGAACGTTTTTAGTACTTTTTAAGATTTTGAAAAGGATTTCTTTTGTAGAAACCCAAAACATATTTTCAAATTCCGAGGCTGCTATAAACTCCACCACTATACACGAGATGTCATTATATATTTTTCATTTCGTTTGCTTAGTATAGTATTTCAATCCATGAGCTTGGAAAAGTGCCGTCGCGCATTTTATAAAAAAATTGCTTCGGAATTTTGGCTTAATTACAATTAATAATGAAAATTTGCTAAAAGCGAGGCCGCTATGAACTATAGTAATAACTATTCTCCACCATATAATAAGTCAAAATTGTCGAAGAGTTTCAGTTTTTCTAAATATAAGAACGTCATAATGTAATAGGCCTCTTAATCTATCATTGGGACAATCCCTGTTCTTGGCCTGTACCCTTCAAATGTACAACACAATATAATAGGTATATAATAATTATATAGGTTTTGTGCATAATTATCGCAACGCAAAGTTCGAACTTTATATTACGACTGACCTTTTAGAATAACTATCTTAGAGATAAACGCGTTTACTACTCAATCACTGTGCTAACAGCCAATAAAAATGCACTCCTAAAAGTGAGGAGAACAGTCAAAATTTCTTTTATTTGCGGACTAGATAATAGGTACGGAGAACATATACAATAACAATTATTAAGTTCAGTTTCACTGCTTTTAAAAAACTTCTCTTGTTTTAATGCAAAGGAAGGAAGTTATATATAAAAATGATATATCTGTAATGTAAATAATTTTAAAATCTAAGGGGAATTTCATATTGCACTGAAACAATAACAAGTATTTAACAATTACAAATATTAATGTATTATGTATATACATTAGTTATTTAACATTATACATATGTATGTATTCATCGTTTTTAACGTCACTGCTGGGCACGGGCTTCCCTTCAATACGAGAGAGATCAGGCCACAGTCCACCACGCTGGCCAAGTGCGGGTTGGCGGACTTCACATGTCTTTCAAAAACTTGCTAGGTTCTATCAGACATGCAGGTTTCCTCACGATGTTTCCTTCACCGTAAGGCAAGTGGTAATCATGTTAGAAATGATTCGCACATGAAAATATTGGAGGTGTGAGACCCGGATTTGACCTACTTCACTCGGTTTCCCAAGCAAACGCGTTACCAATGGACTACCATTGCCTTATTTATTTTTTAGTACATATATATGTACATATAGCTTTATCATTTCACTAATATACTTAAATTCTGCAACATTGTTTATTGAAATTCAATAGAAAAAAAATGCCTCGTTTTTTATTGATTTCGTAGTTTCATACGTTTATAGGTTTATTAATTTTTTAATAGCTATTTTTCAACTATGATTGATAAATAAGTAAAATTAAAGCTGACAGTTTATTTCTAGCAACCAAGGTAACATGTTTTAGGTTCAGGCAGTTAGATTTAAATACCTATAAGTACAATGAAAAAAAAACAAAAATTACTCACCTGAGCATAAGTTCCTATCATTTCTAAATTAAAAGCTCTCCCAATCCAATAAGCTTGTTGTTCTACTGTCCCTTGACCCATCACGGTTGGTATAAACATCACATAATGTAGAGTAAGAGGTGATCCATCTCCAAGAATTGCTGAACCTAAATATCCACCTAGAACTGCCCTGAAGGCAAATATTATATTAATTTTCAAGCATTCTTAGCCGATTGACTATAGTGATATTTTTACTTGATTGCAGCAACCAAGTAGTGATGCAGCTTGACAGATTTTCATGTATATATTTCAGGCAAAACTGGTTCATCTAAATGTGTCAAGATAATAATACTAGCTTAGCCCAGGACAATTTAGTTTGGCCGGAATACTTTAGGCTTAACTAGTTTATAACAACAATACATCTTAAAGAAAAACCTATATATCCAAATTAATAAATTAAATTTAGTTTATATGTAGATATATATTTCTAAATAGCTTTTCAAAATTAATTCTGACAAAAAAAAAAATTTTATAAGCTGCATTACTGTTATTATGTCCTTTAACTAACCACTTATTTTAATTTTTTACATTTAAATGCAAATTACAGACAAAGTATATATATTTAGAATTTGTAACATTAAATATTCATAGACAGCATAACTGAATCACAATTGTCGTTACCCTAATTTTATTATATTTTTGAAATATTTAATAAATGAATATTTTACAATAATATTTACATGAAATTTGAATATGAACAAAACTTAAGGCTCATGTGAATCACCATTATGTGATGCTGTAAAACTATTCTTATAACTGTATATAGCTTACAAATAATTATCCATGCCAGCATTCTCCTCTTCTTGCAATTTCCTTATCAGTTTGAACATCAAGCATGCCTTTTTCATTGCCAATTCATATTTTTCCTTGTGACTTAAATAAACTGCTGGCACAGTGTCAATGTGAATATTTTCTTTAAGTACCATTTCCTCTAAAAGAAAATTAAGTTTTTTCATAAACACTTGTTACATGACAATAATCTAGATTCTAGATCAATTCTTTAATAATTGTTTTATCAACCTTTTCTTTGACCATGACATGAGATTACCTCTCATTACAATTGATAGTTAAAACAAATGATTTTTTTTTTTATTTTTTTTTTATTTTTTTTTTTTTTTATAGTTGGGAAATCCTATTACGGATACCACCCGACTTCCCCCGGGGTGGTTATGTGGAGACTCTCCGGCTAATGAGACCGGCATACCCACTAAAACCCAACTTTCCCCCTCTGCCGCCATGTGGGGCGCCACGGGATCGCTCTCGCATACAACCGCGACGCCCCGACGGTTGGCCGAAGCCACCAACCATGAGGCCGCCCCAAGCGGGACAACCCCATTATGGGAAGACTTACAACCCAAAAAGTGAGGCCGCTCCTAAGTCCACTCTGCTGATCAGAGAAGTACCCGGAGCAGCCCCACACCACACAAACACCGCCCACCGAAGTGGGCCACCTCCAATCGGCTGCAGAGTACAGGGAGAGCGGCAACGAAACACCGACACTCCTCTTCCCCTGCAGCCCCACCGCGTCCGCCATCAAACGGTGGCGGCCCCGTCTAGGTCGCGGAAGGTAGGGAGAACGGCGCACCGAAATACCGGCACTCCTCTCCCGCCGCGGCCTACCCCTCCGCCGAATGCGGGCCTGCGACCACAGTCCCGCAATCGGCACCCATCATCCGGTTGTGGGACCAAGCGGTCCCACCACCGGTGGCCGCAACGTGTTCGGCTCGAGGCCTAGACGAGCGGCCCCATCCAAGCCATTTGGTCCGCGCCGGATTTCTCCGGTACCACCCGCCCCTCTAAGCGGGTGGCATGCCCCTATCCGCCACCTGGGGGACGCGCCCGGTAGGAGTTGGCTTCTCCCCCGGGAAAACAAATGATACCAACAAATCTCCTTTGTGTCTTCTCCATTCTATGTGACTTTGGCAAAGTAATTTCTGCTTAATAATTGGCACGCTTTGAAGCCATTAACAAGAGAATTGAATTGAATATAATAAATGATTGATTTTAATGAATAATTCTTGATATAATATCAGTAAATAATGTTTATTACTTAAAATAGCACTTAGAGCATAACAGGAAAGCATATTGTGTTTCTGTTTTCCAATTTTGCAAAAATAGACCAGGAACGAAAAGCATTATGTATGTATTTATTGCATCAGCATCTATATATTTACATTGCACATTACTTGGCATATATTGGTGCAAAAAATCAATTACTTTGACTAATTGATGTTTATATGTGATTACATTAACAATGCCTCCTTTATTTAATTTCCATAAATTAGCAACATTACATTTCATTGTATATGTTGATGTAAAGTTGAGGTCAGTAGCCCATTGCTATAAACATTTAAGATAAATAATAAAAAGTTGTTTGATAGCTGCATATTTATAAATAATAGTATTCTATTATCAGCAACACATGTGTTCTACTTTGCTATGAAATTGTGTTCAATATGTAGGCATATTATTGTTCAAGTAATTATTTTTTTGTTAAAGATTATTAAATCATAACTTAAATATACATACATATACATACATATACATACATAGTTAAATAACTTAAATAATAATTATTATTATGTTATTATCTCAAATTATATTAATTTTTGATTATAGAAAGATTGCATGATAATGTCAGATAAAACATAGGTTTAATTTTTAATATCTATTTAATATTAATATAGATAAGTGAAGTGAAAGAACATTGGACCACTATTTAATACTATGAAAGTTCAATGTTCAAGAAAAATAGTTATTTTAAATAATACAAAAGTTTTGTATATAGGTAATGTCATCTCAAAATATAAATAATGTTTTGTTTACGAGTGAGTATACACTAAATCCAATAAATATAAATTAGAACTAAAACAAGACTTGAATATTTAAGACCATTAAACCTAAACATTTAATAATTACTCAATTTATTGCACAATTTTTAACCCATTCCTATGAGTACCTCTGCTCTTTCTTTCTTCAGTTTTTTCAACACCTCCATCAATAACATGAGTTAATTCTTTCACATTAAAAGTGCACCGATCCCTCTCTTTTTGTAAGTCGGGATTTATTTTTGTAGACATTATAAATTGTTAAATAACGCGTACTCAATTATCTATAATAACAAACAACACTACTTCACCACACCGTGCCCATACAATTACTAACGAAATACGAAGTTACGATTTACGAACGTCATTAGTGATAGTTATGTCTTGAGATATTATTCCTCACTCGGGCCTCCGTTTACAAAACAAGTTTTGACTTTTGACTTTATTTGTCATCCATGTTTTTGACTTTTGGCGTTAAATTTGAGTGACAACTGACATACTGTCTAGTGTTTAATAATATATAGATAAATAAACTTAAAATAAACATTATTAATTTATTGAAGAATAATATAACGTAGCTATTAGTTTATAAGCTTTTTAATCATAGATATCAACAGACGGTGCCTAACAATAAGAATAGTTAAATATATTCACATTCATATAACATTTAAAATTTTGAGAAATGTGCACCCCATGTGACTTCACCGTAAATACCAGGCGATCATATTATAAACATAATAAAATTCTAACCGAGTGGAATCTGTACCTACATTAAATATTTTTTGTAATGTCTTATTGGAACAGTCATTATTATTTATTATCAATACAGAATGACTGAATCTATAGTTTTTAGAATTTCTGTATATCTGTGTGTCTGTCTGTCTGTGACCGCATTACGGAAAAGCCACTGGAGTCTGGAGGGATTTTGATGAAATTTGGTATGGATCAACATATAGAATACTTTTTACTGCGGAAAATCTCATCTATGATAAATCTATACTAAACAATAAATCGTAACTTAATCGTTAAAACGCTACTAAATAAGAAAGTAACATAATTTCAATACGACATTGCAAGCTTCATTTCGCTTCATTTATTACTTTCTTAGTCTTAGTGTGCGACCTCAAATTTTCCCTCATTATATATATAATTAATTTAAGCTACCTACTATATCTTTCATTGCTCATGTTATTATAGTTATTGGTATATAATTACTTTAAAATATATAAATCAAATAATATTTAATTATTTTATTTGATCGACTACCATTTATCCATTATTATCAATAAATAATTCAAAAGTAGACGTACGTAAGACTGACGTGGTTCGGTAGTGCCCGGCAGGCGGCAATATAGAACCCCCCCCCCCCCAACGTGCGTTCACCTTGTCGTGGTGGGGGGGCTCAGTAGTGCCCGGCAATCCAACCGGGCGCGAAGCCAAGAAACGCACAGGGAGGTGGCCCACTTTGGTGGACGGTGGGAGGTAGCCCTCTTCGGAGGGCGGTGTACCATGCGGGTTGCTCCTGGTACTTCTCTGATAGCAGAGTGGACTGTGGAGCAACCCCGTGGTTGTTGTGGTCTGCTTCGGCAGACCTGCCGTCGGGGCGTCGTAGTTGAATGCGTAAGCGATCCTGCGACGCCCCATTAAGACGGGGGAAGGTTTTGTTGGGTTTTAGTGGGTAGTACTGGCTTTGCCGGTGAGTCCCACACCTCGTGCGTAAATGCATTTCCCAACGTTAAAAAAAAAAAAAAAAAAAGGTGGCAATATAGAAACGTATTTGGGAGGCGGCCCACATCTCTGGTGGTCTCCCTCGGTAGACCTGCCGTCGTGGTGTCGTCGTTGATTGCGTAAGTGATCCTGCGACGCCCCAGTAGGCATATCTGGGCTAAGACGGGGGAGGCTCCGTTGGGTTTTAGTGGGTAGTACTGGTTTTGCCGGTGAGTCCCACACTTCATTACCTAAATGCATTTCCAAACGTTAATAAAAAGGAGCAAATAGATCGGAGGTATACTTATTTATTTTCCATGTTTAATACAAATTTACAAACTGTACGTCTTTATAATATAGTGTAGATGTAAATGTAATACTGTTAGGACCTCCTGAGTAAAAGTGTTCTGTGGTAAGGATACATCTACAGATAAATAAATTTGAAGTGGCTATTTGTAATATTAAAATAATACCATTTTTACAAAATGCATATTAATTAAATTATATACGATACACAATTTTTTAAATTTTTGTCTGTCTGTTTGTTCCAGTTAATCTCCGAAACAGCTGGATTGATTTTGACGTGACTTTTATTGCCAGATAGCTCATGTTATAAGGAGTTACTTAGGCTACTTTTTTAGAAAAAGAATTAAGTTTCCGCCCAAAAAAAATATTTAAAAAGTACCTAAACGGACGCACCCGAGCAAAAGTCACTAGTTATTCATATAAGGTGAGCATCTACACGGCTCGATATGTCGCATAAATATCGTCAGCATTTAAGGAAGGGGATGATATATATATATATATATATATATATATATATATATATATATATATATATATATATATATATATATATATATATATATATATATATAATTGTGGCGGTCTTGAACTTAGTAATATCTGAGGGAAGATAAATTGTCCATCTTTAAGTATCAACATTTTTAAATTAAAGCTATATTTCTATGGGGGAAGAATTTCGCTTTTTTCTCCCGCCAGATGTCACGATTACTATGGCCCTCAGTATATTGTAAAGCTCTATGCGTGGATGGAATTTTTTTCATAATAACTAAAATTTAATTAAAATGACATGTTTCAGTGCCAAGATGCAAAGAAAATGCATATCACTTATTCTGAAAAGACAAAAACTGAAGAAATTGTGGGCTAAAGCAATAAGATGACCAATATTGGCGATATCACAATCTTTATATTTAAGGCATTTATGTAGACATCATTTTAAAGAAAGTGATTTTAAATCTATTAAAATATTATTTCTTAGAATATTTTTTTTTGTTTTTTCGTACTTTTTTTTAAATTTATTACACAGTTTCATACAAACTTTCATCCCCCATTTTACCCCCTTATGGAATTGAATTATGAAAAATGCTAAAACACATATTTATTTAAAATTGTATTGAAGAGCATTAATACTAAGTTTATAGTAATTGTGATCATAAATAATTTTTTGTCTATACTAACTTTATTACCCCGTTTTACCCCTTTAAGGGTTGAATTTCGAAAAAAATCAAATAAATATATTTCTTATTTCTTATCTTAAAGCTAAACACCACTTTCTCATTAAGAGTGACAGGGTTTCATATAAACTTTAATCCCCTATTTTACCCACTTAGGGGATGAATTTCGAAAAATTCATTCTTATCGGATGCCTACATCATATAATAAATACGTCCTCCAAATTTCACGTTTCTACGGCCAGCGGTTTATGTCTTGTGTCATTAGTCAGTGAAGGTCACCACGGGATTCACCTCTCCTTCTCAATTATTCCTTTAGCTGGTCTAACTTCCAGGTACAATACATTGCACAGGTAAGATGAGAACACAATGAAACAAAAAACCAGGTACAAAAGAGATATGACAATAAATTAACCTCAGACTAAATGTAAATAGGCGATACGTGTGGCGCCCTCCTTTCAAGACATCTTGCCCTTTTAATTACCATAGACAATACATATATTATGATTTATGAAATCTATTAACGTCGGTTACGCTTACGCATAGGTTATCTGTTTTAAAACCGCCATATTTCTTTCTTGTATGCGTTGGATCTCACCGTGTCACGATGAGGTTAGTTTTATAAAAATTAATGGATTTTATTGAATTCTAATACTAGTAATTATAAATAATTATTACTTTTATGGCTAGGCATACGTATGGAATGTATTTTGAGTATAACAGTGCATAATTTAGAAAAATGTGATTGTCAACAATCAGCCCGTAAGACCATGTGGCTTACAGAAATATTTTTTCATTTTCAGTTCCTTAAAACTACAGAAGAGGCTTGCAGCCTCTGTTATGCGATGTGGTAAAAAGAAGGTGTGGTTGGATCCAAATGAAATCAATGAAATCGCCAACACCAATTCCCGTAAGTAATTTTATAACCATGTGATTCAAATAATTTTAGATTCATGCATGCACTAATTTATATAAATGTAAAATCTTATGTTCCATTTTTAATAAATGCTAAATAAAGTTCTACAAATATATTGGTGGCAGTCTTGTGAAAATCAAGATGTACACTTGTCTAGCTAGCCCAGCGCAATCCCTAGCATATACCTTATATTCTTACGATAAAAAATTTCGATCTTTATAGGTATGTACATTTTAAATGGAAATTCATATGAATTGTTTATACACCCATTACAAATTGTATTAATACAATGTTTGATATTTTGGCTTGTGGCAGACATTTTCTACTAATAACAACAGTTAAAGAATTTGGTCTATTATTGATTAGTGTCAAATGAAAAATGTTATTTGGATTTGTAGTAATCCAGAATATATATCATCCACAGGACAGAACATCCGTAAGATGATAAAGGATGGTCTCGTCATCAAGAAGCCCGTTGCAGTGCACTCGCGTGCCCGCGTTCGTAAGAACACTGAAGCCCGTAGAAAGGGAAGACATTGCGGATTTGGTAAGAGAAGAGGTACTGCCAATGCTCGTATGCCACAAAAAGTGAGTTAATTTTTTTGTCTTTTTTGTAAATAAAATATAATTATCAATCATTGTGATGTTATATGATATATAACTTGTTGGAATGCCTGCAATAACTATGTGTTATTTTTAATTTTTATAAAAATGGCATTTTTTAAAAATTCTCTCTTTGTTTATTCACAAATATGTATGCCACAAGTTGTCTGTTTAAAAGAAGGACATTTTTACATAATTTATACATATTATAATCAAAAAAAACCCAGTGCATAATACATTTGTGTATTCAAAATATAATTTTAGCTAGTTAATACCAACTAGATTATTATAATGAACATATAATACAAACGTATGTGTCCTTCTTTGCTAGGAACTGTGGGTACAAAGGCAAAGGGTACTTCGTAAACTGCTCCTCAAGTACAGAACAGCCAAGAAGATTGACAGACATCTATACCATGCCCTATACATGAAGGCGAAGGGTAATGTGTTCAAGAACAAGCGTGTACTGATGGAGTACATCCACAGAAAGAAGGCTGAGAAGGCTAGGACAAAGATGTTAAGGTAATATTGCATAAATTTAATTAAGAGTATTAATGTGTAAAGTTTGTTACTAGTTTTAACTAGAATTAGGTTTCAGTGGCTTGAGAGAGTCTTAACTCTTATAGGATACTATAATATATGGAAATAGTACTATTCACTGCATTATATTACAAATCATATATGTACATATAATATGTAGTCTGTGTAGTGTCAAAATTAATAATAAACAATAGGATTGTTAATTGTTATTTAAGAAATATGCTACCTTACATTATAACACATATTTCTCAAATTTTTTAAGTTAAAAATCTTATTTTCAGCTAGAAGACTGTTGTCTTCTGTTTTTGCTTAAACTTGATATTTGTGCAGTAAACATTGTAATTTTCCAACTGATTTTTTTCAATGTCAACATTATTTTAAATTGCCCATAAAATTATACTTTTATTACTATTATATAAATAACAGTGTTAATAACAAAAGTTTAAATTGATTTTTTTTATTCGCATATCAGTAATTTAATGTTACAAGTTATGACTTCTCATACTAAATATTATTTGTAAACATATGATTTAGAATAATTCAATTTAGCGACCTAATATTGTCCTCATTGTCCAAGTTCAACTACTCTCAAGACAATACTTTCTTAGATTTTATATTTGACATCAATCTTTTATTTTATATAAATAAAAATGTTTTGCTAAATATATTGCTAAGCATAAAACTCCAGAACAATGGACTAATTTTGCTAATATTATTAATCCAATATTCATTAAAGTCTGAGAGAGGTTCTTATGGAGACAAAAATAATGCCCAGAAAAACATGAAAACGCATTTTTTCTAATTGGGCCTGCTTACACACTTGATTTGTCAGAACAGTCTGTCGGGACAGCAAGTTTTAAATAAAAACTAACTTTTCAGATTTTTCATGAATTTATTTTGATTTTATATCTCATGACTACTCTAATAATTCAGCCCTTTGTAACGTCCCACTGCTGGGCACGGGCCTCCCTTCAACACGAGGGGAATCAGGCCATAGTCCACCACACTAGCCATGTATGGGTTGGCAGATTTCACATGTCTCTTGAAAGCTTGCAAGATTCTCTCAAACATGCAGGTTACTTCACAATGTTTTCCTTCACCGTAAGGCAAGTAGTAATCATGTTAAAAATGATTCGCACATGAAAATATCAGAGGTGCGAGACCCGGGATTTGAACCCGCTTCACTCGGTTTCTCAAGCTGGGCTACCACTGCCTCTACTCTAATAATTACAAACTAAATAATATATTAACTTATAATTACAGTGACCAAGCCGAGGCCCGCCGTAACAGAGTGAAGGAAGCGCGCAAACGCCGTGAAGAGCGAATCGCCGCCAAGAAGGAGGAACTGCTCCAGACCTTCGCGCGTGAGGACGAGGCCGCTGTCACCGCTAAGAAGTGAACTTTATAGATATATATTTAATAAAATTATCCAATAAACGCGTTGGATACAATGCATTTGTTTTATTTTGATGCGCGGTATTGATTGATTGATCGTCTGCTCGTGTTGACATATAACCATTACAGTGAGATGTAATATAATCACAGTAAAATAATTATTTTTAAAATTTATTTTAAATTATATCCGAAAATAACATTAAAAATTTAAGTAATAGTATAAAAAATGTTTTAAAAGACAACAAAATCGAAAGTGCATAATAATTACAAGACTTCCGCGACACCATTCAGACAAAGAGAGACAATAGCATTCCCAAGGAGGGTTGACGTCAGGCAGGTCGATCGTAAAACTTTTGCCAAATCCTGTCAGCAGTACAGAAGATGTACTGCGCCGACCCCAAATGATTGGAAAATGGGCAGGGAGGAGAAGTGAGATTTTTTTTAAATTTTCAGTTAAATTCGTTTTACATAGATAAAAGATTCCAAAAATCAAACTGGTGAGAAACCAGAAATATTTGAATTTTGACTTCTATTTTTTTCTAATTATCCTCTTAAGGCCTAAAGCCGTCTATGAAAATTGTTAGTTTGAGAACATTGACCACATTTCAATCTGTTGTCTGGAATGTATAATTTTAGTGTACTACATATGTGGACCATGATCTTCAATAATCCTAATAAACGCGAAAACTTGTAAGAATTTCTATACATGCATGTTTGTTACTCCAACGCATTACTACTGCACGTTTTTTTTGGAACTACAGTAATGTAGCATATCCATTCGAGTAACACTAAGCTATAATTATTTAAAAGTAATACATGATGAATGAACTACGCGGGCGGAACCGCGGTAAAACTAGCTTATACTAGATAGCTAAATTAGCATTATATTGGAAATTGGCTTTAATCCCTCCACGACTGCGGACACGCCGGCATGTCAATTAACAATAGATTTCTTAGAATTTTAATTAATTTCTTAGAAACATTTACCTGAATGTGTAAGTAATCTTTTGTGACGTAGGGTGTAATCTCTGGTTCTACTGAACCGATTTAGATGAAATTTGGTAAGAAGATAGTTTGATACCCTGGGAAGGACATAGGATACTTTTATCCCGGAAATCATCCCTTAAGGGGGTGAAAATGGAGATGAAAATTAGTATGGGGAATCAACCTAGGGACAAACCCGAGCGAGTCACTAGTATTTAATAATTTACCTAGTATAAGTTTGGGTCAGCAGTTTTGTTCGCGTGTTAGCACGTATATAAAAATTGCATATATAAGATAGTATTATATGATCAGTGCAGTGTGCTATTAAGTAGTTTATTTTCATAATCATTTCCTACGTAATCCATAAGTACTACGAGTAATAACACATAATAAATATAGTTAAAGAATATAAACTTGTTTTAAGTTGACACAGACATTACAGCCAGACTATTATAAATGTGAAAGTGTGTTTGTTTGTTTGTCCTTCTTTCACGCCGAAACGGAGTGACATTGGCGTGATTTTTCGTATGGAGGTAGCTAGAGGGCTGTAGAGTGACATAGGCTACTTTTTAGGGCGGCAGATTATCTCATTCCCACGGAATAACACGTTACAATACAACCTAAAAAAATAATTGTGATCAGAATTACTTGAAACTTGGTACTAATGCTCTTCAAAACAAGTAAATTAATACATGTTTTAGCATTTTGCGTCCTATAAAGGGGTAAAATGTGGGATGAAAGTTTGTATGAAACCTACCTTTTTATAGTTTGTTTTTTATAAGTAGTTTTAGCGCGAGCGAAACCGCGGGTTCTGCTAGTATACATATAAATCACATAAAATTCATTAACTACACTGTAGTCAATAAACAGCTACAATCTACAGCCTACAGTGTAGTACAATCTATAGCCTATACAGTGCTTTATAGTTTATACATACGATTATGAACAGCCAGTTAAAAAGGTTACATACTATTACTCTATAAACCATCGGCCATCAGCCAGTCTATGTAAAGTATCAGTAAGCGACGCTCGTTTCGCGTATGTTTCAACACAATGACCAAAATAAACGAAGATTTGCAAAGAGAACGTGCTAATTGCACTTTTAATATCCAGGAGTTGACAAACTTTATTGACGGAGGCCCTGATAAGACTAAGGAGAGAAAGGAGAGCGGTACGTATCTACTACGTAATGGAATCTTTCCAATGTGAACATAAAATTGAAAATATCAAATAATCACTGTAATACAGTTAGTTAAGTAAATACATAATAAATAGCCTTTTGCTTTTATAGTTAGTGAATTTTTCATTGATTCAGATTTTTTTCATAACGCACTAAATATATGTATTATTTTATTCAATTCAATTGACCCCAATTTCAGGTCAATCAAAACATTTATGTAAATAAGTAAATATTATTTAATCGACCAAAATATTGCAGTAATAGTTTGTTTACAATATATTTCTTTAAGCAGCTATGTTCTATTTTGGTCTTAAGAGCTGGCAACGTTTTTGAGAGAGAATTTTAAAGAAGCTAGTTTTTTGATGTCTTTTCTTACGCTCCGTCGATTCAACGATTGTTCGCTCTATCTACCATTAGTAAATAGTTTTATACTGTAATTAAGTGTAATTAAGTTTTTATATATTCCATTTTTATATTAAAAATATTTACCTACATATTATATTCGATAAACTTAGAAATATAATTTGTAGGTAAATATTTTTAATATAAAAATGGAATATATAAAAAAGAGCCAATTTAAGAGGAAGCCAAAGAGGTTTAAAAAGATTATAGTGCTTGACACTAATTTCTCTTGATCTTCTCTGTTATTAATATCTAAGCTTAAATATACATACATCTATATCTGTATCATGTAACATGTTCATGTTGTGATAACGTAGGCTGGCTATTTAAGTTCAACGACCTTTAAACGGTGAAATAATATGAGATGTTGCCACTATAAATAAATATATTTCACAGAAAGTGGAAGTTAATAAATACATATATAGTTAATATTATGGTCGCTACAGACAATTGGATTTTGTCCGACGACGAATCGTGTTTAGTTTGATAAAGACTTTAGGTCTTTTTCAATGTATACAACACATATCTATGTTTGAACCCATGTACCTTTTTATACTATCATATGAAGCTCTATCAGCTTAGTGAATAGTTATTAATGACAGGGTGCTGAAAATATGTGATTTTTTTTCAATTTCTGTGTTTTATATCTGACTCCATAACTCCTCTAATTTTACTCAGAAATTAAGTGTACATATCACAGAAGAAATAAAGCCAAAAATCAACCCAAACAGCCAACATATACAAAATCATTGCAAAAATCCAGTTAGGTACTCTAGTTGTAAAATGGACGTGTTGAATAAATATGAAATTGACAAGATCTTCAGTTCTCACCTTTAACTTCAAAGCAAAGTGTAAAGCACGTTTTGTTATTTTCATTCTTAGTACCTGCGTAGAAGGTTTTTTTGAAGTAATAATTAACCTTATCTCTTTAATGTTACAATTTATTTACAATAGCAATTTACAATAGTAATTTAATTTATAACTATTAACTACTCACCCTCACTTCACTCGGTTTTGTCCCTAGCTTGCTTCCCAATACACGGTTTTACTTCTTATGCATCTAATCATACTCACCAAAATGACGGGGTTGTTGCCTACATCAGGCAAACTATAATTCACAACGTTGAAAAGCCAGAATTTTACGATGCAAATTGTCTTATTTTAAAATTAATGAATACAGCAGTAATCGTTGCACTTTATCGCTCCCCATCTTTTAGAAATGTTGATAGATTCAATAACTCCTTAGATAAAACCCTATATAGCTTACGTATGTACAATAATATAATGGTAATTGGAGATATTAATATAAATATAGCTTATAATAACAATGATCCTCATTCTGATTCATATCTCAATCTTGTGTCCTCACATGGCCTGCTTTCTGCGCATACTTTCCCGACTCGTGGAAAGAGCTGTCTCGATCACGTCATGCTAAAATCAAAGCAAATCTCTACTACTTTGGTTCTGGATTCCTTTATTACAGACCACGCGCCGGTGATTATTTGCTCTGATTTTAAAATAAAAACCCACGTCATGCGGCGTTCTGTGATAAAACTTAACGAAACGAGTTGTCTCGGAGAGCTGGAAAAGTATGATTTCTCTAATGTTCTGTGTGATAACGATGCTGAACGGGCGGCGACAACACTTGTAACAGCTATTTCTGGAATTGTAAAAACCCACTCCAGAGAAATAACTGTAACCAGTAAAACGCGAATCCTAAAGCCCTGGATTACACCTGGGCTCTTGCGATGCATCCGAAACCGTGATAAACTTTTTAGAAAAACCAAGAAAAACCCAGAAAATACCGAACTCTGTATAATTTATAACCGGTACAAAAATTTTTGCAATAACCTTCTTAAACGAATAAAAAAAGAATTTGATCATAATAACTTCCTAAAAGCTAAAAATAATGCCAAAGCTACATGGGATTTAATAAAAAATGTAGGCTATCTCAAAAAGTCATCTAAAGCATCTACAGACCTTTTTATGTTAGCTGATGAACCATTTTCGGCAGTTTCAGCTGTTAACGAGTACTTTGCAAGCGTTGGCAGAAATATAGCCACGCAAATTACGAATTTTAATGATCCAGTCCTACCTGATAGCTTATATACCACAACTGTTTCCTTGTCATCTATCTCACTATATAGCACTGACTATACTGAAGTTGAAAATGTCATAACAAATCTTAAGAATACCTCAGCGACAGGATGGGATGGTATACCTACCTCGCTGGTAAAGTCGGCTAGACATATCTTCATACCAATGCTGGTCCATATTTTTAATTTGGCGATTGAATCCGGTATCTTTCCCAAAGTTTTTAAAAAAGCTCTGGTTCACCCAATTCATAAAGGCGGTGATGGAAACATTGTCAGTAACTACAGGCCTATCTCGATTCTAACTACGTTATCTAAAATATTCGAAAAACTTTTAAATACTAGACTCGTTAACACGTTAAGTGCGAAGCGAGGCCTAAATCACCCCTGATGCAACTTCCCTGTGGTGCGGCAAGCAAAAAAGTGAATTTCTCTGTCGTGCGAATGGCATAGCTTTGGTTTGGTCCAGTGTAGGAAAGAGATAAATATATATTTGAGATCACTAATGGTTCCGGACTCGGTGGTGTACCTACCTTGGTACCGGATGTCTTAGGCCTCGTGCCGCACTGAATTAATATAATTTTAATGCAGTGCGGAACGAGGCTAAAACGTCCCATATCCCCCCTGACCTCGTACCGCACTCAACGCGAGCTTCCCGCGACCAGTGTTGTGCATCACGTCGATTGGAGAGCACGTCCTTTTACAGCGCCGAACATGCCTCGAAAAAGGTGAAAAAAGGAGAAGATGTGTTGGTTGTTACCAAAAACTACGCACATTTTTACCATCTCGTGAAGCTGATAAAAAATCCAAAAAGATTTTGACTCAGTGCACTCAGTGCAAAAAATCTTATTGTCTACCCTGTTTCAATGAAAAACACTCATAAATAAGTACAACATATATATTGAGATTTTTATAAAAAGTATATTGATACTGATTTTTTAATGTTAATTCAAGTTCTAATAATTGTATTTTTAAAGCCCGAGGCAGAATAAATAGGACAGTTTCTTTTCTACTTCTGGTTGCTTTTTTTTTTCTATTCTGTGAACCGCATTAAGATTTTCATATACAAATAGAAAGATAAACCTTATGCATAAACCGTAATCCATTATTTTCCAATAATAAGTCTGTAATAGGTGCCTCTTAATGGTATAGAATGGAACGCTTCGTGCGCGAGTCCGACTCGCACTTGGCCGGTTTTTTTTTCTTTATGGCGCCTTCAAGCACAATTTAGATTATTTAAAAAAAAATGTATCCTTTGATAGCTTTGTGTTGTTTTGCCAGGTTTTGCCCTTAAAACGATCTAATGAGATATAATTGATCAAAATCGGTCAAGTCGTTGCGTAGTTAAGACAGTTTAAAAACGTCGATATTATTTTTCCCATCACTAATCGCAGCGAAAATTTGCCCTATTTCAGTGCGTTACGAGGTGTATAAGATCCCATATTTTGTTTTGCTAATAATTCCTAAACTAGCCATCAGATCCCGGGGCGACGGTGGATTAGGGTTCATCAATTCACTGTCTATATCAATAAGGACCAAAATTCTCATTTATCTTTGATTTCGCGCCAGAAAATGGATTTTAGTCTGTAAAAGGAGGTGGGGTCTAATAGACCGCGTGTCGCCCTAACGTCTGGTCACGGTACGGGCCGATTATACCTCGTGCCGCAGGAACGGAGAGTATGCAAAAATTGGTGCCGCAGCTAACGTGTTAAATATTTGAATAAACATAATATCATTGCGGCTAACCAATATGGCTTTAGGAGTGGTAAATCTACAGAAGATGCTGTTTTGGATTTAACAAATTCTATAGTAAAAAATTTCACTAAGAAAGAAAAAACTATTGGTATATTTTTGGATCTAACAAAAGCATTTGACACTGTTTCCATCCCTAACCTTCTTCAGAAATTACACCAGGTGGGTGTACGAGGAGTTGCAAATGATATTTTTAAGAGCTACCTCGAAAATCGTTCACAATGCGTTGTTATCGATGGTGTTATGAGTGCTGAGGAAAATATAGATTTTGGAGTACCTCAAGGCAGTGTCCTTGGGCCAACTCTTTTTCTCATTTATGTAAATGAATTGTCCAAACTAAATTTACAAAATTGTAAAATAATATCATATGCCGATGATACAATTCTTCTTGTAAACGGGAAAAATTGGGCTGAAGTTACAATAAACGCTGAATCTGCATTATCTGCTGTCAATAAATGGTTACGCAAAAATAGTTTAACTTTAAATTTAGATAAAACGAATTTTATAACCTTTGCTCCTAGCAGTATTTCTCTTCCGTCTCCCCCCGTTAAAATTTTTATTCATAATCCAAGTTGCACTAGAAATATCGCTTGTAATTGCAGAAGTATTAATAATACCAATCAAACCAAGTATTTAGGCATATACATTGATAGCACCCTTTCATGGCACGAACACATTAAAGTTACCTGCAATAGACTTCGGAAACTAATATTTGTCTTTAAAAGACTTAGAAACATTGTTGAC